CCTGCACAGCACCCTGCACAGCACCCTGAACAGGACCCTGCACAGCACCCTGCACAGCCCCCCTGCACAGCACCCTGCACAGCACTCTGCACAGCACCCTGCACAGCACCCTGCACAGCACCCTGCACAGCACCTTTGCCAGACTTCGCCACCGCACTCTGGACAACAGCACCCTGCACAGCACCCTGCACAGCACCTTTGCCAGACTTCGCACCGCAGTCTGGACAACACCCTGCACAGCACCCTGCACAGCACCTTTGCCAGACTTCGCCACCGCAGTCTGGACAGCACCCTGCACAGCACCCTGCACAGCACCTTTGCCAGACTTCGCCACCGCAGTCTGGACAGCACCCTGCACAGCACCCTGCACAGCACCTTTGCCAGACTTCGCCACCGCAGTCTGGACAGCACCTTGCACAGCACCCTGCACAGCACCTTTGCCAGACTTCGCCACCGCAGTCTGGACAGCACCCTGCACAGCACCCTGCACAGCACCTTTGCCAGACTTCGCCACCGCAGTCTGGACAGCACCCTGCACAGCACCCTGGCTCAAAAGTTCGCCACCGAAGACCCCACCTTTGAGAAGTAAGAACCCCTATAGCTTGCCAGCTATCTGGGGAAAAAGAGAAAAGGCTGAAAGCAGCCATGAAAGAGATTGTTTGTTTCGTTTTTGTGCATTTGTGGACAGAATTTGAACTTCTATTGTCTGGCCATGTGGGTAGCGCTTGAGGCGTTGCTCGTGGGCTGAAACGAATCTTCGATAAAACTTTCGAGCTTGTGGATGGAGGTGCCTGCGCAATGGACGCTGATCGTTGTAGCGTCTTTCAGTGGTTGAGGGCATAGACGCAGAGCAGTGGGATCGAAGTGCCAGACTGGAGTGCCCACCTTTTCCATCACCATGATCTTGCGTAAAGCTGGGTGGTTTATCTTTTGCAGACTTTGCGGATTTTGTTCACTAACAGGCCCTTACAGTAAGGAGAGTTATCGCCGTGGAAGTTCAGCCAGCTGTCAGGCGCAGATCAACGATCTGGCGGCTTTAAAGATGCTTGGTTGAATTGCATGGCTCCTCTAGGGCTGGCCCACAGGGACCACAAAAAACATCACCTCACATAAGTGAGCCAAAGCCTTGCCGAGGTGGTTGCTTGTCCAGTTGCTCGAAGACTATTGACTCTCGACTCAACCAGTCTTGGCTCAGTGAGTTCACGATGTGAGTTTCCCTCAACCTGCATCGAAGATATGTTACGGGATGTTCATTGGCAAGCTGTTTCCTTTCTAATCTTTCTAGGTCATGGCTGTCAACAGCTCAATTCGGCTCAAACAGCTCCTCACTTGTGCCCCGCACTGCCATGGCGAACCGCCTCCGTCAGATCCAGAGCCACATCTTGGCAAGCGTGGCTTAGCTCCAAGATGCTCCAAGCATGGAATGTAGACAGTTTTGTACTTTACTTCCTGCACTTGTAACCTCGACTCAGGATGCCAGCGTCTCCGGTGGCCTGGAGATGCGCGCAGTGTCATCCAACGAGGATGCCGATTTCGAAGCTCGCGTGAAGGCCATGAAGGAATTCATGGGCAGCGAGCGCTTCAAGTACACCACTCGTCCATACAAGGCCGTTGGCTGGGAGAGGGTGGCATGCACTTGCCACGCCAACTGGAGTTGCACACCACACACCAAACAAATGTTTAGAAACAGCAAAGTGTCAGGGTCTGAAACGTGACTGTGAACTACTGTGGTCACTATGGTCACTGTGCCCCAGGTCGAAGATGTGGTGAAGCTCCAGGGCACTTTCCCCATGTACTTCAATGGCGCCAAGGTGTCTGAGAAGCTCTACAAGATGCTCCGGGAACACCAGGTCCGGATGATGCAACGCTTGGACTTCAGCGGATCCATGTCAGATGCCATACCAAGTTCTTCCAATGATGTGCACTTGCTGCTGTCATGCTGACCTCCTCCTGTCTTCTCTTGACTGAATCGTACTGCCATACCATACTTCATACTTCGCCGCTTTTGCTGCTGTTTGCCCTTCATACCCTGTTGTGCTGAGACATGTATGGACATGTTCAGACAAAGTGCTGCGAAGGCCAAGGGCACCTGCTCCCACACATTCGGTGCCCTTGACACAGTTCAGGCAAGGAGTCTGCATTGAGGGCGTTCAGCAGACTCTTTTTTGCATCGTGACTCTGCCGTGCTTGGCAGGTCACCCAGATGGCCAAGTACCTGACCTCTGTGTACGTCAGCGGATGGCAGTGCTCCTCCACTGCATCAACCTCCAACGAGCCCGGCCCAGATGTGGCAGACTACCCTTATGACACCGTGCCCAACAAGGCCAGTGTTCTGTTATACTGCACTCCTCGGAAAAGATCTAGAAAGAGAGAAAGCGCCATACGAGGCTTCACAAGGGCAGGTCATGATAGGTGAGACATAGTCGTGGTTCATCGCTTCTTGTGGCATCAGTATGCCAGCCAGCCTCCTAATCAGGTGGATCAGCTCTTCCGAGCCCAGCTCTTCCACGATCGCAAGCAGTACGAGGAGCGACGTCGCATGAATCCAGACGAGCGCGCCAAGACTCCAGTGGTTGATGCTTGGATGGCATAGTTGGAATAGTTGCCGCGCAATAGCATTTTTCTGTTGTGCTTCGAGCTCGTGCGAGTGATACATTTGTGTGTGAAACTGACGGTTTAGAATAAATGAACTCCGTGCAGTTTTTCTTTGACCCGACCCTGATTGCAATGAGGACTACCTGAATCCCATCATCGCAGATGCAGACACTGGCCATGGAGGCATCACCGCCACTATGAAGCTCGCCAAGATGTTCATTGAGAACGGCGCCGCTGGCATCCACATTGAGGCTTGATGCGGGGATCATGATGGTACCCAGCCCACCCTTTGCTTTCAAGACATCCCAGTGACATTTCGCCCAAGATCCTGACGCTGGGTGCAGGACCAGAAGCCTGGCACTAAGAAGTGCGGCCACATGGGTGGCAAGGTGTTGGTTTCCACCCAGGTGCGAAGGGCTGTTGGGACCCTCACGAAGGAAAAATATTGAGACAGGGTGTCGGAAAGACATAGCTTTCAATGGCTGACTTGGACCGGGGCAAGCTCTCCGCTATTTTTTATATCTCTTCACTACCTCTGACTACTTTTCACTACATGCATCAATGTGCATCAAATTTAATGCATGCGATTGTACAGAGCAAAGCAACCCGGTGACATCGTCGGAACCTGCTCAGGAGCACATTCAGCGCCTCATTGCCATCCGCTTGCAGGCTGGTGTGGCGACACGAATCACAGAGATCACCTTCCACAGATGGAGATGATGCATTGCAACATGTGTATTTTTCAGTTGTACGTATTCGTACGATGTTTTGTCACTTATCTACCTGGTGTCTCTGCTTCATATACGGTGTTTTCTTCCGAATCTGTGGGGTGCCCATCAACGCGCGCTTCCTGGCAGGCCGACGTGCTGAATTCTCCCTTGGTGCTGGTGGCTCGAACTGATGCGGAGGCAGCAACCATGATCGATTCAAACATCGACACTCTGCAGAGCAAGTCCAGCCGAGGAGGGTCCGTGAATCCATGAATGTCAATTCAATGAATTGAATGAAAAAATGAAGGGGAGTAAATGGGAGTAATATGAGTTCTTGCTAATTTTTGCCATTTGACTTGGAGCACCACAAACGTTGACACTTAGCGGGAGGCACATTTGCCTAGTGACCAGTGACAGGACAGTTTGTGGTTCTGCAGATGACTCAAGTTTCTTTTAAAGTTGCCACAGCAAGACTTGCTGAGGATACCATTGATCATCCTCACATCAAGGGTGTCACCATCAAGGGCGTGGAACCTTTGTACGAGGCAATGAGGAAGGGAACTGACAAGGACTGGGAGGAGCGTGCTGGATGCATGACCTTCCCCGATGCCGTCGCCAAGGCCTTGAAGGCTAAGGGACAGGACCCAGCCAAGTGGCTCCAGGATGCTCGCAAGATGTCCCTGGACCAAATGCGCAAAGCTGCCGCAGGCATGGGCTGCGACATCTACTTTGACTGGGACTCTGCTCGCTCGGTGGAAGGCTACTTCCGAATCAAGGGCTCCACTGAGTTCTGCATTGAGCGTGCCATTGCCTTCGCCCCATATGCGGACAGCATCTGGATGGAGACTGGCAAGCCAATTCTGGCTCAGGCGACTCAGTTTGCCAAGGAGGTTCGTGCTGCAGTGCCACACCAGATGCTTGCATACAACCTGAGCCCATCCTTCAACTGGGACAGTGCAGGAATGACCGATGCTCAGATGGAGTCCTTCATTTGGGACCTCGCCAAGCTCGGATTCTGCTGGCAGTTCATCACCTTGGCCGGATTCCACTGCGACGCCCTGAGCATTGACCTCTTTGCCAAGGAGTACTCTAAGCGCGGTGCCGCTGCCTATGTTCAGATGATTCAGCGCAAGGAGCGCGAAAACAAGGTGGAGACTTTGACGCATCAGAAGTGGAGTGGATCTGAGATCGTGGATGAGATGGGCAACATCGTCAGCGGTGGTCTCTCCTCCACGGGCATCATGTCCGCAGGCGTCACTGAGAAGCAGTTCTGAGCGTATCTTGAAAGCACAGCAGACAGGCTGTGAAGGTCACCGGCCTAGATTTCGGGTTGGAGGCTTGATGTTTTTGCAGGCCAGGGTCCTTAGATCTCTGGAGAAGCACCGATTTTCTATGTTTTTCTCATTTAGAGATGTGGCTTGGTTCAGCATGTATGTGTACGCATGGGCGCTGGATCAGAGTTTCTAGATCTTTTTGAAGTGTTTGTTAGGAGTCTGGAGCAGGCTGTATACAAGCCCATCGAATCTTTTGGTCGTTATCGCATGAACATGGGCTGTTTAAGTTGCCCGTGGCACGTGCCAAACTTGAAGGTGAAGCCCTTCTGCGGAAAAAGGGCGGAGTGGGACTTCTGACTTTTGATTGGAGGTTTTTGATGGAAGAGCAAGGAGCTTGGGAATTTGATTTGCCGAACCCGACTGAGGCTCTCTTTCCCTTTGATCCAACCCAGTAGTTAGAGGGAAGGGAACGAGCAAAGCTTGTGGCTGTGGCTGTGGCATGGGGGAGGCTGTTGGTGGGGTGAACGTGGGTGAAGCTGGGTGAACCTGGGCCTGTGAGGAATTTTCAAGTTGGAGCACAAGGAGCCATCAGAAATGCTGCCGGTCCCCAGACGGAGGTGGGGATTTCATGGGATTTCCAGCTGTGTCAGAGCTGTGACCTCCTTTCCAAGCCTTCAATTCTGATCTGATTTCTTTGGTGCAGGGAAGAAGTTGGTTGTCCTTTCTTTTTTCTCCTCGTGTGCTGGAGGGCCAAGGGCAATGAAGGCCTATGTAGATTTCACAAACAGGAAGGATCTAGGATCTTTGGAACTTTCTCCGATGAAATTGGGTTCAACGCGTTCTGTGACCAGTGTTTGATCCGTAAAAGCAGCAGTCGACCAAGTGCAATTTGAAGGGAGCCGTCCGCATCCAAGCACCCAAACCAAAACACTTGGACAATCTGTAGTGACCTTTGAATCGAGTTTCTCTCAAGATAAGGTGCCCCTAAACCCACTGGTTGATCATTTTTGTCATTAAGACAACCATTTTCGGGCACCCCCAATGCCTGCAGCGATGGTTGCTGTCGTTCTGCCCCCGCCTAAGCCCTGAAGCCAGGCTGCCATCAGCGAGTTGCAGACCCTGCAGAGGCTTTGGGACTCTTCGCCTGTGGCCTTGGTACGGTCCCCAGTGAACTGGTGTGGCGGGCTCAATGTTGCGCCCAAGTAAACTCCATAAACTCAAAACATCTGAAAAGAAGAAAAGTCTCACTTCTGGCAGTTCTGGCCATCCTGACAGCTGGACAGCCTGGATCAGATAGGGCTAGGACGGCTAGGACACTAAGTTAGGGTGTTGAACATCGCAATGATCATTTTAGAAAAAGCACATGCGCCCCGGCATTTCAGAAGCTCCCTGTGCTCAGGTGACCGGTGGATATCTCTCAGATACTCGGCAGCTTTTGCCTTTTCCTCCCTGATTTGCTAGACAGGGCGTTATCTCTCACATGCTAAGGCGTTTTCAATCCAGGGCGGTATCAGATTCTCAGGGTCTTCAAGTTACACTGCACTGTCATTTGTTCTTGCCACGTGTGCAGGACAAACTTGCGTTGACCATGACAGAGATTCCCTACGATGTGCTACAGATTTTCCGGTCAACTCAGGCGGTGGGTTAATAAGTTATCAGCTTTGGGCTTTGATTGACTACTGGGTACCACAGAAGTGAAAGCATGACTGGAAGACAGTGTTCAATTGGTTTACAGTGCAGTACTCTCCACGCAGTCAAGGCAGTCTTGTTGCACGCATTGCAGGGAAGTCCAAGGATCCATCCCGTGCAGGTTGAAGCTGACCGGCACACTGCCTTGATGTCGCTCCTGGGCCAAACCGTACATAAACAGACTCTGTCGCTGTGGGAGAGAATTTGACGCCAGAAGTGGGGCATGTGGATGAAGCCTAGGACCCCAAAAGGAGTCGTGAAGAGTTATTACATAATTGTTATATAAAACATTATAAAACCGTTGTATGCAGGGCTATTTGATGCTATTTGTCTACTGCAAAGTGAACTCCTTGTCGCAGTCGTGGTATGAAGTGGGAGCATTTGTAGCTTGCTGCTACTGTAAGGTGGCTTAATCGACTGCACGACTGCCTGCTTGTCTCTGTGTGGCTCGGACTTTGCATGTTCCCGATCAAATCTGAATGAATGATTGACAGCGGTGCTTCTGAGAAAAAAGGACGGTTTCAGGCTCGCAACAGTGCTGGCATCTTGCAGGCCGAGCCATGTGAATTGGCCAAAATCTAAGGAGAGATGCGGGATATCGTACGTTGTCAATGCCTACACTTTGCACTGGTGGCATTGGCATTCCGATCCAGTTTGTTGCTTGGCAAGACCTTGATGCGGCAGACTACCTTTTTTTGAACAGCGAGCCTGCAAGAGTTACAAGAGAATACATTTTTACATGGCACCCCTACGTAGTTTTATTAACGACTCCTGGGCTCAGAGATATGTTGGTAGAATCACTGGAGTTTGATGGGCAATTTTTTGGGAGCCTCTCTTATATAAAGGTCATTTTGGAATTCTAGAGTTTCAGAACTGTGATTCCTTTCATTTTCTTTCCAGCGAAGCTCGTCCAAACCTGACCACCCAGGTTGCCGTTGCGGCTGTCCAAAGCATCTATCGTGACTTCTGTGAACATCCATCTGCCACTGGGACGAGCTTCGTATTTTTGGAACCTGTCCCTGAGCTTGGCTCCAAGATGGAGATAGCTTCAAACACTTAGCCTTGGGAGGGCTGGTTCAAAGTCTCTGGCATGCAAACGTTTTGCTTCTTGCCATCCTCGATCAGCAACTCCGTCGGTTTAGGACCCAATGCGGCTGCGCATCTGCTGCTTCGAGCCTTTGCACTTGCAGATGCTTCGAGCAGCTTGTCACCAAGAAGTCACCTCTCTCTCTCTCTCGCTGACTCTCGCTCTCTCTCTCTCTCTTTCTCTCTCTGCAAGCTACGAATGGCGACTGCTTTCTTTGAACTGGATAGGGGTATTGGAAAATTGTACATATAAGAAATGCAATCGTTCTTCGAATGTTGAGGCTGTGAAGGACGAGGTCTTTGACAATTTCTACCGTGCAGAGGTTACAGAGGAGTCATGCGTTTTGCCAAACACCAATACTAGCCATGGATAAGCAAAGCTGCCTTCATCGGATCTTCTTTTTGTTGCATCCAGCACTTCCCTATATCCATCAGTCGCCTTACCTCCACATGCAGGACCTGGTGTCTCTCCTGCAAAGGTCCAGAAGCTTAGCAACCAGCGGGCCAGCAGGCGTGCCACCATTTTCTCTTCTGTAGTAGGCACATAGCATTGAGGGGTGTTGACAGTCAGCGGCGGATGAGAGTCTCAAGCCATCAGTCAGTTAATCTCTGTGGCGTGTGTGCCTTATCCTTGCCTGGTGTGGTTGGCCGATGTTGGCCAAGGTCACAACGTGAACATCCTGAAGATAGGGAGGATGCGTCTTCGGACGGCGATGAAGCCATGGCGCCCTGAGGACGACTTCTGCTGGCAAAAAGGTCCTAAACCGTTCACATTCGAAATGTTTACTGAGTCTACTGGATGCTAGCCTAGATGATCAGTGCGGGAAGATGACGGGAAGAGATATAATTATGTAGCCGGAATCTGCGTCTCAACCCTTGACTGTCTCAGAAGTGAGGCTCCGGACTCAAAGCCATCGGAAAACGTGCCTGGCTCAAACGGCATTGCTTAAAGACGTTTATAACATTATATAATATAACAAGATGTAACAAGATGAAGCGCAGCTGAACAAGCATGATGCAACATTTGGACGGATAGACCAGCCAACACAGCACAGCACGAGACGTTCACCGTGCCAGCACGTCAATTTTTCAAGACATGTGTATGTATATATATATATATATGTATATATATGTATATATATGTATATATATATGTATGTATATCTGTATATCATTCAGAAAGATGTAGGGTTTTGGACTTGAAATTGGCAACATTTGGCTGCCAAGATGTGCAAAGATACCTGCATTGAGGCAGCAATGTTTGACATTCAGTAAACAATTCAAAGAGACAATTCAAAGACAACTCTCCAGAGAGTTCAGCCTGATGTGTGACTCTGGTGCCTGAGATCCGTCTGGAGCATAGTGCATCCCGAAAGTTGCAATATATTGAAAGGCTGAAATCTTGCAGAAACAACATCACAACATATCACAGCCATGATAATCTTTCGGAGCTTGGGCAGAACCAACAGACGAATAGCGAACATGATAGCAGCTCAAACATTTTGGTCAGCCGTTTGTGACACTGTTGCCTGGCAAGGCCTCGGCTACCAGATGGTGACTAAGCTGCACATATGAAGAGAAGCGTTAGTCATGCTGGTCATTTCCTCCTGCATTCAGGGCCAGGTGGGAAAGTGGGATGTTGGAACATGTTGGAATAGATGGGGAAGTTGCACTCCTGAGAACTGGAGTCAATTTGTGAAAAGATTAAGAACCTGAGAGAGGCTAAGAAGTTCCGTCCCAGAAGGCAACGATTATTCCGGACAGCTTTTCGTGGCTCAGCCGACCGTCTCCAAGCCCCAACTGTGCATTGTGCAGCCATGGCTTCCCGCCTTAACGTCATTCAGCAGCACCTGTTGGCCAGTGACGCTTGTCCGAATTCCTGGGAATTTATGGCACGACAGCTGGTTGGTAAAGCTCAAAGATGTTCAAGCCGGTTTTAACACGTTTCGATAGCAACTTTTCTATGGTACGTGGCCTACTGGAGCGGTTTACCTTACTACGTAGCATTGCGTTTGCGGTTTGTGAAGTTCAAGGATGGGTTCTTCGGTGGAGTCAGAGGCAAACAACTGATCTAATATAATAAGGAAACCGATCGGGAATTGCATACATTCAGCTCTTCTTTGACAACAGGAGTCAGTATAGGTGATTAGCCGATTAGCCCCCTTTATAGCTCTTTACAATGTCCTGCACTTGTAACCTCGACTCAGGATGCCAGCGTCTCCGGTGGCCTGGAGATGCGCGCAGTGTCATCCAACGAGGATGCCGATTTCGAAGCTCGCGTGAAGGCCATGAAGGAATTCATGGGCAGCGAGCGCTTCAAGTACACCACTCGTCCATACAAGGCCGTTGGCTGGGAGAGGGTGGCATGCACTTGCCACGCCAACTGGAGTTGCACACCACACACCAAACAAATGTTTAGAAACAGCAAAGTGTCAGGGTCTGAAACGTGACTGTGAACTACTGTGGTCACTATGGTCACTGTGCCCCAGGTCGAAGATGTGGTGAAGCTCCAGGGCACTTTCCCCATGTACTTCAATGGCGCCAAGGTGTCTGAGAAGCTCTACAAGATGCTCCGGGAACACCAGGTCCGGATGATGCAACGCTTGGACTTCAGCGGATCCATGTCAGATGCCATACCAAGTTCATCCAATGATGTGCACTTGCTGCTGTCATGCTGACCTCCTCCTGTCTTCTCTTGACTGAATCGTACTGCCATACCATACTTCATACTTCGCCGCTTTTGCTGCTGTTTGCCCTTCATACCCTGTTGTGCTGAGACATGTATGGACATGTTCAGACAAAGTGCTGCGAAGGCCAAGGGTACCTGCTCCCACACCTTCGGTGCCCTTGACACAGTTCAGGCAAGGAGTCTGCATTGAGAGCGTTCAGCAGACACTTTTTTGCATCGTGACTCTGCCGTGCTTGGCAGGTCACCCAGATGGCCAAGTACCTGACCTCTGTGTACGTCAGCGGATGGCAGTGCTCCTCCACTGCATCAACCTCCAACGAGCCCGGCCCAGATGTGGCAGACTACCCTTATGACACCGTGCCCAACAAGGCCAGTGTTCTGTTATACTGCACTCCTCGGAAAAGATCTAGAAAGAGAGAAAGCGCCATACGAGGCTTCACAAGGGCAGGTCATGATAGGTGAGACATAGTCGTGGTTCATCGCTTCTTGTGGCATCAGTATGCCAGCCAGCCTCCTAATCAGGTGGATCAGCTCTTCCGAGCCCAGCTCTTCCACGATCGCAAGCAGTACGAGGAGCGACGTCGCATGAATCCAGACGAGCGCGCCAAGACTCCAGTGGTTGATGCTTGGATGGCATAGTTGGCATAGTTGCCGCGCAATAGCATTTTGCTGTTGTGCTTCGAGCTCGTGCGAGTGATTCTGTGTGTGAAACTGACGGTTTAGAATGCATGAACTCCGTGCAGTTTTTCTTTGACCCGACCGTGATTGCAATGAGGACTACCTGAATCCCATCATCGCAGATGCAGACACTGGCCATGGAGGCATCACCGCCACTATGAAGCTCGCCAAGATGTTCATTGAGAACGGCGCCGCTGGCATCCACATTGAGGATTTGCGCTTGTTCAAGTCTTCCATGTTTGGGGAAAACGGGAAAATCAGAAAGATGCCAGAATCAGAAGAGCTCACAGAATCATGGGCCTGAATGGCGTTGTAGTTCAATGACGGGCTCGTTTCCCTGAGCACCTAAGACCTAAGGCTCCTTGCAGGAACGTCAGATCCTGCTCCGCAGCCATGCATCCCCCTCAAGTCAGATGATACGTATAATTTATGTATAATTTAAGAATCTGAAATTCAGGTCAGGCAGGCAATTATACACACGTACAGTACGCACGTACACACAGACACACAGAGAGATACGTATAACGTGCGTCTATATGTAATATATGTAGTATATATATATATATACATACATGATATACAGTCATAGCTTCTAGATGCTTCTAGATTTTCTACAACCAATGGTCAGCAGAGAACACATCACTTCGACAGATGCCAACTCTGAATGTCTTAGAGTTCAACCACATAGAGACTTAGAGGCAGCCCAAGTGGTGCTACTTGAGTTTATTTTGATTTCTTTGCCCGTTGCTATGCGATGCCAACGAGTCCTTTGGAGCCTAAGTTGGCGACATTCACAAAGATGCGGGGCATCTCGACCTTTTTCTTCACAGCCCTTGCGCTGGTCCAGCTCTAGAGCACCGGAAGACAGCTTCAAGCAGTTCTACTGGGATGAGGAAAATGTGCTGTACCTATACGCGATTCAAAGAGTGCAACTTGCGCCAAATGTCCAAGAAGATGTGAAGTTTCTAGACTGACAGTAACAAATCCTAGGTTTTGGGCCGTCCGGATTCTACAATCTCTTCCTCTTTGTTTCCTCCACTCTTCCTATTCTGTAGACTTTGTTGCTGATACTCTTTTATGCTATTCTAGCCTAAACGACATGAAATAATAATGACATAATATGACCTTGCACTTAACAGATCTTCACAGGTTGCGAGACGGAAAGCAGCATGTGGATATCACCTGGCAGCTTGGAGAGCATGGAGAGAGGTTGGCCGGCAGCGGCCGGGCGCGCAGCAAGAAGCAAGCGCGCCGAGAGGCGGCCAAGAAGCTGCTGAAGCTGTTGCCCGTGGGAAAGGAAGCAGAGATCCAAATGCGAAAACAGATGCTCCAGGGACTTCGCTACAAGTTGTCTGCCGAGGCAGTAAACATTGGAAATCATAGGGTGGGGGGAGAAACAGATGTAGGCAAGGAGAAATTTGGGAACTGGATCATTGTCATGGCAAGCAGCACTTTCGTCAGACATAATCAGACATATATTGTCAGCAGTAATTCAACTGAAATGATCCCTGAGGTGGTTGAGGATGGGGTGGCTGGTGCCGTCAACAATGATCGTGGCCTCCAGCAGATCTACCGGGTCTTGTGGAAAGTCCCCAGACCGCAGGGCCGTGCTCCAGCAGAGGTTTCAGCTGAAGGACGAGGAGGTACAGTGGCAGAAGCCCAGGTGTGGGAGCGGAGAGACAACTCAGTGCATTTGCAATGAAAGGGTTCACCTCTTTTAACAATTTTAACAAACTTACTGCACTGTCAGTAGCAGTAGCATCAACTTCAATGCTCTCAGTGGCATTCAGTGGCTTTTGGGATTTTGACGCTTAGATCTCATAGTACCACGATGCACCACGCAGGCAGATGCTTGGGAGAACCTCTACATTCAAGCAAGACGGAAGAATCTTCATGCAGCTGCTTCCCAGGCAGTTTATGAAGAACGAGAGGAACGGAAGCGCCAGCAGCTGGAGGACGCTGCTGAGCAGCGACAGCAGCAAGTCAACGAGGGCATGTCAATTTTGACCTCTGAAGCAGCGTCCGAGCTGGCAGTGCGGCACAATACCGTGGTCCAACGTTTGCGAATCCAGGACTGGCATGGACCAAACAATGCGAGTACCAGACAGTCAGATCTATTTTGCCTTGGGCGAGTAGCCTGAAATTCAGACAGCTCGCATGAAGGTGTCAAATGTAATAGACTAGACATACCACTCTGTAACTGCGGCGTAGATCAGAGCTAAATTCAGCATTTCCTTCTTAGTATGTGTCTGAATCTAGAAGAGTTCCTTTGCTTGTTCCGGTCTCCAGGCCAAGGATGAAATGGCGGCACATGAGGCAGGCTACCATTGCGTTTTACATTGGTCCTGGGAAGATCCCAGTGGCGAGTCTCGAAGTGCACGATCCAGCGGTTTAGGCTCCAGCAAGCGCCAGGCAAGGGGTGAGGCCATGCAAAAGATGTTGGCAGAACAAGGCTTTGGATCCTTTGAAGCCACTGCCCTCAACGATGCTGCGAGAGTTCGAGGCATCGGCATTGAAGAGTCGCTGTATGTTGAAAATCCAATGGCTTTGGGGTATTTGAGGGTAAGATAGGTTCAGACATGGAAACTAGTGTATGAGTGCATGGAATGCTTCACTAAAATTCATTAAATGTATGAAGGGGCAGAGTCATGACAGTAACCCTTCCTGTGAGAGCCCCTGAGGTTTGGCCAAAGCAGGGGATCCTCAAAGCACGCCCTTGGCTTGCAGCTTCATGTTAAATTGGCCAACCTCGCATTGGGGCTTGGTTTTGATCGAAGTTTGGCAGTCAGCGCTAGCGCGGCAGGATCTAGCGGCTGTGCAGGAGTTGGGGGCTGCGGTGCAAAGTGTGTCTGACGGATTGGGGCCACAGCTCTGGGAATCCCTTCTGGATGCTCCAGCGCACGTGGCGTGTGGCAAAACTGCGATGGAAGCATTGAAAGCACTGCAAGGCGTCTCATTGATTGCCTCAGGTTTTCCGTCAAAGGCTCACAGGGACTACTTTCAACACTTTCGCTTACTCACTGCGATGGAGCGGATAGGTGCCAATCAGGCCATGGTGGAAGAACTTCGTTCACAATCAGACGTGATGAATCTTGGTGGCACGCTATCAGACTGCGTGTATTCCAGAAGATGTTTCTTTTTCTAGGCTCCTCTTGCATAGTTCGCACATGGCTAGGGGGAAGCCTGAGACTTTCTGGGCCCACAAGTGACTCTCGCTGCTTCGCCCGGAAGGTCTTTGAGAATGAGACAGCAGAATTGCGTGTTGCCTTATTTGACTCTGGCTCCGGCATCATCTGGCAATGCGCATTGGAGCCCAAGCATTTTCACTGAACTGCGCCAGGGTGATGTGGTGTATTTACAATCTGGGGAAAGAGATCACTTGGCAGTTATCACCTCCATCGTGAAGGACCCAAAGCAGATAAGAATTTGATGGTTCAGGTCCTCCATGACTTGTTGGGCCACATATCAAAGGAATGGTTACACTTCTTCGTATTGGTCGTCTCGCACTAGCAAGACGAGTGTGACGAGAAAGGGAAAGTATCACACAAACACACGCAAAACCGTTGTATAGACAAAGTAAACTAGGCCCAATGATTCAACATCTGACGTGCAGGAGGATGGCAAGCAGAAACTCACCTTGCGGTGTCACACCTTAAGTCTGGACGATGTTGATGAAGAATGGTTTGACGTTTATGGCCTGGAATCAGAGGTCACCACCTTGCGGTGCATCTCCGCTTTATGGTCTGCCAGCCAGCCGCATGCTTCCTTAGAGGAGCGGCCTGCCACTCAGCTGATGCTCAACAGAGAGATGACCAAAATCCTGGTGGAAAGCTTCCTGCCGGAGGGTCTGACAAAGGCTCGGGAGGTTGCAAGGTCTCTCCCACCTGGCTGTGACCCTGGGTCCATGGATCAACGCCTGCAGATGCTGCAGAAGTCGATCCCAAGCCATGTGAACCTGTCTGAGTCGCAGATGAGATCAGTGCAGTCGGCCTTGCAGCAGCGGCTGACCTTGATCCATGGACCACCTGGTACAGGGAAGACCACTGCTGCGGTCTCAGTACTTTCAGCCTGGCGCTCCTTGGGAGATCGAATTCTTTGTGCTGCGGATTCCAATGTGGCAGCAGATAATTTGCATCAAAATCTCCAGAAGTGGGGAGTGAAATCCTATCGCTTTTCGCCGACTGAAATGCATCAGACTGGTGAACGAGCCACTGCTTATCAACGGATGCTTGCAATCCAAGATGCCATCGGCAGCTTTCAGATTGTCGTGACCACATGTGCCAGTGCAGGTCATGAACTTCTGCGAGGCTACAATTTTCCACGGGTCTTGATTGATGAAAGCACCCAGTCTATTGAGCCCAGCACGTTGCTGCCCATCATCAACGGATGTTCACACCTGGTCCTCATTGGTGACCATCGGCAACTGCCTCCTACGGTGATTTCAGATGATGCGAGACGTTTGGGCCTGGACCGATCATTGTTCGCTCGCTTGGCTGAACCCAAGGCAAATGCTGTGGTGGAGCCACTGCTGCTCAATGAACAAAGAAGGATGCACCCAAGCATCGCCGAATTTCCGAATCGTCATTTCTACAATGGCCTGGTTCAAGACCAAGTTTCAAGTCGACCTCCCATTCCTGGTGTGCAGTTCCCGCAGCAGGATGCTACACGAGTCTTGCTGGTGGATTGTGCTGCAGAGACTGCAGAGACTGCAGAGGAACAGTATGGCACCTCCTGGCGAAATGTGGCAGAGGTTCAGGCTGGATTTTGGACCTTTTTTTTTTTGGGTTAGATAGATGATGATAATATATGTATATATTATGTATATATATGCGCCTCGAAACCGACTGTTTCCCAACTTTTGTCTGTTTGGGGTCAATTCAAACCCTCCATTTGGCATTGGAGCCTGTGCGGAGGCAGTGCGAGACTTTGTTGCTCATGTCCTATCCCCCTCTCGCCATGTTCCAAAGCCTTTGGAGCCTGAGCAGATCGTGGTATTGACCCCATATCTCCAACAAAAAGAGCTACTGCAATCTGCTCTTGAGAAGGCAAAGCTGCAGGTGCGCGAGCGGAGCCTGTCAGATTTCGAGCACTTTTTGTCATGATATACCCTCACAATGTGACATAGAAACACATAAAATCGCATCTGAATAACGCGCCCGCATGTAAGAAAAATGGCAGCATACAGGATTTCAATGTATCAGTTCCTGAGTTTAAGTTGGAATTGGAAACTATTGGAACAAGCTTCTGGAAATCTGGAAATCACTTTAGTTTCCTGGCAGGTTCGGGTTTCCACGGTGGATGGCTTCCAAGGAGCTGAGGCAGATCTGGTTCTGTTCTCTGCGGTCCGGGCGAATCTCTCTGGACGCCTTGGTTTTCTGCGGGACACGCGCCGAGCCAACGTGGCACTGACTCGGGCCAGACGGGGCTTGGTGGTCTTTGCAGATGCGACGACCTTGAGGGAATCCAAGGGCTCCGTTTGGGCTACTTGGTTGGAATGGTTAGAGGCCCGTGATGGCATCCGTGAGCTCGACGAACTCTATCAAGATGTTTTGATTTGAAGAATCATTTTAGGTCTCTGTGTCTCAATACGATGACTGCTAGCCAGCAAAGAACCGGCATGCAGTTCCTCAGAGCCCATGGAGAAAGCATTCTGGCCATGTTTGGTGTGTCCGTCGCTTTGTTTTTTTCTCCATCCGAGCTGGGATTTACAGTTACTGCATTATATATATATAATAAATATACGTACATATAGTTTTTTGCTAGGAATTTCGAAGCTGGTAGTTTGTCATACATCGCAGGCGACAGCTTTCGTCTACTAATCGGCCTTAGTAGTTTGTCATAAAACGCTGGCAAGTCGCTTCAGCACAAAGACCTTTCGCTGATGATGTCTATTTAAAGAGTCTATTTGTTTCCACCATTGTAGCAAGAATGATAGCCTCGAATCCTGAATCCAAGCCTAAACTTGATGGTTCATTGAAGTTCATTGTCTCAAGATACACATGCAGGACCAAAAGCCTGGCACTAAAAAGTGCGGCCACATGGGTGGCAAGGTGTTGGTCTCTACCCAGGTGCGGCAGCATGCGGCAGCGCATGATATGCACATCTTGTCTTCCACCAAGAGCCTTTGCATCACTTTGTCTTTGGCACTCAGACTGAGAGAAACAAAATGAAACAAATATTGAAACAAATTGAACAAATCAAGAATTCTGAAGTTGTGGGCATTGTGTGACTCGGGTTCCGTCACTGCCATTCCCTCAAAGCAGTCCAGCCACACAACCCAACGGACCAACGGACCAGGAACACATCCAGCGATTGATCGCCATCCGTCTCCAGGTGCGTTTCATTTCAACTTCAACGATTTTTCTGTTTTCAAGAACGTGCTTCTTCAAGAAAGACACCAAATTTGATTAGATGATTAGATTTTCTTGATACTGTCCCATCGTTGGGTTTGGCTCTCAAGTTCTCGAGCTGGATGCTTGGATCTTGCAGGCCGACGTGCTCAATTCACCTTTGGTGTTGGTGGCGCGTACCGATGGGGAGGCAGCCACGATGATTGACAGCAACATTGAGCCTTGGAAGATTCAGCCGCTGCAAAGGTGTTTACGTGAAAGAGCCATGAAAGATTGCAGGGCAAAGGCATAATCATTGGCCTCAGCATTGCCATGTCATGCCACCACTGGCTAGCAGGCGGTGCGACACAGTGTTGGTAGACGTTTGGAACTATATACTGTAATATATATATATATATTATGTATGTATATATATATATACATTATACAAAACATGCCAAGGCACTCTCCTGCCTTTATAGCATCTCAGAAAACTTTGCAGGACTTTACCCGTGCTTGCACTCACAATTCCGGTAATTATGCCCGTTTCTGTGTGATTGGCAAATCATTCAGGCTTGCCTCACAGGCTTCAATTGGTTTGCTTCATCTTTCTATTTTGGAGCAGCCGCATTCCTGTGCTCCCCACCATGGGCTCCGACTTGCCAAGGATCCCATTGATCATCCTCACATCAAGGGTGTCACCATCAAGGGCGTGGAACCTTTGTACGAGGCAATGAGGAAGGGAACTGACAAGGACTGGGAGGAGCGTGCTGGATGCATGACCTTCCCCGATGCCGTCGCCAAGGCCTTGAAGGCTAAGGGACAGGACCCAGCCAAGTGGCTCCAGGATGCTCGCAAGATGTCCCTGGACCAAATGCGCAAAGCTGCCGCAGGCATGGGCTGCGACATCTACTTTGACTGGGACGCTGCTCGCTCGGTGGAAGGCTACTTCCGAATCAAGGGCTCCACTGAGTTCTGCATTGAGCGTGCCATTGCCTTCGCCCCATATGCGGACAGCATCTGGATGGAGACTGGCAAGCCAATTTTGGCTCAGGCGACTCAGTTTGCCAAGGAGGTTCGTGCTGCAGTGCCACACCAGATGCTTGCATACAACCTGAGCCCATCCTTCAACTGGGACAGTGCAGGAATGACCGATGCTCAGATGGAGTCCTTCATTTGGGACCTTGCCAAGCTCGGATTCTGCTGGCAGTTCATTACCTTGGCCGGATTCCACTGCGACGCCCTGAGCATTGACCTCTTTGCCAAGGAGTACTCCAAGCGCGGTGCTGCTGCCTATGTTCAGATGATTCAGCGCAAGGAGCGCGAGAACAAGGTGGAGACTTTGACGCATCAGAAGTGGAGTGGATCTGAGATCGTGGATGAGATGGGCAACATCGTCAGCGGTGGTCTCTCCTCTACGGGCATCATGTCCGCAGGCGTCACTGAGAAGCAGTTCTGAGGCTGCCGGGCTGGTATCCTTCCTGAGCTGCCAGCACAGACCACAGTGGCAGCTGACAGGAGGGTGGCGGCAGGAGCACCTTAACTCATGATTCTTTTGATTTTCTTCAGCAGCAATAGCTCTGCTGACCTCAATCTGGGAAGAATGGGACTCATGGCTGTGGCAAGACACAGGAATATATAGTAGGTACTTTTTGTAGTATCGGAGACGGGGCTGATGTTGCTTGTTCCAATTTGATGCGTAGTTATGTCCCCTCATGACGTAAGCCATCTTCCCAAAGAACTCTTTAGCACAAGTTCTCCGGTGTGGAAACAGCACTCACTCTTAGATGTCTTGGGGCACGGGAGGTGTACGTGTCACGCCTGGCTAGACTATTTCAAGTGCAGCAGGCTGAAAGGTCCGCGCGGGCCTCGTTCAGGTTGAAGGCGGCTTTGCTTCTTAGGGTCGGGCATGCCCCATACACATCCTTGTTGCTATGTTTTACACGTGTCTCAGTCTCAAGTGCAATCTTGAGAAATGAATATGTATGTGAAGAGGTTCTTACTTGACTTATCTGGATGTTCAGCTGGTGTTCTGGACACGGAGGGCTTGTTTAATTTATATCCATGTTTATTTTTACGCGCGCACATGCATATATGCATGCATACATAACACATATATGTATATAATTGTATATACACATATACATATAGAGTGATATAGATATAAACAAATGAATCATTTGAGTATATATATGTATGACTATGTATGTATGATTTGTATTTAAGAAATTTCATTTGCAAGGGCTCTGTCTCTGTCATGCTCCATATCCGAGGCCATGGATGGTGCGATGCGTCCACCCCCTGTGCCACAGAAGGCAAAGAGGCCGCAGGTGGCTCCGCCAGCAGATGAACCGGCGCCAAAGCGTATAGAGTTGCTTGGTGAAATGATGTGAAATGGCTATGGCTTCCTATGTGCCGAGACATGAGTATGAAATCAACTAGAGTAGGCCCCTCAATTCTTGTAAATGAAGATCCAACAGATATCAGTTGCATCCACTTGCAGTGGTCGTTCAGCGATCGAACAACATGTTTCACCACCTGAATTGGACGGCTGTGGCTCCAGGCTTGGGGAGGAGTTGCCAGATGAAGTTTCGAGGGAGGACATCCAGCAGATGTTGGATAAGGCTGATGAATCTTGGTTGGAGCACAAGTCTCTATGGAGGCTCCGCTGTTGTTTTGCATCACTACCAATCCATAGGCAATATTAAAAAGTCACACTAACACCAGTGCTTTGCGAAACTGCAACTGTGTTGGAAGCGAACATGTGCTACCCAAAAATGTAATCATTGTAATCTTCGAATATCTTCGATGCACCTTCCTGTGTTTCGGCAAAGATTGTTTTCAAGCTGAATTCCCCGTCCAGCCTAGGAACTTCATGCGGTCGCCTGAGTCATTTTGCGGTACTTGATCCCGTCGAGCACCAGATGCATCCTCATGTGTATGAGTTCAACCAAAGTGACAAAGATCAGCACTGGGTTTACGGAGCAGGCCGTGAGAAAATGTTTGCGTGCTGTTTTTTGCAGACTGTGGTTCCGAGGTGGAAGCCTTGACTGAGACTTCATTGAAGCGCATGCACCTCCAGTTCGAGCGAAAAGTGAAGCTCAACCGCGAGCTCAGAATAAAGCTGCTTGATTGCTATGGCATGCTATGGCTATGACCAAGTTTTTTCTGCTGGTTTCTGAAGGTTGCCAAAGTCATCCCTAGCCTCTTGCTTTGTCCTATGCCAGTTTGACCCGAGGCATGTGGACGATCCAGACAAGTTTCTGAAAAGCGAAGTAGACCTTGATGAGGAGATCAAGAAGTGTCCTGGCTGCAGGGAAAAGGAATGGCGCTTTGTATCTTATATATTCTTATATAAAGGCTGCACGCCAATCCAGCCACCCCCATGCTTCCAAGGTTTACTTTGGTGGCCACCCACCCCGAGCTCTACGCAGCCTTGTTAAAGCTGGAAACATTACCACTGCTCGCAGCTTGTCAGCTTATGTTGCAGATAGGTGTATTGACCTTTTCTTTTCTTTTTTTGCTTCCTCGCCTTGTAATCTCCATTTCATGAAATCTTATTAAGGACGTTCTTGGCCCGTTGAAGATATACATCCGCTTTGAGCTGTTTTCAGGTGGGCATGCTCAACCATGTGAACACAGACATCGCCGTGGATGTCTTTGAAGTGCTCAGTGAACTCACGGACCCAGAAGTCCTGAGTTCCTTGTCACAACAAACTGCTCAGTGCACTATGCTCCAAACGCTTGTTTGATACAAAACGTGTAGCATGAAATTTAAGCACCCCCATGGTGCCACCCATTGATTATACATTTATGTAACATTTATGTAACGATCACCTGAAATGCCCAGTGGTCTTGGAAAGACATGGTGTGGGTGAAGTTTGTCCCAACCCAAGGTGAAGTCGAAGATCCCGAGGGCTTCGTCAAGGCATGTTTCCAACTGATATGGACCACTTCTGATTCTGGAAACCCACGGCAATGCCAACACAGTACATACAAGTGAGGAGATTTTCAAAGAGTACATATGCCATTACGATCCATTACGTGCCGATTTTGCTTGAATGCTGAACCCCCAACAGTTTCCATTTGTTCGTCCCCCAAGCCATGGTTGTGACTTGCGGGTCACTCCGTTGAGGCGATCTTTGATGCTCAGCTCTGCCAAATGACAGTCGATGTCCTCGCGCGCATTGACGAGACTGTCAGTGATGAAGATTTCAAGGTGCAGCGTGAGGTGCTTGTTTCCTGAACTTCATATATCCTATACACACATACATATATACAGACATATATACATACATATATATATATGCATATATATATACATACATACATACATACATATATATATATACATATACCTATATATATATACAGTATATAACATATATATATAAACACATATATATATATATACGCATACATATATACATACATATATATATATATATATATACATATATACATAATATATACACACATATACATATACATATATATATACATACACATATATATATATACACATACATATACATATACATATACATATATACATATATATATATACACATACATATATGTATATATACACATACATATACATATACATATACATATACATATATACATATACATATATATATATATATATATACACATATATACAGTGTATATATATATATACATATGCACATACACACATACACACATACATACATACAGACAGACAGACAGACAGACAGCCAGGCAGGCAGGCAGGCAGACAGACAGACAGACATACATACATACATACATAAACATTTATAAAAAAAGGCGCACAAACACATATCACAGTCATTCTTTGCATGCACACGCGTCGTAGTATTCCCGGTCAAAGGAAGGATAGATACTGCCACATACACAGAACATTGGATCCGCCCCTGCATGGAGAGATGCACGCTGGCCAGGCCGTCACCAATGGGCTGAGTATGATCGAAAACCTGGCAGTGGCACAGCTGAAAAAGTACCGAAGACAAGAGTTCCATGAGGAAATCTCCCAAGATGACCAAGACGAGTATGTGAAGTTGCATTGCTATGTGCATGATTTGCAGAGTATTGGATGCTTTGATATTTTTGCTAAGACTAGCCAACTTTGTGCCTTCATCTTTGAGCCTATACGCAGATATCCTGGATATCCTGCAAGCCCAGAATCAAGCGGTAAATTGTTTTACCGTTTTACCTACCTGCACCTAAGGACCTGATGCCGCAAGAGACTTGTCGACAGTTCCTGGAGATTCCCACTTTCCTTCCCTGGTTGATCAAACGCTTGCGAGCGCAGGGCATGGATTACAACAAGGCCAGTCCAGATCCTTGCGGTTTGTTGCCATTCCACATAGCAGTGGCACTGTGACCATCGGAGGTGCATGAAACATCTTTGTGACGCATGTGGCATGTTCAGAAATATCTTCAGATGTGCTGATAGCTTTGAGCATCTTTGAGAGTGCCCGCAGTGGTTTCAGATGCTTGGGATTCATGTGGTTGTTTCATATTGTTTCATATGGTTTCCATTTTGTTTCTCTTCTGGGGCAGGTGTATGCCTCGGAAATCCTGGGCATTGTGCTGCAAAACTCTGAACGTGCACGAGAGGAGTTGCTCAGCTGACAGGGAAACATAGCCAGTGTTGACGCAGCAGGAGGAAGTGATTGTTGGTACCTGCCCGCATGTTTTGTGATATGAACTTCTCATTTGCTTCCAAGAATTCCTTCTTTACAACTCTACTAGACGCTCAAGTTTATACTATGCGCCTCCTTTAGGAATGCATTTGACTAGGAGCTTCAGAGATTTGGAACATTTCGATCGCACAAGGATGGTGAAGCTTGAAGGTGTTGATAAGCTTCTCCGCGGTATTGCGGCATACCGAAAACGTGACCCTGCTGACAGCGAGGACATCCATTTGCCTGGCATTGCATGGCTGGAATGCAGCATTGCATCAGCATCGCATCAAACACGTTATATCATGTTATATTAACCGACTCCAGGAATATTGAGCTTTGATGGTTTCGCTTGGGTTGGATCTCTGTCTTTGACCTCCATCCTCGTACCACAAATTACCCCAGCGACAGGAGGCAGAGTACGTTCAAAACATGTTTGACTGCATTTGCTCGTTGATGCTCTTGAAGACCAATCAAATTGCGTTTGGCAGCTTGCAAGGGCACCTTGGACGAAAATGAAAGCCCAGGGGGGAAACAGAGGAAGACAGAAGTTTTGGCCAACGAAAAAGTAGCCCAAGAGATTCACGCTGTCACAGTCCAAATCACAGAGGGAGAAATGAAACACCACTATGGATCACTATGGTGGCTTATAAGTCTGTTGTGGCTTTGTTGGTTGCCTCATCCTCTGCGTGTTTCATTGCGATGTGGTCTTCTTTGCCTGGAACAGGGGCTGTTTGCCTCAAGGTTGGAGCTGATGATCCGTATGATGCGGGAGAAAGTCTTTGCAGCTACGCTGGCCTTGAAATTGGTGGACCATTCCTTGCGCCACTGCCCAGAGAATTGTTCCTTGATTGGCAGGCAGTTGAGACATGCTGTTGAAGGTGCCAGATGTGATTTCCCGCAGACTTGAGTCGTGATGACAGTCTAAGTGATAAGGTCAAATTTTTGTGGAGAAGCTGGGGTTGAAGGTGCACCGCGACAAACTCTTATGGGAATAACATGGAATAGCTACTTTATATAATTCTGCAAACTTTCCAGTAGATCGCTGCATTTTCTGTTCTCTGGAGGTGGCGATTTGATTGTTAAGCATGAGACGGGTTTGGTGGAAGCTCTTAGATTCATATGCATGACAACAGATATGTAGAGAGAGCCGTCAAGTTCTATCAATCGAGGGTCATGACTTACTTACAGTCAGGGGCTGCCAGGTGCCCGGGCGGTCCGGGCTTTTGCTTACGGTGGGGCTTCCAGCATGCAGTTGGTATGTGTGGTACGTTCAGAGTGCTCATTTGGTGCTTCGATGTGTTGGTCTGCTTCCCTTTCGCATGACTCTCAAAGCGAGACAGCTGGCCAGGTCCTATTCGCGATCTTCATGAAGAAAGGATGGCAGGGTGGCTGTCGGTCGGTCAGTAGCTTGCTCGAATCAGGAGGAAAGCAGTAAGGTCCCCCAATCGTCACTTACGTTGGGAGAAAAGATCTCTCTCTTTCTTTCTTTCTTTCTTTCTTTCTTTCTTTCTTTCTCTCTCTCTCTCTCTCTCCCTCTCTCCGCAAATCATATTCCTACTTGCATTGTGAGAAGAGGTATCAAGATTGGTGGTTATTTTTTTGTGACGCCATCAGGCTATATATATATATATATAATTATATATATATATACGTCAGGTCTGGGAAAAAGTGCGGGATGATGACAAGAGATGCCACTCCCTGTGTGCAGGAGCCAAAACCAAGAAACAAAGTGAAGCAAAAGAAGTCGAAGAGCACGTTCCAAGCCCCAGAAGATGTGTGCCACGAAGCATGTTGGAGAGAACAACACAGCTTTTAGATTTATATAGATGACTGGCACTGGCAGTTCATGCAAGAGTATGCACCGGTTGCAGTATATAAGCACCAACAGAGGACCAATGCCAGCTACAGTGGATTTGGTGGTTTATCTGTGGCCATTTTCAGTGGCTCCTTGATGCAATGCTGTTCTTTGACATCAATCTCGTGGCATGCAAGCCCAGAACTAATAATGGGCCATAGATACAAGCAGGTCTTTTTACATTTGAGGAGTGAATTTTCAGGAAAGAATAGGGATCTTGAAGGTTGAAGAGTCAGAGTCCAGTTCCGGTCTCGTTCTTGCAGCTGAATAGCCACGTGCTCGCTTCTTTCAGCCATGGCGCTGCGTCCGCAAAGCGGAGGCAGACCGCTTCGTCCGCCTTGGCATTGCTTAGCTTTGCTTGCGGAGCCTTGGCTTAGGTCGAACGAGTCGAACTGAGTCACAGTCCCGGCTGCTCTTCCGAGATGATCCCAATTGTGCCGTGCATTTGCCCCCAAACTCTTGGGATATGCCTTTTAGAAAATCTTTTAGATCTTTGAGCAGGTTCGCCATCAGATTTGGTTGGCTGTGCGCGGGCTAAGCATGTGGCAGCTCGGGAGTGTAATGCTGTGACATGCTGTGACACATGCACATTGGTCATATGCTGAAGCTACAAAAATCACAAGGAGGAAGTTAGCATTGTGCATTTTGCGAAGAGCTTGAGATGTTTGTGGTGCAAAGTCAGTTTTTGCACCCGTTTGAGTCAACTCTTGGCAATTTGCAATCCCTCATGCATGGTGCACTTTGTATGCATATGTGGGCCAAGAACATGTCCATTCCTTGCAGTACAGGGGCTTTAATTTGCACACAAGTTGTGTGCTTTGCGGGGCGCGGGGCAGAATTCGGAGAGGGCGGTGATGGAAGTTTTCCTTGGACGTTGCTGCTGTGGACACGTTTCATCGTTCACTCGATGCAATCCGTGTAACAGTATCGCGCTAGCAGCTTCTGAAAACACTTTCCTTTGTCTTTCAAAGCTGTGGAAACCAATAGCGCGCTGAACATCTAGGAAGCTGGCTGCTGCCCTAGATTGCCTATCTGAGGGGCATGTTGATGTGGTAAAATAGCCGCCAGAATGCGTGTCATGTGTGTTCAAGCTTAAGCCATTTCTAATGCCTACAGAGCTGGAAGGAAAGCTCGGACACCGATTCTTTTGACCTGCGCTGCCAAGAATGAATACAATTATACGCCCTTTATATAAATCTTTAGACAACTGCGCGCCTTTGCAACAAGTTGCCCTTTAGACAACTGCGCGCCTTGCAACAAGTTGCCTGAAGGGCACTTTCGAAGGTGTCCTAGTGCCATGTGCTGATTTGCCATGAGGTCATTCTCAGTATTTGGTTGGAAGGTTGCGATGATGAGCCGCAAACCTGCTACCCAGATAGCTCTGCTTCAGACACTGGGGAGTACAGTTGCGCGCCTTTGTTGCATTGGTTGCAACCCCCTGGGCAATTGTACTACCATTTCTTAGTTCCAAGGTGCTAGCACTTCAGATATGGATGACTGATGATGACTGATGATGACTGATGATGACTGATGATGACTGATGATGACTGATAATCACTGTGACTGACTGTATTCTGTGATTTCCATGTTTCTGCAACGAGGGTCTTAAGGGATGTATGTCGTGGTGTAAATTCTCCACGGCCTGTGTTCACCTGTGTCTCTAATCCCGATTTGGGATGAGGTCAGCAACCGGTATTGCTCCCGGCAAGATTTTGCAACAGTTCTCCCCAATGCTATGAGTCTTCAGGCGCTGCTTCAAGGGGCTGAACCGGGTTCGTGGACCCATTCGTGCAAAACTTATATATATTATTTTATTTATATATATGTATAATATTATATAATTATATATATATAGACTTATAAAAGGCCAAGCCGCTGTGGTGGGGAGGGTTCTGTGGGACCAAGAAGCTGTTTGAGCCAACTACAACGGCAAAGAACTGCCGTTAAAGGGACTCACCACGATTCTGAAACCTTAAGTAAAACTGAGATTAAACAAGACAATTCGTATTGGATTTTGCCTCCAGACCTGAAAGATTCAAGAGATGAGAATCTGCCGTGCCAAGACTTCTGAGGAGTGCATGGATGAGTGCAAGAGCCGCAACTGTCAAGTCATTCAATATGACACTTGGCGACAAGCGTGGCGAGCTGCAACAGCAAAGCATGAAAAGAGAAGCTCCACATCATTCTTGTGATACGGCCCAGTAAGTATCTTGCATCATGCGAGTGTGAATCTACCAAAGCAGAAACTTTGACAGCTTGCACGATGCTGCGAGGACTGTGGCACCCATTGTTGGCTTCTTGATAGCTGCGGGGATCATGTGGATTCAGGCTGCCAGAGCAGCATCTACTACAGAGATTTGAATTTCGTGGCCAGCACCACCAGCACCACTACCGTCTCTGTAGAGCTGGGCTCGTGCTTTCCAAACACTGTGGACTCAGGCGAAATGGCTTTGCCAAAGGGATCTCACTAGTGACATTGGTGTTGCTTGAAGATACTTCAAGGCATACTTGATCAGGGGTTGTGAGCCAAATGCTTAGTGCCAATATTGCCAATATTTGATCAAGTTAGGCTACGTGGGGCTTCTTTCTGCTGGTTGGTCGTGGCTTTGGTGGGACGTGTGTTCACCTGCCAGGGCAATACTCCTGCACTGCGACTCACTATTGCAGCAACCAAGCCAACGGAGTCAACACTGGAACTAAAACGCTACAAAGCTGCATAGATGAGTGCGACGCAGACTCATCGTGCGTTTCCATCCAGTATGACTGCAGCACGGATTGTGTGCTCCTTGGCCAAGTCATGGTGTGGCAACATTGTAATGCCATGTGAATCACTTAGCGGGGTCTCATCAAATCCCCAGAGAGAGAGAGAGAGAGAGAGAGAGAGAGACAGAGACAGAGACAGAGACAGAGACAGAGACAGAGACAGACAGAGAGAGAGAGAGCGAGAGAGAGAGAGAGCGCGAGAGAGAGAGAGAGAGAGAGAGCGCGAGAGAGAGAGAGAGAGAGCGCGAGAGAGAGAGAGAGAGGGAGCATGGGATTCTGATTCAGTAGTTTGGGTTTGGAAGGCGTGGGGCTTGAGGTCTTAGGTTTTGGGCTGATAAGCTGTGGGTGAAGATTTCGGGGCTTGTCTAACTGAAGAAATGAATGGCAGCAGATCAGGGCCAACCGCAGAGCCTCGCTGAAGATATATTTTGAGAGCCAACATCGCCCACTGACCTAGTGGTGTTTCAAAGGAGCAGAACCTAGTACTCTGTCTCTCTCTCTCTCTCTCTGTTCGATGAGGCAGGTCTAGAGTCAGGTTCAGAGCGAAAATAAGGGTCCTTTTGTATTGTGTGTTGCTGGGTCTGACAGTTTTCAGTCATTTTCATTGATGGCAGCTTGCAAGACTTAGAGTCCTGGATCAGTCGTGTCAGATCGTGAAACCCGCAGGCTCTTCACAGGGGGACATGCTTGTGGCACTGAACTGACGACAGTTTGCGGGAGTAGCCTCTACTACAAGCAAGCTGGTGCTGCTGTTTCGACCAGTGACCCCAACTTGCTGGGCTCGTGCTTTCCAAACACTGTGGACTCAGGCGAAATGGCTTTGCCAAAGGGATCTCACTAGTGACATTGGTGTTGCTTGAAGATACTTCAAGGCATACTTGATCAGGGGTTGTGAGCCAAATGCTTAGTGCCAATATTGCCAATATTTGATCAAGTTAGGCTACGTGGGGCTTCTTTCTGCTGGTTGGTCGTGGCTTTGGTGGGACGTGTGTTCACCTGCCAGGGCAATACTCCTGCACTGCGACTCACTATTGCAGCAACCAAGCCAACGGAGTCAACACTGGAACCAAAACGCTACAAAGCTGCATAGATGAGTGCAACGCAGACTCATCGTGCGTTTCCATCCAGTATGACTGCAGCACGGATTGTGTGCTCCTTGGCCAAGTCATGGTGTGGCAACATTGTGATGCCATGTGAATCACTTAGCGGGGTCTCATCAAATCCCCAGAGAGAGAGAGAGAGAGACAGAGACAGAGACAGAGACAGAGACAGACAGAGAGAGAGAGAGCGAGAGAGAGAGAGCGCGAGAGAGAGAGAGAGAGAGAGAGATGGCGCGAGAGAGAGAGAGATCGAGCTGATAGCGAGGAAGTAGATAGAGATCGAAGAGCGAGAGAGAGAGAGAGATCGAGATAGAGTAGAGGGAGACAGAGACAGAGACAGAGACAGAACAGAGACAGAGAGAGAGACAGAGAGAGAGACAGAGAGAGAGAGAGAGACAGAGAGAGAGAGAGAGAGAGAGAGAGAGAGAGAGAGAGAGAGAGAGAGAGAGAGAGAGAGAGAGAGAGCGAGAGAGAGAGAGAGAGAGAGAGAGGGAGCATGGGATTCTGATTCAGTAGTTTGGGTTTGGAAGGCGTGGGGCTTGAGGTCTCAGGTTTTGGGCTGATAAGCTGTGGGTGAAGATTTCGGGGCTTGTCGAACTGAAGAAATGAATGGCAGCAGATCAGGGCCAACCGCAGAGCCTCGCTGAAGATATATTTTGAGAGCCAACATCGCCCACTGACCTAGTGGTGTTTCAAAGGAGCAGAACCTAGTACTCTGTCTCTCTGTCTCTCTCTCTCTCTCTGTTCGATGAGGCAGGTCTAGAGTCAGGTTCAGAGCGAAAATAAGGGTCCTTTTGTATTGTGTGTTGCTGGGTCTGACAGTTTTCAGTCATTTTCATTGATGGCAGCTTGCAAGGCTTAGAGTCCTGGATCAGTCGTGTCAGATCGTGAAACCCGCAGGCTCTTCACAGGGGGACATGCTTGTGGCACTGAACTGACGACAGTTTGCGGGAGTAGCCTCTACTACAAGCAAGCTGGTGCTGTTTCGACCACTGGCCCCAACGTGCCCGGAGGATGCTTTCCTAGCACCTTTGACACAGGATCATACACCTGCTCCGCAGAAGCTTGAAGGCCAAGATAGGCGCAGTTTTTGTTTTCTTTTCAAAGGGTAGTACGCCAGGTACCGCTGTGGATTCTCCTAGTCCTAGATTCTCCTTGCCCCCATCACTCAACTCATTGGCAAGGAGAACAGTTGGTCTTTGGTTTTTGAGTCTCACTGACTTTGGGCTTCAGTTTGGTGTTCTTCATGCAATATTCCAGTTTTAGGCGGGAAGTGTGCAGACAATGCATGATGGGTTCATGGGCACTTCCTCCCAGGATCACAATTGTATCACCGCCCAATTCTCGGAAGTACGACCGTTAACTCACAGTTTGGCAACGTTTAGCAATTATCCGAACATATCGGAACTAAATAAGGGTAGATCTTACGCCCTAGCTGTGTGACTTGCACCCAATGCAGTGGCGGCCCAGGAGAAATATTGCATGAACCAGGCCAGTGCACTGCAGTTGGGGACCATGTCGCTGACGCAATGCATGGCGGAATGCGACAGTCGGTCTGGGTCAGCTGACGTATTGAGGAAACTTTTGAATGCCTTTCCTGCAATACCCTGGCCAACTTTTGAACACACCCTGCCTTCTTCTGTGCAGCCCATGTACTCTTGACAACATCAGCTGCATATTCAATTACTGTAATCCAAGTTTCCTTGGGCCTTGGGTGCATGGTCAACTCTCAAGACACTCCGTTGGCTCCTCGAACGAGTGGGATTGAGGTGCACGTCCTTACAGTACGACTGCGGTACTGATTGCTGGTTGATGGTGACTGATGTTTGCGGAACTGAATTGCCGACAAGTTGTGGCAGCAGCGTGTACTACAAGGCAGGGGAGGTGTGCCTACGCGGTGGCAGTCAGTTTTTGTGTAGCAAGCTGCAACTGGAGGTTTCAACTGCTACAACTGCATCTGCTCAATCTACCCGCCGGGTGGGAAACTGAACCCACGTTTTGTCTGTTCTTGGCGTTCATATGCTAGACATGGGATGCGAAACGCATGGTTTTGGCAAACAATTCAGTTCATGATATTCGCCGTGCCACTGTATTTTGGCCTTTTTCTTGCGTTTTGCAATGTTTTCTTCATTCATGAGCTGCCAAAATCAGCGTCATTTTTTTGCAGTTTTCTTGAAATATGCAGGTTTTAGCACATTTCTGCGCGCGTTTTTTTCTATCGCCAAGGACAGTCATCTAGACTGGACAGTCTCATTCAAGACGTACAGTAGCGTAGCATCATGTATGTGAGGAAGCGCAAGAAGACTTACAGTAGCGTAGCATCATGTATGTGAGGAAGTGCAAGAAGACTTACAGTAGCGTAGCATCATGTATGTCAGGAAGTGCAAGAAGACTGACAGTAGCGTAGCATCATGTATGTGAGGCAGTGCAAGAAGACGTACAGTAGCTTAGCATCATGTAAGTGAGGAAGTTCAGGAAGACATAAAGTAGCGTAGCATCATACATGCGCGGAAGTGCAAGAAGACGTACAGTAGCGTAGCATCATGTATGTGAGGCAGTGCAAGAAGACGTACAGTAGCGTAGCATCATGTATGTCAGGAAGTGCAAGAAAACTTACAGAAGCGTAGCATCATGTATGTGAGGCAGTGCAAGAAGACTGACAGTAGCGTAGCATCATGTATGTGAGGAAGTGCAAGAAGACGTACAGTAGCGTAGCATCATGTATGTCAGGAAGTGCAAGAAGACTGACAGTAGCGTAGCATCATGTATGTGAGGCAGTGCAAGAAGACGTACAGTACTCAGTAGCTTAGCATCATGTAAGTGAGGAAGTTCAGGAAGACGTAAAGTAGCGTAGCATCATACATGTGCGGAAGTGCCAGAAGACGTACAGTAGCGTAGCACCATGTATGTGAGGAAGTTCAAGTGCAGGAAGACTTACAGTAGCGTAGCATCATGTATGTCACGAAGTGCAAGAAGACTTACAGTAGCGGAGCATCATGTATGTGAGGTAGCGCAAAAAAAGTTATTAGCCCACCCCACCCCACCCCACCCCACCCCCTTAACCCCATGAAAGACATAGAAACATGCGAAACGCTGGTTCGGTTTTCCACCCGTAGGCTCAATCTACTCAAGAGCCTTGGCAGCAGCTAACTTGGATGGTGAGCAGCTGGAATTGTGAAGAAACAGGTGGAACAAATACAAGCTTCTGGTGATGGATAGATAGAGAGAGAGAGAGAGACAGAGACAGAGACAGAGACAGAGACAGCGACAGCGACAGAGACAGAGCGAGAGAGAGAGAGAGAGAGCGAGAGAGCGAGAGAGAGAGAGAGAGAGAGACCAGACACAGAGAGAGAGAGAGAGAGAGACAGAGAGACAGGGAGACAGGGAGACAGAGAGACAGAGAGACAGAGAGACAGAGACAGAGACAGAGACAGAGAGAGAGAGAGAGAGAGCGAGAGAATGAGAGAGAATGAGAGAGAGAGAGGGAATGAGAGAGAGAATGGAATGAGAGAGGGAATGAGAGAGAGAGAGAGAGAGAGAGAATGAGAGAGAGAGAGAGAGAACGAGAGAGAGAATGAGAGAGAGAGAGAGATAGAGAATGAGAGAGAGAATGAGAGAGAGAATGAGAGAGAGAGAGAGAGAGATAGAGAGATAGAGAGAGAGGGAGAGAGAGAGAGAGAGAATGAGAGAGAGACAGAGAGAAGAGAGATAGAGACAGAGGACAGAGACAGGACAGAGACAGAGAGACGAGACAGAGAAGAGAGAGAGAAGAGAGAGAGGAGAGAGAGAGGAGAGAGAGAGAGAGAGAAGAGAGAGAGGAGAGGGAGAAGGGAGAGGAAGAGGAGAGAAGAGAGAGAGGGGAGAGAGAAGAGAGAGAGAGAAGAGAGAGAGAGACCAGACAGACAGACAGACAAGAGAGAGAGAGAGAGAGACGAGAAGAGAGAAAGAGAGAAAGAGAGAACGAGAAAACAACAAAAAAAAGTGGAGAAAAAGAAAAAAAGGTAGAGAAAAAGAAAAACAAGAGAAACAGAGAAAACGAGAAAAAGAGAAAAAGAGCAAAAGAGAAATACAAAAAAAGAGAAAAAGATGAAACGAGGACAAGAGAAAAAGAGAAAAAGAGGACAAGATAAAAAGAGAAAAACATATAAGGAGAAAAAAAACAAGAGAAAAAAGAGGAAAAGAGAAAAGGAGGAACAGAGAAAAAGAGAAACAAAGAGACAAAAGAGGACGAGAAAAGAGAAACAGATAGAAAGAGAAAAGAGAAAAAGAGAAACCGATAAAAAAGAGAAACCGACGAAAAGAGAAAGAGAACTAGAGAAAAAGAGACACATGGAAAAAGAGAAAAGATAAACATATAAAGAGAGAAAAAGGAGAAAAAATAAAAAGGAAAAAACATAAAACAAGGAAAAGAGGAAAAGAGAACAAGAGGAAAAGAGAAAAAGAGAAAAGAAGAAAACGAGAAAAAGAGAAAAAGAGAAAAAGAGTAAACACGAAGAAACGATAAAACATAAGAAGATAAAAAGGGAAAACGATAAAAAAAGGAAAAGAGGAAACTATAGAAAAAAGAAAAGAGAAAAGAGCAAAAGAGAAAAAGGGACACATATAAAAAGAGAAAAAAAGAGAAATATAAGAGAAAAAAAGAGACGCAAAAGAGAAAAAGAAGAAAAATAGGAAAAGACAAAAAGAGAAACATAGAAAATGAGGAGAAGAGAAAAAAATAAGAGAAACGGAGAAAAACATAAGAGAAAAAGGGAAAAAAAAGAAAAGCGGAAAAAAACAAAAAAAAACAGAGAAAAAGAGGAGACGAGAAAAAAAGAAAACGAGACAAATGGAAAAAGAAAAAAAAATGCGATGGTAGCCGCACAGTGTAGCCAGCAGTAGCCATCCATCTTAAGCTTCTGTAGATGCCGTGCCTCAATTGGCCTAGGCAGCAACCACTACAGTACCGCAAGGCAGGGTTTGGCAGAGATTTCAGTGCATTTACAAGATGGTAAGATCTTTAAAGTCATGCATTGGCTAGTTCTTTCCTGTCCGCTTCGTTGGCGATCATGTTTGCAACACCAGTTCTTACAATACCAGCACGTCCGCCCACATTGGCAAGTCAAAAAACTGCGAGTTGCTGATGAATATGGCTTCAATTTGGCTGGTGAGAGGTTACTGTAACTGACTTCTCAACTTCCCGTCGTTTGCTTCTGAAACTTCTCGTAGGAGGACTCAATTGCTTTCCGAATGCTATCGAGAATGGTTTGTTCCATTGCCAGCCGGAATCATATTGCAGCGTCTCAGCCAATCTAAGCTGCAGTAAGAGGGGTGTTGAAATTTTACTTCCCAAGACTGTTAAACACCAGCCATGAAATTGATTGAACATGTACAGTGTGGGATTTGATAGGTCCTCTGGACTTATTGCACCTTCTATAGAAATTGATCACTTCGCAGAGTAACTGTCAGCTGTACAATTCCCTTATTTCATATCGTTTGAGACTTGTCCTGCATAAGCAACTCACTACTTAGGAAGAAAAGTCAAATCCCGAGTTCGAATTACAGTAGATTCGAACTAGATTCATGAAACATAGCCACTAACACCAGCACAAAGGAGATGCCTTGTGACTGCAATTGAGGTAATCAGGCTGACGCTTTGCAGTTAGGAACTATGTCCCTGGACGCGTGCATGAGGCAATGTTTGTCGCAACTCGCACGCATTTAGGATTGGATCTGGCTTGGAAGAGTGATTGCACCGATGTTTGCGCCTGGCTCATGCCAATGAAGGTGACCAAATGTTTGAAGAACAAAGAATGGTGAATTTTGGTGCATAAGTGCATAAGCCAAAAATATTGAAAGATCTACTTCATTCGTGTTTTTTCATATTTCTTTGCCTTTCCAATTTGCAGCATTCGCAGGTACGATTGCGGTGCCGTTCAATATGACTGCAACACGGATTGCTGGCTGCTGAGGCAGGCAGCCAACCCAAAGAAAAAATTCAAAGAAACTCTGAAAAGATCATGTGCGCAGCTGTGCGCATCATGCTTCTATCAATTTCTGAGAGATTCGGGACAATCTTGCGCAGGACTTGTGACAGCTATGTCACTACCTCATGCGGAAGCAGCGTCTACCTACGAGATTCTCAGGGATGGCCTGTGACTGGACGATCAAAAATTGGAGGGGGGCCCTGAACAGACTGTGGTTAGGAGGGAGATAAGGAGCTATTAGTATCTACTAGGTACTGTATCCACATTCCGATTCCCTATCAAATGGGGAGCCAACAAGCTACAAAGAGTTTCTCAACCACATCATAGTTTTCAAAATGCCATTTTGATTGACCTTGATTGTTTTTGATTGTTGATGCTCCTTTCTTTGCGGGACTGTTCGCTTGTGAGTCTTTGTTTAAGAACTTTGGCCTTTGCTCGAAGGCAGCCACCACAACCACCACCACAATCTTTGGCGAATGCTTCCCTACGACTGCAATGTCGTACGACTTTGCCGACTTTTTGTGTCAACCAGCAGTGTACTGTGGAAACCAGGCGCGCACAAGTTGAAGGGTCGAAACTTTAGACGAAACTTGTACAAGGTCAATACTTTTATATTACTTTTACAAAGAAATGTTTGCCTCTTAGGCAGTAGGTCGTGATTTCAGACGTGTGGAATTCTGAGACAGCAGATGTGTAAAACAGCGGGAAAACTGCAGTTGTTGGTGAGGAGGCTTTTGTTTCATGTTTCACTGTTTTTTTGTCATTCGACTCGATCCTGAATGGATCCGAATCCATCCGAGTCCCAGAATCCTTTCGATGTCGTGACTCTGAGCCTTGATGACCAGGCATACGCTGGCATGTTCGGGGCCATGACGATACATCAATGTGCGGAGATGTGCAGGCACAACTCCACATGTCAGGCCATCCAATACGACTGCAACTCTGAACCTGGGATGAGTATGGATATATATATATATATATTAGATTATGATAGATGGCCGAAGCATTGGACTTTGAAGATACGCGAAACATCCTGAAAGATGATTATATAATAATAATGATAATAATAATAGTAATAGTAAAGAATAATGATAATAATAACAACAACAATATTTATAAATGATAATAATAATAATAATGATAATAACAATAATAATAATAATGATAATAATAATAATAACAATAATAATAATAATAATAATAATAATAATAATAATAATAATAATAATATATATTTATACATGCGCACACACACACACACATATAGATTATACACAAAACGTATATAAAACACATAGCACATATCAATCCATACCAGCAACTTGGTAGAAGGCTATATACTCAGCTGTACTGTGTGCTGTCATTCATGATGTGTTCAACCCAGGATTGCTATCTATTGGATTCTTGTACTACTCAAATAACCAGCGTTTGTGGCAGCAGCGTGTACCTCAAGATTTCTTCAGCAACGAGCGTCCCGGGTGGTACCTATCTGCTGGCGGATGGTCACACGTCAATCACCTACAGCCCTTCCTCATGCGACTACGACGATTGTGCGGGACCAAGCCAAGATAAGTCATGACAGTCAAATCAGTCAAACATTTTATAAATTTTATCAGTTTGTCCACACTTGCACACTTGCAAGAGCCCAAGCAACCCGTCCTTTGGATGATCAACCCTCCATGGGCATTCACCTTAGGGATCCTTAGGGTTCATTGATTCATTGATGTTCATTGCGTCTTCCTGCGATTGAAATCAAACTTTTGTGACTTGATGGTGGTTTCCGCTTGTTTCCGATTGTTCCGACATGGTGCAAAGGCCTCGTCACCGCCACGTGTCCAAGCGGCAGCTCGCCTATTGAGTGTGCGACTATCCCACCTCAGAGTGGGGATGGTGCCTATCAGGCGAGGGATGAGATGGCCAAAACGTTCTCAAGAGCGTAGCGGCATAGCCACCTGTAAGCCGAAGACAACTTGAAACGACAATAAACATGCTGCTGTGTGCTTTCAGTGTCAGTGTTGACAAGATGTTAAAAAAACTTCCACCAATCACTGGCTCTAAATTAAGCTTGAGACTCGTGAAGTACAATGGCGTAGTGACATAGTTGCAGACCATTTGAGATGTGCCAGGGAACCTATTCAAGTGGAGTAATCCACGGAGCTGTCAGCAGCTGTGAAGCTAAAGGGCAAGGCAGTTCGAAAACAGTCATCGCACAGGTGGGCTGGACGGGTGTCACTGGCGAACAAAGCATGGCATGCCATGGCATGCCATGGCATGCCATGGCATGCCTTTTGAATCCTTTGATTGATTGATCCAGCTTGATGTCGATCCCTTTGTCCTGGGCTGTCCTGGTGCCTCGAGCAGCTCAAAAACTCTGAGTAGTCCCATCCAAGAGACTTTTCCAAGTATACCTCTTTAAAGCCTCTGGATCCGCGACATGGATCGATTTGTTCCAAGATGTTCCAAGAGAGTGGATGGCTCATTGCTGGGATCATTTGATATCAATCCTATGGTACATTTAGGTACGCGTCACGATTTTTGATGATTTTAAACTTTTAAACCCCATAAAATGGATATAAATGGATGGCTTATGTAACTTATTGTACTTATATACTAATATACACGATCTTACACGATGCACAGATTTTTCATGGTGCAGTGTCTTGCAGTGTTGAAATTCCGCAGAGACTCTTCCGATGAGCTGACAGGCCATCTGCTCCGACCTCGTGGACACACATTCCGTCGCCTTGGTGGCGAGGGAGTGCTCCGGGCTATGGCTAGGGCCAGGGTAATATCGGGGTGTCCTAAATATCCCCAAACCTATGTGTATACGCAACGTACCTGTACAATCCTGTACACAATACGCACCTATGTTACCCTTTGTCCTATATTAATCTATATTAATTTGTGATTGGCATTGGTGATTGATCCAATTCAGGAACTCCTACCGGCCTTAAAAGGGACAGATGAGCCCAGATAGACATGCAATTTTTCAAAGGGGGAAAGGCTTGGTCCCCACAGGAGTTGTTGCAGCGTCCGGACATTTAAGGTCCCCTCCTGGGCGGACGTTCTCCCAAAGTTTCATTGGGGGTTTTCTGAACGTTGTGATTTGTTCAGGATATATTTCAGATTGATTTAGGGTTTGCTTAGGGTTGGTTTAGATTTTCTTTAGGGTCAGTTTGTTTAGGGTTTATATGGGTTTATTTACGGTTTGTTTAATTAATTTTCGTGCTATTTAGGGTTGTTCAGGGTTTGCTCACGGTTGTAGTGTCTAGGGTTATTTAGTGTTGGTTTAGGATTTGTTACGTTGTTTAGGGTTTATTTAGGGTTAGGTTATTTTGGTGTTCTTTCAAAGTCTTGCGGTTTGTTGAGGTCTCAATTAACGGCTCGAAACAATGCAAATTAGAGGAAATCTTTAAGATATGCTTCAAAAGGTGATTTCGGCACCGTCTTAGGTAGGCGCAACAATGCCATGAGACGCAGGTAATATCAGTATTTTGCATGCTCGCAGTTTGCGAAAAACACGCATGGAAACAACACAGCAGATTGCAGTCCCGCATGCAATTCGGTGGATTTCGGGCAAACGTCAGCCCCCTAGCGAAATAGTCATCCAGTTCGGAAAGAAAACTCCAAAAGAAAGTGACGATATCAAGTGGCGTGGGTCAGGGTAAGAAAGGTCCAAGTGACCAAGTGTCAATACTTTCCAAGTCGAAAAACTCTGTGGTTGGACGCAAGTTGTAGCACAAAATCATCTGCGCAAAAATGGGGGTTCATTTTTCCAACATGGTTCCAACCGGCGGCTCGCGCCAAGGAAGGAACATCGACAATGACCACTGGCGATTTGTGGGTGGAATGTAGCGATGGTTCTGCTGTCTCCTGCAATTGCTGGACAGCATGGAGGGTGACGGAAGTATGTGGTGAAGGCCGAGGCGAGGCCAAAACGATCCAACAAGTTGATTCGAGGAGGTTTCCTAGAATGGGGGTACCCCCAAATCATCCAAGATTGGACCCTGTTAGTATTGAACCCCCATGATTTTGGGATTCCCCTATGTTAGGAAACCACGAAATAGTGAGAGAGAGAGAGATATATATATAATGATATAATTATATATATATATATACAGTATATGTATATATAAGGCATAGTGGCACAGCAATGGAAGGCATGGTGGCATGGGTAGGGGAAGGGCCTAACAGATCTAACGGTACTGGCACTTTTCGTGGTCTAGCCTTGGTCCAGGCACATTCGCTCCTACTATTACAGCAGGCAATGCGCCAAGGTGCCAGATCGGGAGATGGAACAAGGAAGACAAGTGTCACCTACTAACATCTTATAACTATCCATGCGTCCACCTATCCAACCATCCATCCATTTGTTTGAATGCATATGCAATGGTTCAAGGGCATTTTCCGTACTGTCTGTAGATTCAATTACTGTGAGGCTTTAGGAAGCGAATGAGCGGCTTTTTGTGTCTCAGGTGCGAGCAGACGATCCCGACGTCTGGCGACGGTGGTGGAATCAGTGCAATTTGTGCAAAAGGCGCGGGGGCGGATGAAGAATTCATCGGAGTGTATTTGGAGGTTCCAATGTCTCCCAGAAAGGACAGATACCAGTGACTTGCACCAACAATCACCAGCAATCACCAGCAATAAATCTGAGTCCGGCATCGTCTCCCTGAGGAAAATACTCGGCAAGTTATCTTTGGTCTTCCAATGTCATCACTGCGGATGACTCTGTGCAGTGTCCTTGAAGCAGTAGCGCTGCTCGAGCGTGTTTCTTCACGGCAAACACAAAGCAGGGTTCTACATCGCATCCAGATTTTTGGATTATGTACAGTATCCAGATATTTGCCTGAGTTGGCAATATCCTGTGAAGTTGAGATTTGGTGGTTTCATTTTCTAGATACTGCATCAAAATCACTGAGAATCAAACATCACCTTTGTTCTCTAAAAGAACTTCAGTTTGTTTTTAATATTCCGGGTCTGCAATTTGAAGCTTCTTGTAGCCGTTCGTATATGATTACTTATTTAGACGAAGATTTGAACGAGACACATTGCATGATGGAAAATGAATGAACACAATGGGTAACTAGATAATGATGGAAAGGCCATGAAGGCAATAGCCTCAGAATCTGATGCACAGCCAAGGTACTGCGGTTGGTCACAGGACCTGTATGCCACTACTAGTAGTGAAATTGTAGAGGCGCTTTTTGGGATCCTTCGGGTTTCAACTTGTTCCTCGCCGAGTGTTTTTTTTTTTTGGAGGGGTCACATAGTGTTTCACAACCGTTGGAGGCGGACTGTCGCGCCTGGATGATCGAAGACGATTCCTCACTTGGTGGCTGCAGAAGCACTGAGTGCACCCGCTTGTCGGATGCTTGGCAGATTCACAAGAGACCCCTTGAAACTTGTCCCTTCCGCGGATTGTACCATGCAACTCATGTAGTAGTTTTCGCTTTGCGACAATGCGATTGCAAGGAGCGTAACAATGTAGGGTTTGGTACTGCAGAGAACGCATCACAAGCAGCTCCGAACGTATCTACTTCTACTTGTCAGTTTGCTCATTCATTCATGTGATTCGTGTGCTTGTTTGCATAGTACTGCAGAGTATCCGAGCATGTTACAGTGTACAGCAAAAAAACAGGGCTTCATTCGGCACCTTTGAGGATTGCGAACGAATTTGTAGCCGATGTGGCCAATGCACTGGGTTTCTCCATAGCATTGTTCTGGGTGGCTTGTCATTTGGGAGAGGGGCCGGAAGAATGCAATCTGAGGCAAAGGTAGCAAGGGCCCAATTCAGCCTATCACGGTGAAGCAGTCCGCATGATTGCAGATTCCATTCAGATTGAAGTCTGTTGAAGGTTGAGCAATGATGTTGAGGCCTTGCAATGGCTAAGGTGCTGAAGTCACGAGCGGCCTTTTTTGCACAATGGTGGTGGCACCTTCAAGTTCGGGGATCAACACCATTCTCGATCAACCGCCCGATGTGATGATGGTGGGTGCGGTGGGTGCAGTTTTCTATGTGAACACCAGGACTGGCACGGTAGCTGTGAGACATTGTAAGAATAGGGCGATTAGGCCTTGCTTAGCCTTGCTTCATTTTTCCATATGTTACCATATGCATGCTTCATTGATCAATCATCCGTACATCTTCATCAAGAAATCTCGCAACAGAACAATCCACCGAATCCACCATCCTCATCCATCGGGACCTTAGCGTTTCTTTTTCAGCACAGCGTCCTGGCCAGCGATCAGGCACCAGCAGTGCAGTCGCATGGCTTCCATCTCCCGGGTCAGCCTCTTCAGCGACAAAGCGTGTACAACTTTGGTTAAACCCACCTCTGTCGTAGATGACCTTGGAAGCTTGTCATAAAAAGATTCATAAAGTGTCAGCCAGTACCAGTATGGTCATGCAGTTGAGTGCAGCAAGTTCCATCGGGATTTTCGAAGGGGAAGCAGATGGGGCACACCAGGGGAAGCAGCACCTGGTCGTATAGCAATTTGTGCCGAGGACAATCGCTTTCTGGACACTGGTCATACATTCACTCCTATGTCCCTACATGCTTCTCGGCCATCGTTACGGTAGTAAAGTGTAATGGTCAGTAAAACTTGCATTGGAGTGCCAGCGTTCTTGTGAAACGTCCTGCGAGCGACGTGCAGAATTTGTTCCAGAGCGAGGGATTAAAACGCAAGCAATCTGTATCATCAGCAAGTTCTAGCAGCGGTAGATTAGTTGCTTGTTGTCTCAGGTCTTCCAAACTGTGTCTTGGAAGACTCCTTCTACAAGGCTCGAGCGGCGTGGGTCATGGAATTCAAAAGGCAACGTAGCTATGCTGCCGCTGCATGGTGGCCGAATTCGATCCTCGTTTCAGGCGGCCTTCGCACAGAGCACGGGGGTTCTTTGTGCAGTGCTCCACTCCACCGAAGAATTTAGCAAAGGCTGGCAAATTCGACTGGATGCCAACGGCGGGGGGGAGCCTTGGCTTTAGAACGCCTACCAAGGAACCCCCTGTTTTGTTGCATATGTGGTTGTGGACAACACGGTTCAAGGGGTGCAATTCAATTGAAACGCTTGATTTTCGGACATGTCGCGACATTAACCCATTTAATGTATATGTAATTAGGAAATGTATGCCTGATTGCATCTGATTGCTACAGTAATTATCCGTATCCGTTACTTGGTTCATCACAGCTGTCAAGTCATACTGACGAAGCTTCCCACCGACAGCACGGACGTGCTTGCTGTGGAAATGAGGAAGCTGCTTCAACATTCTTTCCACAACTAAGCAGCTTGCTGGTCCTAGCCTCAGAGTGTTTACTAAGCTTGGCCTGTGAAAGGAAACCAGGAGAGAAACACCAAATTCCCAAAGGCAAGTCACACCCGCAAAGGGTTCCTTCCAAAAGATAATGTAAATTACAAATAGTACCCAGGCAAGCCGGGGGCGGAAGTTTCAAAATATAAGCCCTATAGAGAAAAAAACAGAATGTGCCTATAGGATGTCAGACAACCCCGCGTCGCAGAAACAATCTCTTGACGTCTCAGTCATCCGACATCCCGTTTCACTTCTCATCTCAGCTCTTCTCACCTCATGTCTTCTCACCTCTTTTTTCCCTCTTCTAAACTCTTTTCAGCTCAGCTCACCCCAGCTCATCCCAGCTCTTTTCAGCTCATCTCAACTCTTATCATCTCTTCTCTCCTTTTTCTCAGGTCGTCTAAGCTTTTCTCAGCTTATGTCTTCTGATTTCTGCTCTTCGCTAGGGTTGCTCCCACCTATTGTAGGATATTGTAGGCACATCATTGCCATAAGGGGAAGGAATCGGTCCCTTTAACATCTATATTTGACCAATTTTCCTTCCTCGTAGCTGGGGTGTTGGGAGCAATTCTTCTTTCTCCAAAGCTCTTCTCAGCTCATCCTGGTTGTCGCAGCTGATCCCAATCTTGTCTTTGAGATGTCTTTCGCTCAACACAGAATCGATCCTTTTTTTGATAGAGCAGAGTCTCACGTGCTGCTCAGTCCGCAACAACATGCGTAGTCACACATCGAGAGGCTCGTGTTCTACGCGGTCCGCAACAATCAACACACTTTTTTTTTCTAAATTGCAGACCTTTTCTCAAAAACAACTGGATGATCTACACACCTGCTGATGTTATAAAGTTGTCGGCGTTTTTTCAACTGCGTGTGCCTGTGCCAACCTGCATACGTAAAGTCGTGGCTATGTTGTCGTTGAAGTCATAGTGATGATGATGATGATGATGATGCTGGTGGTGGTGGTTAACATTGTGAATTGGCAGCCGGCAGATGCTCTTTGGAAGGAACCTTTTGCAGATGCTTTCGGGAATTGAAGTTGCAATGACAGTGCTGTGGAAGTGAGCCTGATTGCACGACGGGGTATAGCTGCCATGATTCCCTGCTAGTCAAAGGGATCGGGTTTCACCAAGCGGGGACAACGGTGCGCCTGAGGCCGAGTCCAGCTATGGCACGGCAGTCTCGTTTGGCACTTCGCCCAATCTAGTGGAAGGAAAGGAAGAATCTTGGCGTTAAATTCAGCACTTAATCCCCAGATGCGTTGATGGAAGGGCCTCAGGTTGTCCAGAGATGTCCTTTTTTCATGTTTTTGTTACGGCATCTCTGAGGTATTCTTCACTGGAGACTTGACAATCACGTGCAGCGAACTTGTCGGTTATGCTGGCAAATGCCGTGGTGGTGATGCGGGTTTGTGGCGGCTGGATATCGCGGCTGCCCTTGCCAAGATGCTGCTTCACATGAATCAGCGGCATTTTTTCATTTTTCTTTGCAGAGGTTACACAGAAGTTCCTTTCCAGGATCTGCTTGGGTGCCCCTGCACCTGCCACGTCAATGCTTGTGCATGCTTCACTGAGGTTGGCCATCGAGCCACACATGGTGCACGTTTTCAATACCCGCCGGCTTCGACAAGACCGACGTCTGCAGCAGCAAAGCTGAAATGGGCCAGGGAAATAACATGAAATAACATAAATCACTAAGCCATACTAGGCCATCAAATCAGCAGGGTCTAGGTCAGGGTCAGAGTCACTGGATGCCATTGTGCTGAGGGAGCAAGTGTAATGAAGTGACCCCACACATGCACACAGCCCGCACACAGAGTACACGCACAGCTGATTGCACACACCACACACCAACAACTAGATTAACTAGATGCAAATACTTTCCTGTTTGGGAGTTGCAATGGAGTTTGGAATGCGCTGTCGTATAGTATGCAGCAGGCTTCATTATGCTTTATTTGGATTTGAATTTGAACAAGTGGACCTTCCATGGACCTTCCATGGACCGTGCCTGAAATGCAGCAAAGACACACACACACAGAGCTCTCACAGACCAATGATGACAGCCGTGTGACCCTTGCTTTTGATGTTTTGGTTTCCACGGTTAGTTGAGGACAGTGCAGATGCTGTTCTCTGTGACCATCCGTTTCTTCGTCGACAAGCCTCACCAGGCTGCGCTGGCGAACAGTGTGGCAGCTCAACTGGAGGACATGCAGCAGCAATATTCCAGCTTGTTCAATCAAACGCTTCTTGGCATTTCTTGGCTGTCCCTATGCAGGCACATTGTTGTTTTGAGTGAGGTCTACGTTTTTCTCTCTCCCCAGGGATCGGATGAAACCATGTCAACCACCGTTGGCCCCCTAGAGTTTAGAGGAACATGTGAAGCAACTGGAGGCTCATCAACCTGATTGCACCATTCAATGACAAGAACCTAGATGTCACGTCCTTGAGCACGTTCACCCGCTCCGACTTTGGACCTGATTTTGTGGAACTGCCAACAGCAGCTCCATCAACGACAGTGGTGACGGCCGCAGCAACCACCACTGTGGGACTTCAAGCCACTCCATCTCCAGGTGTACTCACTGAGGAAGATGATACCGGCATAATCCTGGGCATCGTGTTTGGCACTTTTGGATTCATGGCCATTTTTTTCACCGTTTGTATCCTTTGCAACTTGGCGTGCCACACGAAAGTTTGAGTCGTAGGACCTTATGAGTGCTAGTCATGCTTTTCATTAGTTCAAGTTCAATAGTGATGCTTGAAACATTGGTGCGTTTGAGGTGCTACTTTTTACCTTATTTGCACTGGTTTATGTCAAATGTCGGTACTGCTGTTGAGGCAGAAAGAAGAAGAAAGTCACTCACCCAGCACCAGTCTTTCGAGGAGGAGTGTCCTCCTCTGGGCCAGAGGCAGTTTCTGTTGTTGGAAAGGCAGAAGTGCTCCACGACAGTGATGAAGGAATGAATCTTGCTTCAACCAGAGCGGTCACCCCTGCCGTAGCTACTCCCTGCTCGTATAGTTCACCAAACGATTTAATCCAAGTGAGATTTGTGTCGAGTTTGTTGTGTGGAGTTCCGCTACCAAGGATGTCGCTTAGTGACATTTAAAACATTTTAAAACTATTGTGAACTAGTTGTTTCGATTTCTGGCTTTCACCGGCCCTCTAAACTCATTCCAGTGTACCTCAGGGCGCCTTTGAGCAATGATGCGTACAATTCCTTGCCCGGGTACTGGAACGCGCGCAAAGACCTCAATCCAACCTTCGAGATGGACTCTTGCTGCAGTCTTGCTGCAGTCTTTTTGGATTGGCCATAGACAGCACAGTTGTTACATGTTGTTACACTTGAACCAAGCAACATCAAAAAACAGTAGAAAAAGACATCAAAAACAATGTCTGGAGAACCTGGGCTAGTTCCATGTTGGATGAGTCTGGGGTGTTTGCTGAATTTGCCAGCCCTGAATCCTTGGTGTCCATTCGGAAAGTGTTTCCAAAGGTTTAGAGTTTAGAGTTCTGACACCTGAAAAGCCACATCTCAACACTCCATCCTTTCATCAAATTCCCTCACACACACAAACATGCAGCAGCAGTGGCATTGCATTTTATCACGTGCTACTGAGGACTTTGAGACGGCCAACAGGAGCAAAAAAGATGACCTCAGGTTCGACGATCTCATGTACGTATCATACAAGAACATGGCGCATTTTCAAGATACTTGGGAGCAAGTTAATCTTGATTGATCTTGCGACTTCAGGGGCAGCGACGATGCCGGTTAATACTGGTATCGAGTGCCCACGTGTTAGTCTGGTTTCCATCCAACGTCATTTTTTCTTTGATGAAATTGATTGTCAAGTTGGGAACTTGATCAACACAACAGTCAACATGGCTTCTGGCTCTGTTGAGCACTGTGCTGCATTTTAATGTGTTTTTTTAATGTTTCCTTTCGCTTATCCCGGCAATGCGCATTCCCATCATGGTTGTGTGGGGCACATGGTTTCCACAACTCTAAGGACTTGGTGAGCAGCTTGACCAAATTATATGGGAGCCGTCCGTAAAAGCAGGTCACAAATTTATGAATTGATGCGTTTACTTTGCTTTGCGCGATTGCTAAAACCTGCATCGCGATAGGCTGAGCGATTGGTTGGCGATTGGTTATACGGCTACCACCCTATTACTACTACTACTAGTACTACTACTTAGTACTAGTACTAGTACTAGTACTAGTACTAGTACTAGTACTACTACGACTACTACTACTACTACTACGACTACTACGATACTCGACTACTTACGAATACTAGAATCTACGAAATACGAATACTAAGATATAGACTATACTTACTAGTACGAGTACGACGACGACGACGACTACTACTACTACTTTCGAGACCAGAACCATGCCAATAATTGACATGGCCGCGCGGATTCCGCGCGCGCGGAATCCGCGCGCGCGGAATCCGCGCAGATGTTTTCAGGTCAGAAGGACTTTCAAGCTAGCTCCAATTGAAAACAGGTCAGAAACAGGTCAGAAACAGGGCAGAAACACCAAAAAGGCAGCACTTGCCTAGCATCCCATCCATCCATCCATCCATCCATCCATCCATCCACCTCAGCTCTTATCATTGCTACTTCTACTACTACTATTACTACTATTACTACTATTACTACTTCTACTCCTCCTCCTCCTCCTACTACTACTACTACTAGTAGCACTAGTACTAGTATTTGGGGCACTAGTAATGATATTACTTTGGGGGAGATGGGGTCTTTTGCTTCGCCCTTTTTGTTGTTTTTGTACCTCTTTGGGGGCGTGATGGGTGTGAGTCTTTGGTGTGTGTGGGGTATGCGTTTGTCTATCTGTTGTTCGGTTGGGGGGACTTTGAACTATCACACTAAAAATTGTTTCTAGTTTGACTGCCCGTTGTATTTTTTTGAGTTGAGAGACTCCGGGAAATGTCAGAAAACGGATGCATAAACGGTCCATAAACACGCAAAAAGTCAGCACTTGCCTTCATCATCCCCTCCAGCCTCCATCCATTCCATCCATCCATCCATCCATCCACCTCAGGCTGTTTCATTTCATTGCTACTCTACTATTACTATACTACCTGTTCTATATTATTACTATTACTACTATTACTTACTATTAACTACTATTAACTAAACACCTACATTTGTTACTACTACTACTACTACTAGTACTACTACTACTACTACTTCTACTACTACTACTTTTACTACTAGTACTGCTAGTACTACTACTACTACTACGACTACTACGACTACTACGACTACTACGACTACTACGACTACTACGACTACTACGACTACTACGACTACTACGACTACTACGACTACTACTACTAGTACGAGTACGACGACGACGACGACTACTACTACTACTTTCGAGACCAGAACCATGCCAATAATTGACATGGCCGCGCGGATTCCGCGCGCGCGGAATCCGCGCAGATGTTTTCAGGTCAGAAGGACATTCAAGCTAGCTCCAATTGAAAACAGGTCAGAAACAGGTCAGAAACAGGTCAGAAAACACCAAAAAGGCAGCACTTGCCTAGCATCCCATCCATCCATCCATCCATCCATCCATCCATCCACCTCAGCTCTTATCATTGCTACTTCTACTACTACTATTACTACTATTACTACTATTACTACTTCTACTCCTCCTCCTCCTCCTACTACTACTACTACTAGTAGCACTAGTACTAGTATTTGGGGCACTAGTAATGATATTACTTTGACGATCACTAAAATTGTTCCTAGTTTGACTGCCCGTGCTGATTTTTTTGAAGTTGAAGAAGACTCCGGGAAAGGTCAGAAACAGGTCAGAAACAGGTCAGAAACACCAAAAAGGCAGCACTTGCCTAGCATCCATCCATCCATCCATCCATCCACCTCAGCTGTTATCATTGCTACTTCTACTATTACTATTACTACTATTACTACTATTATTACTATTACTACTATTACTACTATTACTACTATTACTACTATTACTATTACTACTTCTACTACTATTACTACTATTACTACTTCTACTACTACTACTACTACTCGTACTACTTTTTACTACTAGTACTGCTAGTAAACTCTACACTTCTCCTACACTACTACAACGACTACGAACTAACGAGTACGGCTTGCTAGCTAGTAACGCTATTACTACTTCTACTACGACTACTACTACTACTAGTACTACTACTGCTAGTACTACTACTACTACTACTGCTACTGCTACTACTACTACTACTACTACTACTACTGCTACTGCTAGTACGAGTACGAGTACGATTACTACTACTACTACTACTTTCGAGACCAGAACCATGCCAATAATTGACATGGCCGCGCGGATTCCGCGCGCGCGGAATCCGCGCGCGCGGAATCCGCGCAGATGTTTTCAGGTCAGAAGGACATTCAAGCTAGCTCCAATTGAAAACAGGTCAGAAACAGGTCAGAAACAGGTCAGAAACACCAAAAGGCAGCACTTGCCTAGCATCCCATCCATCCATCCATCCATCCATCCACCTCAGCTCTTATCATTGCTACTAATACTACTACTACTCCTGCTACTACTACTACTGCTACTACTACTGCTACTACTGCTACTACTCTACTACTACTACTACTCCTACTCCTACTTCTACTCCTACTCCTACTCCTACTCCAAACTTCCTACCTCTCTCTCAATTTCCACTACCACTACTGCTAGTGCTACTGCTACTGCTAGTGCACTGTGAGTTTTCCGGACCGTTTCCGGACCGCACAAGCTTATTTTGCTCCCAAATTTGAAATCGAATGCGTTCACGCATGGATCCTTACTCTCATTACTAGATTTGCTACTACCCCCAGCACTACCACCACACCCGCTGCTACTGCACCACCCTGCACCACCACTACCACCACTACCACTAGTACACCTAGGAATTTCTGCTCTTGCTTTTAAATCCAATTGCACTCGTGTGAAGGGTCAGAAACGAGTCAGAAACCAGTCAGAAACAGTCAGAAACCCGTCAGAAACCGGCCAAACGCAATCTCTCTCTCTCTCTCCCTTGCCTATTCCCTCACCCTCCCATCAGAACTCCTACGCCTACTCCTATTGCAATTTCCACTACCACTACTGCTAGTGCTACTGCTACTGCTAGTCCTGCTGGTACTACTGTGAGTTTTCCGGACCGTTTCCGGACCGCGCAAGCTTATTTTGCTTCCAAATTTGAAATCGAATGCGTTCACGCATGGATCCTTACTCCCACTACTAGATTTGCTACTACTCTTAGTACTACCACCACACCCGCTGCTACTGCACCACCACTACCACTAGTACACCTAGGAATTTCTGCTCTTGCTTTTAAATCCAATTGACACGAGTTCCGCTGAAGGGTCAGAAACGAGTCAGAAACCAGTCAGAAACCAGTCAGAAACCAGTCAGAAACCCGTCAGAAACCGGTCAAACGCAACCATCTGTTTCCCCCTCCCTCCCTCTCTCTCTCTCTCTCTTTCTCTCTTTCCCTCCCTCTCCCTTTCTTCCCTTGCCCTGCTACTAGAACTCCTTCTCCTATTCCTACTCCTACTCCTACTCTTACCCCTCCTACTACTACTACTACGACTACTACGACTAGTACTACTAGTACTACTAGTACTACTGCTGCTGGTACTAATGTGAGTTTTCCGGACCGTTTCCGGACCGCGCGAGCTTATTTTGTTCCCAAATTTGAAATCGAATGCGTTCACGCATGGATCCTCATTATATAATACATAACTTATATTTTATGTATATGATCTGATCAACGAAGAACAAACCCTTCCGCGATTGCTCACTGTGGTACCGCGGTTGCTACGCGATTGGCTGAGCGATTGAGGGCTGTCCGGGAAAAGGTATTTTGGACAACCCCCATATATCTACCACTGCATCTCTCTCTCTCTCTCTGTTTGTCTCTCTGTGTGCTGGCAATCGGCTCCACAAAAACTGAGTGGTTCAGGGATCTTTCTGCCGAGCAAGTGAGGCAAGACTTACCAAGACATCGTGACACAGGATCGTTTGTGCCCCAACGGGACGCATGACAAGACCAGAGGAGGCTGTCCCTGCGTACAGGTGGGTGGAGACCCAGGTTTGCCCAGCGACTTTCAAGTGAAGCCTGGATTTATTCAGATGGGATGGGATGCCAAAAATGTATTGCAATCTTTTTTGTTTCGTGTGTTGTTTAGATGTTGGGACTCGCTCTTTTAGTCTTTGTTTAGTGGCGGCCCCCCACCTACAATCAATCGCTTAAAACAGCACGGCAGCGCTAGAAGTCATGCTAGGTTGGCGCAATATAGTTTTTTGAATCAAAATAAGGTACGCATGGAAGAATATAAGTCAATATATCACAAGAGAATTGCGCAGTATTTCCGTCAGTAGAGAGATCTTGGCAAAACTCGAGAATGCAGCTGGAAATCTGCGCTAGCTGCGCACTTCATGCGCGGTAGCAATGCCCTAGGAAAAGTCGCGCATGTGAGGAGTTCACTTGCCCACGGAATCGGAACAGTCATCATACTGTAAATCAAACTGTGTATAGGAAAATGTGTTGCATTTTTTTCCTTACATATCCATTGGCTACCATTTGCTGTTATTCTGTTTCTTCTTTGGCCTGATGTGTCCAGATGGCAGAAGGAGTGAGGAAAGGTGTCGCGGTAGCAATATTTTGCATTTTCTCAATGATTGATCCAATTCCTGCTGGTTTACATACATTTTATACATCTCCCTATACAATAAGAGAACAAGAAGCGGGCCCCCGCCACAACAGCTTTGGACAAGCAATCGTGATTTGAATATATGTTCCCTATGCTGAGGATGCGTGTCATCCGAGTGGAGGAATCTGACTCTCAGCCGCAGGTTTCATCAAAGGCAAGACAACTGCTGAATACACCCAAGTGTACATGGTTTTGGACTCATGCCCATGTTGTCAAGAACTGGTTGCCATGTTTACACTGTATTTCCTAGCTTAATTTTGATTGCTGGCGAAGCTACAGTCATGTGATAACAGAGAGGGAGGGAGGGAGAGAGAGAGAGAGAGCATGCAGAAATTCATGAGCAAATTGGCAAATTGAGACTGGCGGAACCATTATATAACCCTCAGTAACTCAGCAAGCTAGTCATTTGTTTTGCTTTCCACTTGCCGGTCCTCAGCTCGTGCATTTGGCCCGAGGGAATGTTCAATCGGTACGTTGCGAAGCGGGAGCAAATTAGGCAAAAGCGCTTGGAGACGGATGGAAAAACATGTGAAGCTCCAGATCCTCCTTTCTTCACACGCGACTGGATGGCGTCAAATCCAGACTCCGAACTTTGTGAGTTGGATGATCGCGTCAACGAGGCAGCACTGCAATGCTGAGCGGTGAAAGGTCGATGACATACCTTCAACATCCTTCAACAGGCTTTTATGTTTTCATCCTGCCTTTCTGTGGCTTCCCAGCCATTCCTGTGCCAGGTGTATCTGTGGCATGGCACACAAGTGCGTACCGGCTTGCAGATTGCAATGAACGATTTCAACCTCACCTTTGCCGGATCTGGGGCAGGTGCTTGGGTGAGGTTTCGATATCGTGGGAGTATTTTATCATCCTTTATGATCCTTTATGATCCTTTGTGTACATTGATGTACATTGTATATAGATTGCATATGATTGCATGCTGTATCATATATCTGCCTACGGTGGCTCTTTGATTGTGGATGCGTGCGTTATCCAAGCATCTGGCCTTTGGCGCGCTGACAAAGGTACCATGTATGGCAAAGGCTTGTACTTCACCGAAAGCTCCACTAAGGCAAGGCTTTGGGGGGGGGGCTGGGCTGGCGAAACACATAGAAAACAGGTTTGGAGCTGCAGGGAGTTGCAGTACAGTACGGTCCATGCGCTGCGGAAGGATTTTGGCAATGCAGAAGCGATTGAACTTGAAAGCATTTGCATATGCTCCCAAATTCTCCTGTGATTAATTCCATGGAATGCTTTTGTATATTTTGGTTTGCTTTTGTTCCCTTCGGCCTTCGGTCTATTAATAACACACTCACATGGAATGGGCTTGACTGACGGCAGTCCGGCCGTCTCCTAGCCTGCATATTCCCGATGATTGCCGTAGTCTAAAGACTCACAAGACCATGGGTTGCTTATTGCCGGGTAGTCTCACAGTGCTCAAGGAGCAGGATTCGCCCTGCACAGGCGGATGAATATGCAAGAGATGAACCGGATGGTCACTATGCACCTTAGATTTGCTTGGATTTGCTTGGCATATCTTGGTATACCTTTGCATATCTCTATATCTCTGGTGTGAAACCAAGTTCCTCACAGTTCCTCACAGTGTATCACTGGTTTCTGGCAGTTTCTCTCTTTGCCAAGGATGGCATCCGAGCACTTCTGCTTTGCCGCGTTTGTGTGGGCAAATTTTACTACACCCAGGGACGTGAACCCACAGCGATTGACAAGCATACGGCTGGCGAGTCTGATAGCACACTGGGTGACCGTGCCAAATCAGTGAATACATATCGTGAGATTGTGGTCTACAATGAAGACCAGGCAGTTCCAGTGGGGAAGGAGATTTGCGGCTGCGGTGGTGTTTGAGCGCCCTCCATCCCAGATTTTTTGTTTGTTAGTCAGTTATAAGTTATGTAACATATACACATTTTAATTTATAAATTATTTGTCGAAGGAAGTTTAGAAGTCAAACTTCCGACAATATGGACAGATGAAAAGCAGAGGTGGAGCAGACGAATAGAGAAGAGAAGAGCAGAAGAGAGAAGATCAGAGAAGAGAAAGAGTCAGAAGAAAGAAGATGCAGGTGCGCGAAAAGGTAGGAAAGTCGCGAAACACTGTGTTTTTCCAATGATTTGTGGCTCCAGAGGGTCGAAAAGTAGGCTCGCTAAAGCGGCGGGTGTGGAGCCAGCTGGCCAGATGAGAGATGAAAAATTGCGCGCCGTTGTGGTGCGAAGCACATTTCGAAGTCAAAATGTACAAAGCACACCATTCTCGGACCACTTTTGGAAATTGAGACGTCTAAAAAGTGCACGCCGTTGTGGCGCGAAGCACATTTCGAAGCCAAAATGTACAAAGCACACCATTCTCGGACCACTTTTGGACATTGAGATGTCTAAAAAGTGCACGCCAGTGTGGCGGGAAGCACATTTCGAGGTCAAAATGTATAAAACACACCAGCTTCGGAACACTTTTAGAAGTTGAGATGTCGAAAAAGTGCACGCCGTTGTGGCGCGAAGCACATTTCGAAGTTAAAATGTGAAAAACACCAGGGGTTCGGACCACCCTTTTGGAAGTTCAGATGTCGTTTCGCGTGGCAGGCAAAAGGGATTGTGCACCTTGTCAAAAGTGAGCAGAACGTGAAGGTTTTGCAACATCTTCAACTACAACCACCACTACACCACACTACACTCCAATACGCCACGCTACAACTACAAACTACACCTTCACTACATTCCACTTCACTACACTACACTCCACTACACTCCACTACACTCCACTACATTCTACTACACTACACTTGCACTCAATTACATTCAATTACACTACAATACACCACACTTCACTACCCTGCACTACACTACACTACATTACATTTCACTACATTACACTACACTACACTCCACTACACTACCTTACACTACACGACGCTACATTCCACTACACTACATGACATTACGCTACACTACACTACACTACATTCCACTACACTACGCTACAACTACACTACACTACATTCCACTACACTACACTAGACTCCACTACACTAGTTACACTACACTCCACTACACTCCACTGCACTCCGCTACACTACACTCAATTACACTACACTACGCTCAATTACACAACACAACACTACACTACATTCCACTACACTACAACACTACAACACTACAACTACAACTACAGCTACAACTACAGCTACAACTACAATACATTACATACCACTACACCGCACTACAACTAACAACGACACCTACAACTACAACTACGCTACACTAATTGCATTACACTACACTACACTACGCTACACTACACTACACTACACTACACTGCACTACACTACACTACCCTACCCTACACTACACTACACAACACACTACACAACACAACACGCTACACAACACAACACACTACACTACATTACGCTACACTACACTAAACTACACTACACTACCCTACCCCACATTTCATTACATTACATTACACTACATTTCCTTACGTTACATTACACTACGCTCATTACACCGCCACAAATGCAACTGCAACTACACACACTAATTACACTGCACCACAACTACAACTCCACTACACTACAACTACAACTACAGCTGCACTACACCACACTACATCTAGCAGTTGTGGGTGAGGTGACTGACCAGGTGACGATTGCAACCATTGCAGCCGCTCCAAAAAACACAGCCCCAACCACCTTTCGGTCCATCAGTGGATTCGCTCTGCCATCCGTGATTCACAACAACCAATCTCTCGTATAGGTTTCCTATTTTTGAAATTTCCGCCACCGCCTTGTGCGGTACTACTGGCACACACACACACATACACGCACACACACACATAATCACACATATGTACTATACATACATACATACATACATACATAGATACATACATATATATATATATATTAGCTTTTTTTAAAGTCTCGTAAAAGGTGTTTTTAAAGCCTCTAGGCAAAAGGTGAACGTAGGGGGTACGAGTGCAAATGAACGTGGTGACGGACGTGCGTACGACCCAGCGTACGTGTAAGCGTACGAGTGGACGGACGCGTGACGTACGAGTGGACGGACGTGTGCGTACGAGTGGACGGACGTGTGAGCGTACGTACGTGCGTTGACACGTTCACTCGTCACGTGCACGCGCACGTACGAAAATAAGGTCGACTCGAGTCGGCCTTATTTCTGTACGTCTCGGTTTTTCCTTACATAATTAGTATTGGGAAGATCCAGACGTACAGAAATAAGGCCGACTCGAGTCGACCTTATTTCTGTACGTGCGCGCGCACGTGACGAGTGAACGTGTCAACGCACGTACGTACGCTCACACGTCCGTCCACTCGTACACACACGTCCGTCCACTCGTACGTCACGCGTCCGTCCACTCGTACGCTTACACGTACGCTGGGTCGTACGCACGTCCGTCACCACGTTCATTTGCACTCGTCACCAGACGTACGCTCTCCAAGATCACTACCTTTTACGAGACTTTAAAAAAAGCTAATATATATATATTTTTTTGCTATATCCATTATGTATCGCGCATGGCTGCACGTACCTAGTGGCCAGCCCGAGATACAAACATCATCAACATTAGCAACAGCGAGCGCTGGTAAAGCAAGAACTTCGCAGGAGGTGTTGCAAGATGCTGCAAGTGTCATTTCTTGCTTTGTTGCACATTGCTCCCATTAGCTACGCAGGTGTATCCCGAATACTTGGTCATCTACGAACGTCTTCATGGAGGAGCCAGATCTTCACCCCCCAGGGAGGATTTGCCCTTCCAGCTGGAACTTCCTCTCTACTGGAAGACTGTGGGCAAGACCCTTGGCGTTTGGAGATGCCCCGAGCAATCCCCAGCTTCAATATCTTGTCATGACATGAGTCAGGTGGGAATCGCTGCAGAGAATCGCCAAGCCACACTGCAACAGTCTGCAACATAGATACAGGATGTTCCAGGGCCTGAGGGTTGGGTAACAATGTTGTGGGCTAGAGTGCCGCACATTGAGGGCTAGCGGCTCAAAAGCCACTGACAACATTCTGACAACATTGCTGACGGTGGCTGACGACAGGTGGCCCACTGACTCATGCATGAACGCGCGACGGTGCTGCAGATTCCGCATTCTTTCCTTCGCAACACCCATGCATGTATCAATCAATCCACCCACAGAATTCCATATAATATATATATATACATATGTATTCTAAGGTTTCGGCTGTGAGTGTGTCAGTAGGAAGAACTACCCCCCTACTGATACACAGGGTACGCCGTTCACCTAAGCGGGTGCGTGGCCATATCACCCGCGGGCTGCTGCGTGGCTTGTGCTCTTCGGTCTTGGGCTGGCCGAATCACCTTTGCCTAGCAGCCTTCCTGGAGTATTTGACCGAGGTCGGGCTTGGCGCCACTATTTCGGCATCTACTTCCACGTTTATTTGCACTATCTGAACTGGCACAGCCCTGGATTTTGCTTATAAAATTTTGGCCTCTATTCCTTGCGATTATCTGAACTGGCCGTGCCCTGGATTTTTGCATTGGACACCCTTTTTCATTGAGTTCTACCTCACGATCGGGCTTTATGCGTTTTGCTGGCATCTTCCTGTCGCTGAAGATCTTCATCCTTGTGGACTTTGTGATCATTTCCAAGGCTTCCTACGCGGACATCCTTGTGAACCACGACACTGACTACAAAGCGCCGAGCACTCCGGAGACAGAGGGCTACAGCGCGCAGGCAGTGGCACGAACATCGACGAGGAAGTCGAATTCTTCGCCCAGAGCAACTGAGGCGAATTTTTCAGATCCTGCAACAGCATCATTCCAGAGATCAAGGGTTTCTACGCCTGATCACATCAGCAATGGCTTATCCACAACAGGAGCAAGCTGGTTGGATGTGCGGCAACTGCAGAAAGTTGCGTGCGAAAAATGCGTGGTTCTGCGATCTATGTGGGTCGCCTTGGGAGGACTGCATCGTCTATCCCCAGAAGAAGAAGCAGACGACCAGATCGACCTCAAGGCGTACATACTGGACGGAGCCAGATCATGCACCATGGGGCAATGCACAAGATGGCAAAAGCCCAAGGCAGAGCCCGAGGAATCAGCAACCCAAGAAACAGAGGGGACGCGGCAAGGGGAAAGGCAAGCACAAGCAGGCTGTGCAGCACCAACAGACTCTTGCACCGCCTCCACCTCCGCCTCTTGGAGGTCCAGAGGGGAGGCACTGTCGCCAACGCAACAGCCAGTTCCTCTCATGCAGAGCAGAAGCTCAAAGAGGTTACCTCACTGTTGAAGAAGGCCAATCCAGAGAGCTCGACTCCCGACTTGCAATCATTTGTGGCCGAGGAGACCAAGGCAGCCACAAAGAAAGACGCCAAAAGTCTTTACACAGCCGTGGACGAGCTCACCAAGGCCAGAGAATCTTTGGACACTGCCTTACTAGCCAGGAGCAACCTCATGGCACAATGGAGAGCATTTCTCACGATGTCGCTCGAACGTTTTCGTCAGTATTCAGATCACTTTCAGAAACAAGAAGCGGCCCATCAGGAGAATATCTCCAATGCCAAAGAGATGCTACAAAAGGCCAAGACCGACTTCAACACGAAGGAGGAAGAAGCAACAGTGATATCCGACGAAGAGAACGAGATGAAGGACACTGCGACCAAGGAATCTGCAGTGAAAATCATGGAAGGTCTCAACCACATGACAGCAAGCCTTCAGAAGCTGTCAGAGCAAGCAGAGATGGAACACAATGCGGAGGAGGAGAGAAAGGCGAAGCGGCCAAGGGAAACAAAGAATCAAGAGGCAGGAGAAGGCACTTTGCCCTCAATGCAGCCTTTTGGTGTGCCCGGTCATTGATGACTCTTGAGTACTTTGATCGATGGGCGTCCTGGCCTCCTACAGCAATTGCTGCAGATGTGGCTGGCATGCAATGGTCCCACTCAATCCTGCAGGAGCCCACCTACAAGTCACCCTGGCAGGCAAGTGAGGATGCCATGCAACTAGCCTTCAGTATGCAGCCGAATGGTTTCATAGAGCAATGTGAGCGACTAGAATGGGGTTTCTCAGTACCTCACAGGCGACGCAGAAAGGGCCTTACAGTCTCTTTTGACCCTTTTGTTTCAGTCCATTTTGGACCAGAATTCAGTGCTTCATGGACGACCAGCAGAGTTCCTACTGCTGAAGTTTCACAACGAGATTGGTTGCCGAAGAGCAGCAAGTTCTCACAATCCCTTTGCATTGGATTTGATGACAGTATGTCTTCACAATCTCTTTTGATTCCGTCGAGTTCTACACCAACCATGCACAGACCAGACCCGACGGAGAATCCAAACCTTCCGGACCCGCCCAGCTCATCAGAAGGGTCAGATGGAGGAGGTCGACAAAGAAGAGCTCCACTGAGGCATTTTCCAGCGTGGGTGGAAACATTGTGGAATATTCTTCAAGATGAAGGCGCAACAGAATTACTTGAAGAAGGCCCAGTGATTTATTTGACCACCTACTACCTCAGTCACCGCAACTGCGTGAGACAGGCAGCTGATCGCCCAATCCGGCTGACACGCAGGTATGATGAATGGAGCGAAGAAGTCAAACAAGTTTGGGGGGACCTCTTTGACAGAGAGGCTGACTTCGACCTTTACCTTGTGCAGCCGGAACCCCCTATCTCCATCACAAGAGGAATCGTTGGCATCGTGCTCATCGTCCAACATGCGCAACCAGGAGGAGCAGCAGTTCTAACTACTGCACTCTTTGATGAGCTGCCCACCCCAAGAACGCTAGAGATAGCACACATTGTTGACATTTGGACTGACTACGCCACGGCCTTGCATCGAGCAGAAGCCTTCGAAGCATGTCGAGAAGCTGAACGCCAGGACCTTCGACCATGCGTTCTACGTGCTGGTCCCCATGTCTTCCCAAGGGAACGTCCAATTAGAATGCACAATGGTCTTGGCCTGGTCGTCAACGTCCCCATGCTCATCAATGAAGAGGAGTGGAATCATTATATTCGCCCTCGAATGGAACAATGGGCTGATGCTGATGACATCCTACAGCCTGAACAACATGAGGAAGCAGACCATGCAGCAATGATGGCACGAAGACCATACAGAGTGGTCCCCACATCGTCAAGTTCATCCACATCAGCTGCTGAATCAACCACACGCTCCAGAAGCAGGGAACCATCGAGTGGAACCAGTACCTGGTTGAGATCGGTTGTATTCACTTCTGATGGTCATGCTGTCCCATGTTTACTTCCTGATGACCAACATCAAGAATTTCTCCGCAGAATTGCAATTGCCCTTGAACAAGAAGAGGTTGCCGAGACCTTCACGGTCCCAGATCGTCCTGAGGATTTGGTTGCGGCAGAACTTCAATGCATCCTGGCCCTCCGCAATGGCGAGAGACGTCCTATCTCGTTTTTACGGTTTACGCTGCTGGACCTCGAGATCATTGAAACGAATGAGGTCCTTCCTGGTGCATTTCGAAGACTAGCCAAATGGCTACCGCATACCACGACCCAGACATCCTTATTTCGGCTCCTCTGTATTGAAGATGTGGTCAGACGACACAGGGACAAAACGCATCTCTGGATCAACAACAATGCCGTTGACCCTCAGCAGGATGACCCACTCATGCTTGAGGATGGCGATTATGTGAAGGTTTTCATCGGAGATGATGATCAACGTTTCAACTGTGAAGCGACTGTGGATGAGACATCGCTTTTACAGGGCCCTGGCATTCGCCAATCAAAAGTCGGCGAGAAGCATGTTGCCCCATCAGATCACTTTGACATCTGTGGGAGAAGGCCTGGGCGTCGACACAGGACTCCAGTACCACTGGCAACTGAAACCGTGGACCCAGAACATCGCAGACTCCAGGAAATTTGGAATCGACCACATCTCCAGTCCTTGGGAACAAACAATGAGCCCATCATGTACTTCGAGACGTGGTTTTTGAGTGCGTTAGATTTCCCGAGGTGTTCAACGTCAAGACTTGCTGCACTTCCGGCCCAAGTACATCTCTGGGAAGGCGCATTACGACAAGTTTGGAGGGATCGCCAACATCCCCATTGGCCAGTGAAATTGCAATTGATCTATCCGACGCCTGTCGGGGCAGCACACGGTGGTCATCTCCTTATTCTACAGCATGAACATCCTGGCGAAGCTGATGTACTCCTCACTACTCTTGGCAGTCCGCCCAATGACCAATTTGCGCAACTTGTGCCTGGGCTGTTGCCATATGACCGACTTCTATGGTTTGCTGACCAAGAGATTCGATGTGAGGATCGGCAGTGGGTATGTCATGCTGAGCACAACCATAGGAGGCTCTACGACAACGGCCCTTGGCGTGCGGAGAATGGACAACACATTGAGATCCATGTCAAGAGACGCTTTGAACATGGCCCCCATGTTGCGAATTCGTCCACTAGTCCATGGAGACCTGCGCCACCACAACCTCTATCTCCAGCAAGCTCAATTGATGACTTTGTCATGGATCCCACGGCACCACCCTTTGTCCCAGGTGAAGCTCCGTTGGAGACTATGCCAGAAGTCATCCAAGACCTACATGAAGAATGGACGAGAACTGCGGTGACATGGCAAGGAGAACAAGCCAGTGCGGAGATTGTGACCTGGTTCGTTGATCAGCACGACCCTCAACAGAGAGTATGCTGGCATCCCCGCAACTTGCGCCTTACATCCCAATTTGCAATGTGGGAGCATAGCATACGCACACCCTGGCGCGATCGAATCCTTGCAGGTGCACAATTGGAGATTGTCTTAGTACAACCTCGGCCACCTCAACAAGCGGTCACTGTTGCGGCCCATGTCATTGTCATCCAACGTCCACAACCTACAATGGTGACAAGTTTGGTCACTGTCCACGACAACACGGCCAATCAGCCTGAACCCATTTGGCAGCTTGCGCTCACCACATGGGAACATATCTTCTTGGAGCAGTTCATCCATAGCTTGGGGCTCACCTATCGCTGTTTGATGGCAGGTGCAGACAGGCAATGCGATGGATGGTATGGAGCCTACAGACTCATCCTTGGACGGCCGCTACAAGGTCGCGATGGTTATGGCATTGTTCTGCTACTTTCTGAAAGACCACCTGCAGCACCAGCACAGCATGTTGCCATGATCCAGACACAGGTTCGCCTTAGACCTGCATCAGCAACCATGAGTGCATGGGAACAAGATTTGGATGAGCCAGCATTGACACCGATTCCCCTTTCATTGGATCAACTGATCCCTGAGATTGAAGTGGTGAAGGTCAAAGCGGCTGATCACCATCAGCCAATGCCACAGTTCATTGAGATCCCCAAGAACTCAGAGGAGTCAGGTGTCACGGAAGAGCTAGCACACTGGGGACTGCGATGTCCAGTTTTCAGATTTGGCATCCGTGGCGACTATCTCTACTTCAATGCTGAGGAGAACCAAGGTGAAGTCAACCTCCACTACATGCTATGCCACGATGATGTACAAGATGAGAACGGTTCCATTCTCCACACATCGGAAAGACCCCTTGATGACAAAGATCTTATGAGGCTTCTCCACCGACTGGGCTATGAACGGGCCGTGATCCTCTCCACCGAGATGCTCCTTCCCAGTCTATGCAGAGTCCGATTTTGGAATTGTACACCAACGGCAGCTCGTGATGACCGTCCACCACGGGTCAAAACATCGTGGCCAAAACGAGCGGTTACCTCTTGGACACCGAGCCCATTATTTCCTGCCCGTGATGTCACTGCCGCACTGCCTGCCCAATGTCAGGTTCAGACGCTTTTCAACTCAGAAGACATAGTCGAGCTCCTCCAAGCCGGCAATGACACTCTGTGCACTGATTTCACTGGACTCGATCTACCCTCATTCATCGAAGAGGTCCTCACGAACAGTGAACCAGGCCGGCTTGACGAAGCATGGGACCGATGGCTCATATTCACTGATGGTTCATCACAAACAAAAAACAAGCACTTCACACCAGAGTTTGCTGATGCAATGACTATGCCAGACACATGGGCCATGATAGTCCTGGGCGAGCGATACACCACAGACACAGATAGCATCGTTGTCCCACTTGGCTGGCAAGCACATCCAGTGCGAACAGACCCGCAGGGATCCTGCTTTGTTGGATCTACCCGCATCGGTGCCGATGTGGCGGAACGAGAGGGGCTCTTGTGGGCTGGATTGTGGCGGTTGTCACAAAACAGCATTGTGCCTACTGTATTTTGTGTTGATTCACAAATCACTGGAGGACAAGCAGCGGGGACGGTTGGTGTATCTGAGCCCGACTTGACATACCGACTGCTGCGTGGTACGTTCCAATGTCTTCAAGCTGGACTACCTTTGCACCATCTCGAGATCCACCATGTACGGTCGCACACTGGTGATCCATACAACGAGTTTGTTGACCACGTTGCCAAGAGAGAGGCCCAGAACAGCTTTCATCATCGACGTCTGAAGCTGAACATGCAGAAGTGGCGCCACTTTCTACCTTATTTGTGGCTCGTGTTTGCCCGAGATCGTGGATTGCCTGCATGGAAGGAGGGGCTCCATGTGTCGGCACCGGAACTTCCCGTTGCGGCTTTGCCTGGTAACCCAACCTGTGATCAAAAGAAGACGACGTCGATCATTGCATGCCAGCTTGGCATTGCCACAATGAATGTCCTCTCCATCTCCAAAGGGCCCATGGGGCATGGAGGCAAGCTGTACTACCTCTTCGAACAAGTCAAGGCCCATTGTCTCAATGTGGTTGGAGTACAGGAAGGCCGAAGTGAAGAAGTCTTCAGCACTTCTCATGATATCCTACGAATTGGCGCTGGACACTGTGGAGGTCAGTATGGAGTGGAACTTTGGGTCAACCTCCGACAACCAGTCGGCTATGACAGTCGGCGAAAACCACAGTTCCTCAAGGTCCAGGACTTCCAGGTTTGCCACAAAGATGCACAAAGACTCATTGTGAGGTGTCAAGCGGATCTGCTTGTATGTTGGTTCTTTGTCGCACATGCTCCCCACAGTGGTCACACCAGAGCCATGCGCCAAATGTGGTGGGATGAAACCGACCACCTCATTGACCAACTCGATGATGGAACGCCATGGATTTGGATGATCGATGCCAATGCAGCACCTGGAGCAGCTGATCACCTGACGGTTTTCACACCAGGATTGGCGACCAGTGGGAACACGGACATGTTTAGGTCCTGTCTCCAACGACATGGGCTTTGCCTGGCGTCCACTCTAGAGTGTCACAAAGGGCCCAGAACTACGTGGACGAGCCCAGATGGTGAGAAGGAGCACTGCATTGACTATGTAGTCATCCCGTGCATTTGGAAGCACGCCTGCACCTTTTCCAGCGTCATTGAGACAATGGATCTTTGCACAACCAATGATGACCACAAGGCTATTGGGCTACAACTGGAATGGTCTGCCGTCAGCACCGCTGTTTCGGCCAAACTGAAGACGAGCCATCCCAACTGGAATAGTTCGGAAGTGCGCTCGTTTATGAAGGAGCAGTTGACCACCATGACACATTGCCCATGGCATTCGGATGTCGAAGCACAAGCACAACATCTGGCCAGCGCTCTTCACAAAACTATGAAGTCGAGCACACAGGCGCCTAGTGTTGCCAAAAAGCCCTACATTACAGAGGAGCTCTGGGCATGGCGCGCACACAAACTCAAACTCAAACAGCGCCTCCATGACCTCCACCGGCAGACGAACCGAACACTTTTGTGACAAGTTCTACAAGCATGGAAACAGGGGCAGTCCGCATTCGACCCCACGTTGGAAGAGGACTGCTATGTACCCTTGCAATGTCGCAAAGTCAAGCTGCTGGCGGAGTACAAGAACTATTCCAAGAAGCTCCAGAAGGGATTGAAGCAGGCCAAACAAACTCACCTGCGTGAATGTTTGGACAACATGCCTCCATCGACACCGGCATCTGGTATTCTCCGCAGCTTGCGTAGCTATATCGGGCCTACCAATGTCAAAATGTGCAAGCAGAAAACCATTCCACTGGTTCATGACTCTGAAGGAGTGCCTTGTACGACACCGGAAGCCGCCCTCAGTGCTTGGGTCAGCTTTTTCCAAAGTATGGAAGGTGGACAGCGAATCTCCTATGAAGCCTTGCGACAACGGTGGCGGGACAACCTTGAGCAGCAGCGGCAGACTGAGATCAAGCTGGATTGTTCTGCCTTGCCTACGCTCACTGACCTTGAGCTGGCAATGAGATCCACGGCATGTGGCAAAGCCCAAGGAGCAGACAATATTCCAGGAGAACTCCTCCACTACTTCCCTGTGGAACTGGCGGCTCAGGTCTACCCAGCACTATGGAAGTTACTGCTGCACGGACAGGAGGACCTCTCCTATAAAGGGGGCAAACTTGTGCAGGCGTACAAGGGGCGTGGACCAAAACACCTCTGTGAATCCTTCCGTTCACTTTTGATCTCCAGCCAAATCGGCAAAGCCATCCATCGAACGATCAGAACCTTCCAGGCTGATATCTTTGAGAAGTTCATGCAGAAGCACCAGGTCGGTGGCAAGAGAAAGATGCCAGTGACTTATGGCCTTCATCAAGTCCGTGCGCATCTCCGACATGCCCAACGCCATGGAGATTGTGCCGCTGTGGTATTTGTTGATCTTACGGAAGCCTTCTACCGAATCTTCCGACCACTCTGCATGAGCAGCACCATCAGCGACGAGACCCTTGCGGCCTTTCTCTGCAAGCTGAAGATGCCAGATTCTGCTCTACATGAGCTATGGACGCTTCTTGATGGACCCCATGCTCTCCATTTGGCTGGACTTCCAGAGCATCTCCAGAGAAGTATAGCTGCCATACACAGCAATACGCACTTTTGGATGCAGGAGCAAAAGGATGTGGTGGAGACGCAATTTGGTTCCCGTCCTGGAGACCCTTTCGCTGATGTCTGTTTCAGCTACGTCTGGGCTCGAGTGCTCTTGCGTTTGCAGACCCACATGGAAGAGCAAGGGCTAGCTGACTATTACCCGCAGCTCCCACAACTTGACCTTTTCGGCAGTGCACGCGCCACGGAAGAAACTGGAGATCCTACCAGCTTCATTGGCCCAACGTGGATGGATGACACCGCAGTCTGCATTCGGGGCAAGAATGTGCCAGAGCTGCTCGCCAAGGTCACACAAACAGCTGGCAAACTTTTGGAGTTGAGCATTGAACATGGCATGTCTCCCAACCTCAAGAGAGGCAAATCGGAGATATTGCTCAGCTTGCGAGGCCGCAACTCACGCAAGCACAAAATTGAGCTCTTCGGCCCGCATGCAACGTTGACGCTCCCGATCCTTACAGAACACCAAGCCTATGACATGCCCATCACCAACAAGTATTTACATTTGGGAGGGCTTTTACATCATGGACCAGATCAGCGCACAGAAGTCAAACGCAGATTGGCGTTGGCCCATGCTGCGTTCAACCAGCACAGGAAGGTGCTGTATCATAACCAACAGATACCGCTACCCAAGCGATGTGAGCTCTTCCAGATCCTCATCGTGACCAAAATGCTCTACGGTTCTGAAAGCTGGTTGATCACAGATGACCGCACTGTCAAAATGTTTCATGCAGCCATCCTCAAATTGTATCGCAGACTTTTGAAACTGCCCCGCGATCAGCACTGGTGCACAGAGAAGATCCTTGCAGAAGTTGGTCTTCCTTCTCCAGATACGCTGCTACGGAGACAGAGACTGCGGTACCTTGGAACCCTATTTCGTTGTGGAACTCCGCATGATTGGGGCTTCTTTTCAGAAGACATTGATTGGTGCGCATACCTAGAAAAGGACATTGAATGGATGTGGGGGCAGCTCCAGAGAAGCTCTGACCTTCCAGATCCTAAGGTTGACTTCGCCCACTGGACCCGCATCATTAGATGCCATCCGAAGTTTTGGAAGCGCTTGGTGAGAAGAGCCACTGCACATGAAGTCATGCAGCAGCAGAGAGTATGGAAAGTGCGTGAATTCCACCTTTACGCTGTTGAACGACTACAGACAGTCCTTGGGCCTTTTGAGGTGATGAAACATGCGGCAGAAGAGAAGCAATCTCCAACGTGGTTTGGGTGCCTTCACTGCCGTATTCGCTGTGCAACGAAGGCAGGGGAAGCAGCGCACATGTTCCGCGTGCATGGCCACACTGCAGATGTGAGGAAGTTCATCTCAGAGCCGACCTGCCCGGCGTGCCTACGCGTCTTCCACACTATGCAGAAGACGCAGGCGCATCTGTACTACTCTGCACGATGCCGAAGCATTTTGCAGAGCAGACCGCCAACAGCGGAAATGGCACCAGGTGCAGGGTCCACGACCGACAGAAAACTTCAAGATCAGCATGATCGATTGCTCCCACCTGTGCAAGCAGCTGGGCCACACAACCAGGCACCGAGACTTCGCGAAGATCCGAAGATCCATCACGATCTCTTCATCTTCCTAACGGACCTGGTCGTACCTAGCATGTGCTTGGTGAACTTTGAGCACATTGCGCGCACCTTTGCCACCGACAACGCCATCTCTTGGACTTTGTGGACCAGTACACTTTGGTTCTTCGAGGAGGCCTTTAACATTGAGGACGGACAGTTTGCTGGCATTGCCGTTGAGGATTTGAAGAAAACTCTGGAGAGCCTTCGGGATCCCGAGACATTCCCCTTCATGGAAGCCCAACTGTCCAAGCCTCACACCCCCGAGACTTTGGCAGAGCTGGAACAGAGTTGTTTGGAGGCTCCCGGACCAAGTGAGGAATTTCTCTGCAGTCGCCCAGCCAGTTTTGGACGACATCGAGTTCTCCTACACGCGTACTCAGGCCGACGCCGGCCAGGAGACCTCCAATACTTTTTGGAACATTTCCAACAAGCTCAAGGCCTCGACAACTATGTGCTCCACATAGTGTCCATGGACATCGTCATCGATGCCCAATATGGCGATGCCCGCAATGAAGCGACTCGCAATTACTGGCTTACAGCAATTCGGGATCGCAAGGTGGTGGCGTTCATTGCTGGCCCCCCGTGCGAAACGTGGACAGCTGCCAGAGAACACCAATTACAAGATGGCCGACGAGGACCGCGACCGGTCAGGAGCGCAGAGGAGTTGTGGGGGCTCTTTTGCATGCAGCTCCGCGAGCTCTGCCAGGTTTGCATTGGCAATGAGCTCCTTATTTTCGCGCTACAGGCCTTCATCGAGCTCATGGCCACTGGTGGATGCGGTCTTTTGGAGCACCCTGCGCCGCCGCCGAAACAGACCTCCCCGAGCATTTGGAAGCTGCCCATTGTCCAAGCATTGCAGCGCCACCCAAATGTGGAGACGTGCCGCTTCGCGCAGGGTCTCCTTGGAGCTCCGTCGCCGAAGCCGACGCAGCTATTGCTTTTGAATTTACCAAACATGATTTTGGCCCTTCACCAGTGGCGAGTGTGCAGTGAGCTTCCGAAAAGCTCGGCTATTGGTGTTGATTCGTCAGGGGCGTGGCGAACAGCGCCACTTAAGGAATATCCTCCTGCGATGTGTGCTGCCATCGCTGAGGTGCTGTTCAAAGTAATTAGTTCTTTCCCGCAGTGCCAAGCACAGGAACCGCTGCCATCGGAACTCCAATTGTGGAACCATCTTTGTGCCACGCATTACGGCACACACATTGGGGCCGATTTTGTGGCAAAGCGATGAGGCACGGGGAATTGAACTCTGCAATAGGCCGCTGCGACAGCAACTGGATGCCTAGAGGAAAAAAATATGTATTCTGCAAGCGGCAAGATTTAAAGCTGCAGGACTAGGGTCATGAGTCTCACTTGTCGACCTGCTGGGCCCCCAAGGAATCCATACAAGGAAGGCTTCAGGAAACATCGGGTGACTTGTCTGAAATCAAGTGGTTGGTTTGACATTCTGACTCCTGCAAGGAGTGTTAGGTATGCTGGAGGACATTTGGCCATCTGGCATGCGCGTGGCCGCAGCCATGCCATATCTGCTTCTCAGGTGGTGAAACATGAGATTGTTGAATTATTTCAGCGCCTTGCAGATGGCACTTGCAAAAGCTCTGTCAAGGCTGGGCCCAGTGCTGGACTTGCTGGACTTGAGTGGTGACACTGTGGTGGCAGTGCTTCAAGAGATTTCTAGGAAAACCGCCTGACCAACGCTGTGGTTTTGAAACCTGGGTGAAGAAGCCGTGTCCAAAGGCAGAGCAAGCAGTTGAATAACAGTTCGAGTATTTTCAAGCCATGAAGAAGACGCTGGCCATCAAATTCTTTCTTTTTGCCAGGTGCTAAAGGTGAGGCGAATCGAAGATTCTGCCCTGTGGTGCCGCTATATCAATTGGAAGCGTCGCTCAGCTGTCATGTTGGAATCCCATGGAATAGGTGGATCTTTTAGTTTGAAAAGGTGCGAAATGTGGTGCGAAATGTGGTGGACTGGTTTCAAGCCGCTTTGGTCCGATGAATTCAGGCAATCTGAGCCAGGGCCTTTTAGAGGAGGGTGACAAGATCAAGGCACCCAATGAGCTGGATGGAAATCCTGACAGTGGCCATGTCCTCACGGAGAGCCTTGGAAGACGTTGAGTTTGGCTCGCAATGACTTTCAAATATTTAACTTCTGTAAGATTGGGCTTGGGCAAGTAGAATTCAAGTGCTTGCCATGCAATCTTAGATTTTTGGTAAGAAAAGGCCAGCTTGAGTCCTGCTTTGCTTTCCCATCGAGCTTAGCTCGGGACGCCAGGAAGATTCTTGCAGAGAACCGTGGTGACCATGCGATCAGAGCCTTTGCTGAAAGGGTTTGATTTCGCATGAGACCACGATTCTGGATGCAAAAGGGTACACCGGGTACACTCTGAAGATACTTTTGGACAAAGACCGCATAGTTTTGGGAAGCGGAGAGACGAAAGTTACTGGGTCATCACTCTTACCTCTTGTAAACAGCCTTCTATAGTCTAGCTATGTATAGCTCACGCACCTTTACAGGATCAAGAATTGCATAGGATTTGAAGGCTTTTGTTATTTCATTTGGTGTTTTTAGATTCAATGATTGCCTCCGTCTCAGCCTCCGACACCAAGATCGATAAATATTGGACGTCAGTCAGGACAATTAACCGCCCAAACCATGCCGGCTTTCCAGTTGCTCTTCTTACAAAGTAGCATTAGCTATTCCACATTCCACATGGTATTGATTTTCATCTCGCTCAAAGAAATCAAAGCCCCTGATAAACGCACTGGTTGCGAAAAGCCAGGGGCTCTGCATGGGTTTCCGAAAAAAAAGAGATATTCTTGGATGCAGTAACTGGAGGAAACTCTTTTTGGCTAGGGCCCTGGGGTCGCCGGCAATTCCATGGTGCAAGTCGACAGGCATCAGGATTTTGTTAAAATGGCTGACACCACCTGAGGTGTTGAGAACATGCAGCCTGGCCTGAATGAGATGCTGCTGTGGCATGGTACCTCCCAACAAGCAGCTGAGGCAATCGCTGAGGAGTGACGTGGTGTTGGTGTTTGGTACTGTTTTTCAAAGTATCTTGAAGTATGGTTCAGAAATTCAGGAAGGGCGTTTGACGGCGTTTGTTTGTTGAACAGTGGCTGACCCCAGGGTTGATGGTCCGTGTTCATATTCTCATCATTGTTTAGCTCATTGACTTTTCTCTATCCCACATCCGCAGGAGGGTTTCGATGTGGCAGATGCCCGCCACGGACGTCGTTTTGGAAACGGTGTCTATCTTGCCGAAGACTTGACAAAAAGCTTGGACTACTGCAAGTCGGCGGCGAATGGGGTAAACTACGTGCTTCTATGCAGGCCTCGCTGTGCACTTCTGAATTGCCTTGTTGTCCGATTGAATGCAGGATACAAGTAGTTATGATATAATTATTATGATATCATGATTGCAATGATGCCCATCTAACTTTCACGCAGCTATCCTGCCGCAGGGAACATGTTCCACCGTCATTTTTCCGGATTCGGAGCTACCTTTTACTGTTTGCCAGCTGTGTCTCAACAGTTGACGTGTTTCGTTCAGGGCCACGTGCGGTCACATATACTACACCGAGAAGGATTGGGATTCTGGAGCAGATTCGCCTGCCAAAGCTGCGGGCTGTACGTGCGTCCTGGCTAATCCAAGCAAGAAAGGACCTCGGGAGTATATCCTCTTCGATCAGTCCCAGGTGTACCCAGAGTACATCGTAGAGATGACACGCGGATAGAGATTGACAGCTTGCAAACTCTGCAAATTCAAAGATATTTGAAAGGCAAGGCTGGGTCCGGTCCTTAGGACTAACTCAGGACCCATGTTTGGCCGCAAGCTGCCTGTATAGAAATCCATAGTTTGAGGCCAGCCGAATGGCTAGCTTTTGCCGGAACGGCTCATGCATCACCTTTCCACACTTTCTGACACCTCCTGAGCCTTCGGAACGTTTCTTTGGGTGCACCTGCGCAAGTTAGTTGGGTTCATTCGGCATATTCCATGGTTACTTGAGTTCTCATGAGTTCTCCGAATGCGCGAAATGGAGGGTTCAGCTTACTGCTGGTGTGTTAAACATCACCAAGCGCCATACCTGGCCTGGGGCCTACCACCAATCTGGGGCCTGCCACCAAAACTACATGATACCACGAGCCAAGTGGTCTTTCCCTTGGCTGTCTCACCAGACCCTCGTCCACTTGAGATGCGACATGTGAAAAAGCAGCCCTTGGATTCTGGAAAGAGCTCGAGATGCTGAGATGCTTGGAGGATGGTGCTACAGTACGATCTACTAAGCTACATTAAGTTACTATCCTCTTTGAATCTCTTTGATACTTGTTAGTATTCGCAGCCATTCACTGTTCTTTTCCGGCAGATGCCAAGGTGACATCGATTGTCCAGTCGCTCTGCAGATATTGTACCGGAACACCAGTCGCAAGGGCTTGAGGCCTAGTGTGCTGCGAAACCAGTGTCCATCGTGGTCCTGTGAAGATGGTTTCCAGCGGCATCATGAGTTATCCAAGGTTGGAATGGTGGTCCTCTGGGTACGTGTGAACTCAGGTCCTGAACAAGTTTGTGGAAAGCAACTTCGAAAAACTCGAGCGATTGCTTGAAATGCATGAGGAGCAACGACGAAAGACATGTTTTGGGATAGATTCGAGCAGTCAAAGATAGTAACAGGATGTAACAAGTTAAGAGATGTTAAGAGATGTTTGGAGGGTGTGAGATTTGGGGGCTCGTAGGACTCTCGCAGGTGTCCCGGTGTGACTTTGGTCGCCACGAGCCCAGGAGTATCATCGCTCAGTTCAGGAGGCCGACCGAGAACGCGATCAGGGCTTGGCACAGAAGATCGACCGCGAGCATCTTGGAGCAGATTGGCGGGCCCTGTAAACTCGAGTGAATCTGGAAAGATTCGGTAGAAACATCTATAACATGAAAATGTGCGCGCGCACACACAGATGCACACTCTCACACTTGCATATGAGACACTGCTCTGCAAAAAGGCTCGAAGTCAATGAAGAGGACGGATAGCAGCAAGTTGATCGAATGCGTTGAATGCGCCGCAGAAGTCCCTGCAGGTCAAGGGAATCTTCAGAAAGCTTGAAAAGCTGGATCAAAGTCAAGCATCCCAAGTATCCCAAGTGAGCCATCGAAAATATTCCTGTTGAACCTGATTGGTTACCTGTTGCCTATTAATCAACCAGTATGATGGGCCGAGAAAGGGATATCGGATATCTGTCATGAGTCAACCTAGCTATTCTTCCAATGGGCACATCTTGAGGAGCAACTCTTCCTGGATCGTTGCGATGCAGGGCTATTCACCTTGCAGCAGGTGGACCTGATCCTTGTGCGCCTGGTGTGGAAGCCTGATTAGTTTGATGATGTTTGATGTAGCGGCCCTGCAAACTTATCAATCTTTCACAATCTTTCCATTTGTCGCTGCCAAGCTTGGCCCTTTCAGGTCAACATGGGCAATCGGCAAGCTACTGAAGAGCAACTGGGCCAGTAAGCCTGCAATGCACTCGGTGTGATGAGGGACTGCGGGAGAAATGCCATCTGAATTTGCTTAATTACACATAGATGCACATACATTATATTCTAATTCTATACTAAATTGTATAATGTAACAACATTTCACATGTTTAGGCAGGCACACGCACATATTATATGTATGTGTACATACACACACATATATATGTATATATATACATATATATATATATACATACATATATATATACATACATATATACATACATATATATATATATACATAACATATATATATATATATATATACATGTGTGTATGTATATGTATACACGTACACACACATATATATATATATCTATACATATATATATACACATATATCTATACATACATATATATATACATACATACACACACATATATATACATATGCATATTGATATGTATTTGCCATACATGTATTTTTCAATATTAGGACACTCTTTCAACTAATTTTACACAGACCTACTTAAAGAAATGAGCCTTTAAAGCTGGAGCCATGGAAGCATCAATCGTTCGGATTGTTTTCGATTGCCCGATGGTGTTGGAAGTTCTAGACAGAATCAAAACTGCAGAGTCGAAAGACTTGGATCCACTATAGCAGCAGCTAAAGTTGTGCGCATCCCCAATCAACAGATCCCATAGTCGATGCGTTATGTAGGAGGATTTGTCATGGTTTGATGTGAAACTGTTTGTCTTTCCCACTCCGTGCCCAAATGTAGGGCACTGGGGTCGTTGTGCTGCGAGCTTTGAGGATTGGAAAGCTGATGGATGTGAAAGGCGTGAAATTGGAAGAGATCAAGAAGATCGTGTTGGAGTACTGCACCAATTTGGGCCAAGAAGCGCAGGAGGAGAGGGGAGAAGTGATCTCATACCTGCGGGCTATGCTCACCAGGTGCCTGCGAGAGATGTCAGGAACGGACCTTTGCAGCATTTTGCAGCAAGTTCTGACTGATAGTTCTGGGCGCTACAACATACTACAACTGTTGGGGCCAGTCAGAGCTCCGGAACTATCGTAATTACTTACCATCTGGCTTGTGGCTTTGTATGAGCTGAATGATATCACTTTCAGACAGACCAGTGTAGAGTTGCTATGGGCTTGCCGATGTATTGAAAGCATTTGTCCCATTTACCAGTAATCTCTCAAACATTGGGACAGATGGGATGGATAAAGACTGAAGGAAGTATGAAAGGTGCATTTGTGCGTTTAAAGCTCAGACTCGCACCTCCTTTTTACCATTCGCCCCCATGGCGGCCCAGCGCGTTCACGGAGCTCAAGGCGATGCAGGATAGCCATCGGATAGATGCGGCTACCTCCGAGTCCACTGGCGGCGCCGTCGAGTCCAGCGGATCGACTAAGTCCATCAGATGCCGTGGGACGAGTCCCTTCCAGTCCGGTGGGCCGACTCAGTCCTTCCGCCCGCAGGCGATCGTCGGCGACAGAGTGGCGGAATAATCGGGCAAGCACAATGTCCAGCATAACCAACGGTAACGCCCCGGCGACCAGCAACGGGTGCAGCGCGCAGCAATGGATTACCTCCAAGACATCGCAAGGTGGGAGATTTGAAGTGTGCGATTGTTCTTCACCTCGCCCAACTTCTGCAGAATTTTGAATCTGTCAAGCTGGAACCTGCCCACCCTACGGAAAATCGCTGGATGATTTTGCTAGCTCTCTTTTTGCCTGGTTTAGTTTACTTTGACTGTCCAGGTCTCTTCTGGATCTTGACGCTGGGTCATTGCAGCGTCTACATGTTGCTTGGCTCATGTTTCTACACATACAGGCACAGGCAGACACACACACACAAAGAGAGACTCATGTGACATGCAAAATATACGCAAGATGAGGTGTGATCATCCTATGGCTCCTATCTTCCTTTGCATTGCCCAGTTCTGCTTTTACATGCGCAGACATGACACGAGAGCTTTGGCCCTGTGCCCAGGTTGGGCCCTAGTAGGTTCGAGGGCTTTACCAGCTTTGTGCTGTTTGTTTGGTTCACCGGCGCGCCACTGGCAGTGATGACCATCCTGGAGGTTTGCATTCGAGCCTCTTGCCAGAATTCGCAGGAGAGTTCCCTTCAGGCTGAAGCCCGAAAAGGAACTCAGGTCACGAGAGTGATATACTAAGAGAGTGAGCCTCAGCTATTCTTCTTCCCACCATCACTAGCCTTTCCCCTTATGTAGACTCCTACCACCACAAGTTTGTGCTTTGTTTGGACCACGGACCACACAGGTACTTTGTAAGACATTGTAAGACAACCTAAGTTTCAAGCATATTATAAGTTCGATCCACCACGCAGGCAATATGACTCTGTTCCGCAAAGAGACACACTGTCATACTGTTGAGCTCTCACCACGTGCATGGGGAAAACTCTATTTCTTTAATGCAGAGTGTTACAACCTTTGACCAGCTAAATCAGCTAACCAAGAAAGCACCGCCCTGTGACCGAAACGTGCTCAGTCACGTCGCTGCTCCTTAATGCACTTGGCGGGATGCATTTCAGTGGATGCAACGTTTTTCCTCCAGACTCGCCCCGCACCGGCTTCGCAAGGTTTCCGTGCAGGCAGGCCCAATCTGGAGATTCAAGTCTTGGAGGTGCCTGCCTTGAGAACTTCTGACCTTGTTCTGCCATGTTCCACAAGTTTCTATGGGAAAATCGTCCTGCCAGCGGCATGGCAGGCGGATGATGATTCCTCTTTTTCACCAACTCGAAGCCTTTGCCCCTTGGTATCCCTTCTTGGTATCCCTTGGTGAAAATCGCGCCCAACTTGGGGGGTCAAGATGGTCAGGATGGTCAAGCCATAACCGGAAGGCCAGCAATCAATAGCAATCATCTAGTCACCTACCGTAGGTAGTCAGGACCTAGTCAGGTGATGTCAGGTGCAATTTTGGAAAGTATGAGGCGCAGCTTCACAGATTCACATTCTATTTTGATAATTTGCTAAAATCTCTTCCCGAAGACGTGCAGAAGGTAAAGGGAGATAAGGGAGCTTCATCTCTTCGATAGCAGCAGGAGCCCTTTGAAACGTTGCACTGATCTGAAAGTTGTGTGCTAATGTGACGTCCGAACCAAGCTAATCCCCACCCCCATTGGAGAAATTTGAAGGCGTGTCAGGGCACACATCAGCGGAACATTGCACAATCTTGTGTTGAAGCCAGAAAAATTAAATCGTTTCAAGGCTTTCTGAGGCTTTCTGCATCTTTAAGATCTTTCTACTATTTTCTGATTTAAGAATGCTCAGTCTTGACAGTGGCTCTGCCCACCAAGGTCATGGCAGTGATGGCATTCCGTGGTGGGATGAGCATCTATTTGCTCCTCGTTGCTTTTTTGGGTGATCAGTTTCCTACTTCCGTCTCTGACCAGGCGCACGGCAACCCGGTTCAACCCGGTTCAACCCCCTCACCCTGTCGAATTGCTGCTGCGGCCCATGTTGCATATGTTCATCGGACTTGATAGGTTTAGGTTCACACACACACACACGCACACACACACACGCACACACACACATATATAATAATATATACATATAAATACATATCTCCGATATATTTGCGCACAGAATTAAATAAAAACATAGATGGCACAACTATATCAATACTACTTCTATATCTACTATATGCATACTCATGTGTGTGTGTGCACATCCCAGATGTTTCCCAAGAGTCGACCCTTGGAATCCTTGGAACTTGAAAGGACAAAGCTACGGTGTTGGTGTTGTGTGGATATCGCGCCCTGCGCACGTGGGGAGACTTTCATGGCGTCTCTGTTCAGAGCACCCTGCGATGGCGTCGGCGACAAGCTCGGCGGCAAAAGTTTTGGATGAACGAGTACAAGCGTCACTGACCTGAATAATGTGTAACTTTTGTTTGCTGCCACTGATTTCGCATTTCTGCGTAATGGATGTTGTCGCTTTCATTTAAAATCCACTTGTTTACGCGCATGTGAAGAGTTGCTTCTGTTTTCCCCTGTTTTCGCGCTGGAAGAGCTTTATGGGCTTTTGCCATCTACATCCCTTTTATACCACATTTTCATACAATTTCCGTTTTCTACAATTGTTTCCGCCAGGCCACCAGGCCATACTGTATGAATTCCTTAACCAGTCTCTGCCTCAGGCCAGTTAGAGGAGCACCGCCAGCTGTTTTTCGTCCGGATGCAGCGATGCGTTGACAACCGGATTTCCCAACTGGCTTTGTTTTTTGCAACGGTCTTCTACTGCTTCGTGGAGTTCCAGGACGAGATATCTTGAGATAGCTTGAGAGTGATGAGACAGTTGGAATAGGAAGGGATATCATAAGGGATGATGGGATATCAATTATGTCAATCCCTGGCGTGTAAGCCTTCCCCCGAGCTGGCAATGAGTTGGTGAGTTGTGAACATTCGCCAAGAGAGAACTCAGCGCCACATTGAAGGAAAACACTGCATATCGTTACGACACTGCATATCCTGCCCTGCAAACTTTCAGGACGCGTTTCCGCTGACATCGTTGTTCTGGGGCTACATGTTGATTGGTGCATTTTTCTGCGAGTTTCTTGCGCGGGCCAAAGCACAGGGCGGTGAATACTTCTTCCGGCCAATGTACAACAAGTTGGAGATCTTGGTGCTTGCAGCAGGCAGCTGCCGAGCAAGAAAGTTTGGAGCACTTTATTCAGCGGTATACGAACGATCTGGGGGAACCAAAAATTATGATTTTCAATTTCCCTGAGAGGCACTTGGTGCTTATTCTATGCATCCTGGTACACTTCGTACCTGGCTGAATCCAAGCAAGAGAGAACCACTATTGCATACGCAACGGCTTTTCTCCTGCTGTTGCACCGATGCATTCGCTTGCTTGCCATCAGATTTCAAGTCTCCTGTCAACGCTTCAGTCCACGGTGTTGATGGTTGTCGCAGGTACCACGAACCAGTTTCCCAAAATTTTGTCACACCATTTCCACACAGGTGGGATTCATATGGATTCATGTTCATCTTCTATCAAAACGCTGCCGAGGTCTCCGGTAGCTATTTGCACGCCAACACTCTGATGAGTGCAAAGGCTATGGCCACTTGCCTATCTTCCGGCTGATTCAAAGCTCGCTTTTAAAGGCTCCGTGAGTTTCGGTGTGCCACAGAGGCGGTAACCAACAGCGGCTTCTCAAAGTGTGTAGGAGGTGTGGTTGGAGCTGGTCAGACTGAACAGCCCCCCCTTGATCCAGCACCCCACCAAGGAGATTTTTATGGCCAAGTATGGCAGTTTGGTGGAGGTGGCACCCACCAACATCCACGTGGATGTGCCTGGCTCCATGGTCCACATCGAGAAAGCCACACTGAAGCCTGAAGCTTTTGAAGATTTGCACCTGCCACTGACTCTATCCGGAGGCAACGGCAACCTCCCACCTGGAACACCAGATGGCATATGATGCACTATGTTGCGCTAGGATGTTTTGACCCAAGGATGCGACCAATCTGAAAGCATTGCAGGGGCGCCATTAGCCACACACTGCTGACACACACTCTCTCTTACATTTTTGCACTCTTACACTTTGACCCACGTGCCACAAGATTGCGGAACCATTTTTTTCTCATATTTGGCTGCAGCTCAAAATGTAAAGTACCGATCCATACCCCAGACGCACAGCCATACGCCCGATCCATACCCTTTTAATGAAATTGAATTCATTTAATTCATTTGGAATTTGAGATCGTTTGTGTCACTCCTTTGTTCCATACGTCCGGATCACCGATCAGTACCCCTTTTTTTTTTTAATAAAGCCATAGCCACATCTTCCTATGGCACCGGTTTGTAATTGAAGCAAATCTGGAGGCCTCATCGAGGATTTTTTTGTGGATTTCTTCACTCCTGATAACGAGGGTGGTGGTTTCGCACGAGTCCGTACCAATGGCAAGACCAGGGTTCGCATCAAAAACTTGCTGCTTGTCATGGGCCCTGGCCGCGGGCTGGCGGAAGCTGGTGGCAGCAGAGGAAGTTATTGGAACGCTGAAAACATTGAAGATGCGAAATCTCGCGTTGTGGATTTTATCTACACGCGCCTGTCTGCGCCATTCCCTGACGTCGTTGCGCGAGCGAATTTGCCTTCAAGGTAAAGCAGCTAAAACTTCTGTACACTTTGTAAACTTTTGCTGGAGTTCGTCCTCTTATGTTCTTGATCGAAATCATGCTTCGCCAGAAGCGACAAGTTGACAAGTTGTTATCTTAATGTGGCCAGGAGGCCTGGCTTTCAAGTTCTTTAGGTTTCCTTAACTTCTGCCCTCCTTTTCAGGTCGCAGGATTCCTTGGGGTCAAAATCTTCCAAGAAAACCCGGAGCTGGTCTGGGTTTTGGACACTTTGCGCAGAAGATGCACTGGAAACTTCGGGTGGTACTGAATTCGGGCGTGCGACGCTTCAAAAATCTTCTCCAGGCTGGGAGCGTCCTTGGAAAAGAACAAGGAATTTAAGATACCGTGATGATCCCTGATGATGCATGCATGCTTTGTGCCCAGGATAGTGCTCTTCGAAATTTGGACTTGGACATCCGAAATGCATCGGTGCAATTTCAAGATTCCTCTGGCGCTCTGGGCTATGGTTGCTTGAGTATGGGCCACTCGGACGCATGGATTGCGCCATCGTGATCCATTGTCCCTTGAGACTTCATCTCTGTGCCACTTCTATTCTTGGATGTGATCAATTGTGGTCAATCAATCCCGTCTCACCATCCCTAAGCTGGTCTCTTGATGTACTGCAAATGGCACAGGCTTGCCAAAACGGAAGGAAAGCCCGAAGCTTGCAGCAAACAGATAACTATTAACTATATTGATTGAGATCTCTCCACCTTCAGTTTTTGACCTCAAATGGTTCTCATGCCTTTTCCATTCTTTTCATATATACTTTCAGAATCTCTGCCCACCATATGTATATCCATTTATTGCTTTCCTGGAATATTCTACTGTAAGAGAACTGGCGCACTGGCAGTAAGGTCTGAAAATGGACTCGTTGAAGCTGATGCGCCACGCCGGAAAGCATATGAATCGCGGCTGCACTATGGCCCCATAGACTACCCTTGGCGAAGATATTCGGAACAAGTCAGAACCACCAGTGCTTTGGGGGGGTGAGTGATCTGAGTCTCTGAGTGGATGGTTGCAAACTACACCCAAACGGACTTGCATTTGGTTCTTGTGCGGGTGCGGAGGAACTTGCATCTGGCACGCTTGTCCTTCTATGTGGAGCCCTTTGGGGGTCAAGAGTCCTGGCAAAAGAAATCGTTGACAGCAGAAAAGCCGCAGCGCGTGGTGCGCAAGATGGCAGGGGTTGGCCAAAAGCTGTTTGGAATGTGAACACACCTTTCTGCAGGTGCAACATTTGTAGTAAATGTTGACTTAAAATTAAGAATATATTACAATGAATTCATGTTCAGGACAGTGATCACTCGTTGAATCAGGGTTTGTGAGAGGTTCAACTGAACACAGCAGATCGTCTACGGTCCTGGGCTTTTTCAGAGCTCCGGCAGAGATTAGATGCCACAGAACGACTGCATCAAATGGAAAGGTGGCCCGAACGGCACAACATCCTGATGATTCCTTGGGTGTCCCTTGCCTGAGCCGACAACGAATCGACAATGGATGCAATGGCCGCCATCACCCCGATGGCCTGTATTGAATTGTTTTGCACCCAGAATCATAAAATTGGGATGGACGACGACAACAACAACAACAACAACAACAAGAACAAGAACAATAATAATAATAACAATAATAAGAATCGTAGTAATCGTAATCTATGCAGTATATATAATCATTTGCATAAATATGTATATATAATTATATATATATTACATTATATATATACACATCATCCATTAGATTTCAGTGGATAGTGTTTTTATTGGTGGATCTGGCATGCAGAGCACCCCGTCTACACACTGATATTGCGATGACCAATTGAACTTCTGGTCATTATATAGTTATTGGACAAATTGGTGGCTTTTTCTGCATCCCCGAGTTCGTTCAGGTCCTTGAATGCAGGTCCTGAAGCAGTTGGAGAGGCGCGCAGGGATTGAATATGTGCTGGGAGCTTTGCTGCCTAGTTGTTTTCTGTGATAGGTAATGAAGAAGTTTAATCCCAGGTACCCTGGAGTTTCTGGAGAACACTCCTTTCGTTTTGATGGTTCCAAGAATCTGGAAGAGAGACCTGAGCAGAGGCCTATCGCAAGGCTTTCAATTTGAGGACAGGGGCCCACCATGCCTTGCTGTTTGGACAGGTGCCGCCTGAGCGCGTGGCCTCGGGCAACCTGAGAGTCAGCCATGGCTTGAGTAATGCGATCCGGAAACAGGTACAGCGGGTCACGCGAGTTACACGGTCACGGATTAGCTCAGACATTGAGGACCAGCAGAGCTCTCACCTCCACAAGGACATGAGGTGAAGTGACATGGGGCAGTTTTAACAAAGTTCAGGGCAGGCCAGTGATAATCACACATGCTCATTTCGCAAAGGTGCACGGTTTGGGGCTTGGTCATGGGATGACTCTGTGCTTCCTGCATAGTATTCGATCTGCAGAGTGTGCCCATGCAGGCATATCAGCAGCACATGACTCCGCAATGCGCAAGGGTAGCTGATATGTTGGCATGCCTTTCAGGAGATTGAGGAACATTGGCACTGGAAGTTGCAGGTGCCTAGGCAGAGTATATATTTCCATTGGGTTGGAGCAAGGGAGCCGACATATTTGCCAACATGTCGTATAGTGGTATAGCCAACCCAGCCAGACAGACTTTTGATCCTGCACCGGGACAGGGCAGATGGCAGGGAAAGCAGCCTTCTATGCTGCGAGAGAACCACCCACCTCAATTCAAGATCTAGCATGCAGCCTTGGGGTTCACAAGTTTATGGGCCAAGATGGAGCTTCCAGGTTCCAGATTAGTACAGGCAAGACAACAGTTTCACTGACTGAGTAATTAGAAGATTGTCATATGTGTCAATTGAACATTATTTCGGTTTGCTTTTGGAACGTTGGGGTGGCCCTTCACCTCCTATGCAAGTTTGCTTCTGCGAAACAGAAGATTTCGTCATGAACAAACAGCTGAGGTAAGACCTGTGATAATTATGGTGGACGATGTTCAGCTGGGCTGCGTAAGGCATTTGCACCACTGTGTCAGGAGAACTGCGACGGGAGATGTTAATGTTGTGGGTTTGATTCGTGTTTTCGATGTGTTTTGGTAGGAAATATCGGGACAAGATGTGAAAGAATGCGTGCCACGCTTGCAGTGATAAACATGCAGCTGAGATGCATGGTTGAATTGCTTTGACCCTCTTTAGATAACCTAACTATGAGTCAAAATTTGGAGACCCTTTACTTTCAGCTTCCGCCACCACCAGTTTCAAGCTCCTGGACCAGTCGCAGGAGTTGGTGGGCCTGGGATGCCGCGTTTCGATGGAGGCCCAAGGTGACTCCCTTGGACCCCACGGTGATGCCCAAGGAACGCCCGGCTGTGGTGCGCTTTTGGTGGTACTACACGCTGCACCGGGTGCTGGCCAAACGCTCTGGCCAACGGAGAATGCCTCTGAAGTTCCTGGACCTGGTGCTCAAGGCCAGGAGGTGAAGCGGATGTAGGGAAGACAACGAGACATCACATTTCCATACATTTCCAGTATATTTTTATGCTACACCACTACGACATCAGCACTTGTACAACCCGGAGAAAACTACTACAAATGTTCCAGAGGAAGGGAGGACCCATTACACACGCATGCTTCCATGACAGAGTCTCCATTGAGTCTCCATCCTGCAGTCCTTTGGAAGGCTGGATATCGCTTCAAGTATCGCTCAATGCTGACCGCTGTGGTCGGACGGTCCGGTCCGTTGATTCCTGGAAGTCGGGTGTTTTTGAAGCCCAGTCCTCAACAGCAGAAGCAGCTGCAGGACCACAATCAAGTTTCGCAAAGTGCTTAATGTATGCAAATGTGGTGTCTGGTTTTGGAACCCCATTGTTGTGCAGCTTTGTGCTTCCCTTTGAATGTACTTGGAATTATGACCAATTGCCGCTTGGGATTAAAATAAACTAAAATTGGAGCTGAGCAATATTGCGAAAGATGCAAGAACGGGGCTTGACCACCAGGAGCTGCAGATGCACCTTGCATATCCTGTGCCGAAGCTGCAGAAGCCGGGCAGGTCCCGTTTGCTTTGGTGTTTTTGCTGGTGTGTGGTCGAAGGATGTCGAAGGATGTCGAAGGATGTCGAAGGATGTCGAAGGATGTCGAATGGGGGATGTGAAACATGGGGCTACTCCACCTTCTGGGAGCTGAGAAGGGGCTCATTCTCTCAGAATCCGGTTCCAGTATGTTCCAATATGTTCCAATGGGATCAATGGGGATCTGTGAGTCCAAGCACCTTCTTGCCTTCGGTGCTGCCAACACCGCCAAGACATGCTTACTTTGGACCTTTTTTCTTTGTGTATATTGTATTGACTGATGTGCCACGTTCATGAATGCTTTGTCGGTTTCATTGAATCTTACGACCCCATCTTGTGAAACAATGATGTTTTAACATGTCTTGACATGTTTTAAAACCTTGTTGCACCAGTACCACATGATAATATCCAATGCAGGCCCATCATCTCATGGTGGCCTTTGGAATCCTTTCTCATGTTTGTCTGTTTTCCTGTCGGCTGGCCATTTGAATAGATCTTGGCAGATGTGCCACATCAGATGTGCTGGTGTGATTGTGTGAAAGCTGTCGTAGTGTCAATAACCCCGAACTTTGTTTGTACAAAAGAGTGTGACATGGTGTAACATGGCGTGAAGGATGTAGCTAGATGTAGCCAGCTTGTCTGATCTTGTTTTAGCGGTAACCAAGGACATTGTGTCGTGCTACCGCGCTGTCTTGGCCAAAGCCGTGGGTCAGGGAAGCCACGCCAGCTACGCCATTCGAGCTGCACAACAAGCAGAGGCAGAGGCAGCACTGGGCAGCACTGGCAGAAGTCGTGGTTGAAGGGACCCTCTCCAGCTCAAAGGTCTCAAACTTCATTGAAGTGACTTCATCCTCACAATAGCAATATATAGCTAATATAGCTATCAAATGCAATCAAATGCAATATATAATATAATATAGCACCTTGAAAGCTTTACCACTAAGTCTGGCTTGGCAAGACTTCTCCATGGCCTTCTTTTTGCGGTCAGTTTTTTTTTTTGCGTCAATCTGTACGTAGCATTGTTTATCATGAGAGTTCCGAACCTTTCGCGATTGCCACGCTGTGCAGGTGGTGGACGCCGTTGAAGTTGAACAGTTGGAGGCGTTAACGGAGGAAGAGGAGGAAGAGGAGGAAGAGGAGGAAATGGTGGAAATCAACAGTGCAGACAGTGCAGATTCCTCAGATGAGGAGGATCCCAGCGGAAGTGGGACCTGGGAGTTGCGATGGAGCGGTCTAGAGGCTGGCAGAGAAGCTGGCAGAGAAGCTGGCAGATTGAGTCGCGGTGAGTCATGTTGAGGGCAGGTAGATGTGTACTTTGGTACTTTGTGTAATTATCTTTGTGTCTAGAATGATAGTAGCAGCTAGGGGGACGATGGAAGGGGCTACAACTTGCACGTTGCTTGTCAACCCCACTCCAAGCAGACCCAACAGGTGTGGATTCCTTTTTGGCGCCCTGGACAGCGCTACCGCCCTGTGTTTCTGCATGTGACCTTCCAAGATCTTGCGATCGATGCCGAAGTGCTTGAGAAAGATGGTTCTGAAGGGAAATTGGCTCCTTTCAGCATGCTGTGTGCACTGAAACTAGGCTCACTAGGCAGCAGCAGGAAACAGTTTGGAATGTTGGAAGTTGTGTTTTGCACCTTTGCTCAAAAGGCCTTGAATGTTTTTCTCGCTGAGATTTCAGGAAAAGCTTCAGTTTCTCTTCTCCCGAGTGCGGCAAAATTCAAGCTGCAGCTAAAGATGTGGTGAAGATCAATCAGTTGGTCTCAATGGCCCCCACGATGTTCAACTCTGTCTTTCATCTGGGGCCCAAAGACTGGGCTTGCAACTCTGGCCGCATTCCCCTCGTTTTTCAATTGCACGTTTTGGCGAAAAGAATGAAAACAACTGGGGAGGACTGAGAATCCGTTCTGAAACTTTGTGCCAAGGCATTGGCGAACAATTTGCGCTGATTGTGCAGGCCAGGGCCATATCTGGGAAGGAAGTACACGCAGTGGTTCACTGCCCTGAATGCAAAGTCATGCTCTGGGAGCCACTGATCCTGACCCTCCGCGCCTTCTTGAATGAGCACTCCAAGGAGGATGCGAAGACTCTTTCTGTGGTGAATCTCAGTTGCACTGTGTTGGCTTATTTGTTTTTGGCCCCTCTGGTCAGTCAGCTTCCCCATGCTTCCCCACTCACAGCCCAGGCGAGGAGGACGCATCACTAAGAAGGATGGAAAAGTCTCGGCCAAAAATGGGCGGATTGGTCCAACGAGCGTCTCCGCCACATTTGAATCTTTTCTGGAAGTCTCCGGCTCGATGCAGAGCCAGGCACCTGCTGCAAGTGAGCAGACCAAGCTTACAAAGACACTTGCTGACAAAGGCCTTGTTTTTTTTGTCCTCTCAATGACGCGGTGATGTAATATGATGTAATGAAGTGTAATGATAATGTATTCTGTATACTTATGTATACTGTGAATACCTTGAGCGTAAATTGAAACACCACCTGCTCCACACACAATCTAGACCGATTAATATATATATATATAAATAACCTAAGCATGGTATTGATCCACTGTCGCTTTCTGATTTGCAATTTGCTAAGGAGACTTCAGAATGCCCAACGCCTTTTCGAAAGAGTTGTGCTAATTCAGGAAGACATTGGAGTGAACATCACTTTGAATCTACGCGCGATCCAGATCTTCCAAATTGGAAAGTTCAGCAGGGACCAACTTGGCATCGAAGAAGCTCGTGTATTTCCTCAAGACGTTTCTGCCAAAGTCTTGCGCTCGGACGATCCAGTTGCTTTTACTTCGGGCCGTAGCCGGACTGGGACAATGTGGGCAGAGTCGGGAAGCAAAATGTGCTCCATCGCAGGTGCGTTAGACGCCTATGCCAACAGGTCAAGGCAAGCCAGGAGTTCCTCATTTCCCTCACAGCCCTGGGTGGCTGGAAGCCCACTAGTGCCAGCTTTTAGACAGGAGGATGCCGTTGATGCGCCAGAGCTGCCAGATGCCACTAAGCTCAACATAGCTCGACTAAGTTCCACTAAGCTGATATGTACGAAGTGATACAAAGTGGTTCACGCGGATTTTGTACTCCAGTCATCTCTTGTCTCTACTCTAATCTTTGTCTGTCAATGCTGTATATCCCGTGCCCAGAGTCTTGTCGTTTCTATGGTTTATCCAGATTCCATATCTTTGTAGGCTTCAAATGGATGTCAGTTTTTCTTAGATATCAGTAACTGCCAGTGACGCTGTGTTTCGGTGTGCTGGCATGGTTTGAGCGTTCCATTTTTGCCCGTTCCAGCCTTGCCTTCAGGCGAGCATCTTGGGCTTGTCGTGGCATCCCTTCTGGATACCTTACTGCTGCTCCAGCAATGCTGGGGAGGTGAAAAGCACTGCACCCAGGGTGGCAGGGCCACCAATTGAGCGGGTGCCGCGTGATGCGCTCGGCAAAGCCCTTGTGCATTTGGCGTTTTGGAAGCTTCGGCCTCATGAGTTTTCAATTGAATGGATGCAGAAACAAGAAGCAGACTGGCGTCACAAAGTGACCCTTAGCCGTGGCCAATTGTCTTTGTAATGCTGCGAGAGAAGTCCTCTGCTCACTGACAGTAGGTCGGCAAACATCCATCGTAGCTCTACAAGGTCATCACTATTGCCATTGCGCCTTGGAATAGGTCTCCGCTTTTAGTCGGACGTGTCATCAGCAGAGCGGCCTCAATGTAGCTTTGCTCCTCTGGAACTGCTGTGCTGACCAAAGTTGCCAGCAGGCCAAAGTTCCAGATGTATCCAGATGTGTTTGTCTCACACACATGCAAAAAAAGGAAGTTCTGAAGATACATGGGTGGGGCGGGGGCCCGAGAGTTTGTTCCCTCACTGCCCCTACCGATTTGACACATTTTCACGCCCTTTCTACTTTTTTGTTCCGGTAATCAGACATGCCAAGGAAAATATCGGGGGATCATCTATAGATATCTACACAGGGTATTTCAGCATTTCCCGTTTCAAGCTTAGTTGAGGTTAGTTGATTGGAGAGTGTCACCCAGCACATAATTGAAGCTGTCGTACAGATTCGTGCAGGTATGGAGGTGACGCAAGTGCAGTTGAGGAGCCCGCAGTGGCCGGCAGCAAAACTCCAGAGGATTTGGATGGTGCAGTTGGGGCCTCGGTGCTTGCGGCAATGCGCGTCACTTGGGAAGCAGTGCCGGGGAACATCGGGGAACCAATGAATACCAATCACATCCAACAAAAGCCACTGACAGACTGAACATACCATAGGTTAACAATGTTTGGCATAACTTAACAATCCTATCATCCTATATGTATGATTATGTATGCAGATGCATGCAGTAATTACTCGGTAATTAAGAGTACATGCAGTATGCAGTATGCATATATATATATAACACATACATACATACATACATACATTACATTACATTACATTACATTACATTACATTACATCCATCCATCCATCCATGCATGCATGCATGCATGCATACATACTCATACATACTCATACATACTCATACATAATCATACATACTCATACATACTGATACATACTGATACATACTCATACATACTCATACATACTCATACATACTCGTACATACTCGTACATACTCGTACATACTCGTACATACTCGTACATACTCATACATACTCAGGCAAAGACCTGTCATACCTACCCTACTGACATGACATACTGCATCCACCCCCTACACATACAGACACAGACATACAACAGACATACACCGAACACCTCCACCCATACATCTTACCCAAGTATCTCATATCACCCATACCCATACATACCCATACATACCCATACATACACCCAAATACATACCGTCATACAGAACCTCACCATACCTAACTCCTATACGCAGTACCCCACCCCATTCACTCCCCCCCCCCCATTCACATACTCGTACATACTCGTACATACTCGTACATACTCGTACATACTCATACATACTCATACATACTCATACATCACCACATAATACACCCCACATACATTACCACATAACTACACAACCAACCATCACCATAACACACCCCAACATACCCCAACCATACATACACATACATACATACATAGGGAGAGAGAGAGAGAGAGACACTAGCCAATTAACAGGCAGACTTGAGCCACATAGCAACCATGTAGCTGCCACCAACCATAACTGGCAACCTCAGTCCACAGAGTCCGCGGCGTCCCGCGGGGTACGGGGTCCTACGGGGTCCTGTGAAGGTCACGCCTGATGAAGCTGATCCCAATCAGGTGGGAAAGATCCAACGGATCCAACGGATCCAACGGATTCTCCGGTTTGCTTGTCACATGTGGAAGGGTGATGACTCGGTGATGACCATGAAGGGTGTTGCAGTGCAGACTCCTCTGTGGGTTTGTGTGAAATTGTGCAATCCTATCAATTCCACCCAGTGCCAGCTCTACTGGTAGATCCAAATCCTGCAGTGTATTTCTCCCATGTCAGGTGACTGATGACGAAGCTCCGAAAGAAGAGAAGGACGACTTGCAAAGAATTACGGTAACAGTTAGAGTGGCAGTATATAATTTCCACAGGCTCTTGTCCTTTTGTCCTCTTGTGCATCCACCAAGCCAAGATTGAAAGGACGACATCCTATTGCTTTGCTATTTTGTACCCTTTGGTTAGTGCACTTTGGTGCACCTTTTTCGCATCGTGTATGTGCTGAAATTGACCATTTGTTCTAGATCTTACCATTTTGGAGAAGGAATCCCACAGGCATATGCGCGACTTCAACGTACTGCATTTGCGCCAAATCTACTGTAGCATTTTCTATCAGTTTGTTTCCTTCTGCCCTCCAAAACATAAACCCGATGCAGTCGAACCCGAGCAATTTCGATTTCTGACGGGCAAGAACCTCAGTCCAGTACCCTCCGGAGGAGACCAAGGAAAAGAAAGATCGAACCAAGTGAGTCGAATAGTGGCATCGAAAAAAGGGCAGAGCAAGCCGCAGATAAGATGACATAGTGGTGGTGGTGATTATGATGATGATGATGATGATGATGATGGTGATGGTGATGGTGATGGTGATGGTGATGGTGATGATGATGATGATGATGATGATGATGGTGATGATGATGATGGTGATGGTGATGGTGATGATGATGATGATGGTGATGGTGATGGTGATGGTGGTGGTGGTGCTGCTGCTGCTGATGATGATGATGATGATGATGATGATGATGATGGCGATGATGGTAATGATGGTGATGGTGGTGATGATGATGATGATGGTGGTGATGGTGGTGATGGTGATGGTCATGGTGATGGCGAGGGTGATGCTGATGCTGATGCTGATGCTGATGATGATGCTGCTGCTGATGATGATGATGACGATGATGATGCTGATGGTGATGCTGATGGTGATGGTGATGGTGATGGTGCTGCTGCTGATGATGATGATGATGATGGTGGTGGCGGTGGCGGTGGTGGTGATTCTGCTGCTGGTGGTGGTGTTTCCTGGTCGCACACCATCACTGCAGCAGGCGGAGCTCGTTCTGGAGAAAGCTACTCAGTCACAGGCGGGAAGGAACAAGTTTTTTAAAACCCAGCCAACATGATTCCACGATGGTTTACATGTTTGCAAACATGTTCGTTGTATTCCCGATTTTGCACATCGATGGGAACCATGTAGCAAAGGCGAACTTTTTGCTGAATGGCAGGAGTATCAGCAAAGATCCAGGATGGCCACGGCTGAGGGGTCCTTGGAGGCGCCGCCTCAAACAATGCAGTCACAGACATATGATGCTGTTGTGATGTCTACCACAAGTCTAGAGTGTGCGGCACATACACTGAATGAAAACGTGATAAATATCGCAATATCAATGAATTCAGTGAATTCTGTTTCTGACTAGCTGGAATAGCATTCATTCTAGCCGGAATTCCATAGTATTCCATGTAGCATTCATCGCGCCTGCCACTTGTCCTTCCTTCACCGCAGCCAACATGCAGGTTCAGCAGCAGCAGGTATGGTGGTCCTGGCGTGATTAGTGGATGCTGTCCGGATCCTGCGACCAAGGAATACTCACGGGCCTAAATGGGGCCGGGTAACTTGGCAAATGCGACAGCCAGACTTGGTGATGTGGCTCTCCAACTTCAAGTGCTAGGCAATCAGAAAGCTAGATTGTTTCGCCAGAGTGTCTCCTAAGAAAAACACCCAAGCCACTTCCAAGAGGTTGAGATGGTTGAGTAGTTTTGGAGATGCTTCTTGATTTCTTTTGATTCTAGAATTTGGATGCAGGTGCACACACACACACATAAATAAATCAACAAATAAGCAGATAGAAAAATAGATAATCAAGTGAGCAACACATATATAGATAAAAAAGTAAATATACATACTGTAAATCACATACTGCAACACATGCTGAATACATTCATACGTTAATAAATCAATAAATATACAATACATACATGAAATGAACAAATGCATAAGTAGATTTAAATCAAAGATAAGCATAAGTCATTATATAATTATTAAATTAAATAAGCATTTTTAGTGTGATTAACAATATATCTATATATATATACATGTAATATATACATTTAAATAAACAAACAAATAAATCAATAAATTTATACATGCACATATGTACAGAAAGACGTCAAGTTGGCTGTGACAGGATGCAGCAGCTGTCCAACGAGCTCTTCAATGAAGCGGCCTCAATAGGAGATCAAATTCTGGTGCGACACTTGGGCGGAGTCAAATGCAGCACCATCTTCTCCTGCTCGGGATTTGTACATATTGATACAGTGGTTTTCACCACTGGCCACCCCTGGTTGAAACATGTTGAAAGTGTAACTGCATTCAGCAGATTCCAGGTTGGAACCCCGGCCCCGCCCTTTTGAGTCATCATCTAGGTACGACATACGCTATTATATCCACAGCTCACACGCAGGGAGTCAGGAGCCGTGGTATACCGAATCATGCAATTGCACTGCTATGATCTGATGATCCCACATGCATCACGAGGCACAAGCTGAGTCAGCCATTGGCACGACCAAGAGCGCTGTGATCAAGGCAAGTCCAAGCATGTCCTAAGAATTCCCGAGTTCAAGGATTGGTCGTGCTCAAACAGTGCCCATCCTGTCAGAGCGTATCCAATTGGTATCAGTCCCATGACTTCATGAGATGCAGGTAGATGGATGGATGGACGGACGGATGGATGGATGGCCGGCTGGCTGGCTGGCTGGCTGGATGGATGGTGTTTTGTATCATTTTGCTGATCTGAATCACCCCAATCCAAGTCGCATTCACAACTGGCAGACTATGGCTGCACCAACCCATCAGGTCTTGGCAGCCTGTGACCCTCTGCAAGCGTTGGCCAAGAAGTTTGAGGAGGACTGCCATGCCGATCGTGTCGACAGAAGCTGGAATCTGGGATCGGCCATCAGACTTGGGAACGCCAGAATCGCCAGAATTGCTACGCCATTGCTTTCTGCCTGGTTTATCCTGGGTCATAGAAATTGATAGAACATCATCGAACATGAATACCCTCTGGTAATTTAACATAGCTATGGAAAATCACCATTTTTAATGGGTAAATCCACTATAAATGGCCATTTTCAATAGCTATGTTAGTTTACCAGAGGGTAGATTTGCTGATTGCATCGGATTGCTTCTGATCCTGCGCCAGGCCACCAGGGTCTCCAAGTCGCAGCAGCTGGCGCAGCAGGCGGAGCAACAGGCAGAGAGGCAGAACCTTCCCGCCCGGAGACCCGGAAAGTCCTGATGATTAGTGATTTTATGGTGATTTTACGCTGATTTAATGGTGATTTTATGCTGATTTAATCATTGAAATCATCATTCATAATTAGATATTCATAGGGGATGTCAGTTTTGATGGCAACTTCCCACATCACCACGTTATGACAATCATGATCCAGCTTGATTTTTAGGATAAATGATGAGGACACATGATGACAGATGAGACAGCAATTGATACTGCATGCCCGTTAATAAATCATCGAATCAATGCCATCATCAATGTCATCAATGGCGCCGAAATTGACGTGGCGAGGCGAATCCTGCTCAGCTAAGGCCGTAGAGCTATCCCGTGAACGCTTGCAGTCCGCCAGAGACGACCGTGACCGCGGGGTTCGGGTGCCTCAGAGAAGTTTCTTAGGTCGTACCTGCAGTACCTGCAGTACCTGCAATTGTTGGGGGAACATCTCCGTGGCCCTGTTTATGTAGCAGGACCTAGCACAAAGGTGCAAGCAAAGTTGATTGATCTCCAAAAATTCAGCAATGGGTTTCTCGCGCTTCTGCGATGGGGTTAGTTGGAAAACAAACTTAAAGCTCAACTCTGCAAGATGGATTCACAGCGGGTGTGGTTAAGGTGGTTCCAGTTTTGGGTTTAGCCTATCGCTTCCTCCAAGTCACAGGCATACGTTTCGTGAACTTGGCCCCCCATGCCAGCTGCTTTGCCTAAATATGGCTGAAGTACTGACTCAAGGCTGATAAAAAGATACCAACCACATGCAAGACAACTTGTATTCCACAGATTTCCACAGTTTCCGACAATGACATGCAGTTGATCCTCAGGCATATGACACTGCACCAAGGGGGCCTCACAACTCACGAGGAAGCAACTTGTGAAACAACTTGGAGCACTTTGTGATTTTTGTGTATGCGATATAAGTCGTCATATATTCATCTTCCATCATTGTCCCGCTGCCTGATTTTTCTTTCACTGGCCGAAGCCTTTACTTGGAGAAAAAGCCTTTGGCGTGAGTTGCCTTGGAGCAATGACTCAAGTCAGTGAAAAGGCGCGGATTCGTTGAAGCTTGTTTTTTGTTGCCAGATTTTCATAGATGTTCATGGATTTTCACCATTTTTTTTAGTCGCATCCACTGATTCCAGATCAAGTGATGATTACTGCATCACTTTTTGCATGTTGTGGGTTGTTGATCTTGAATGCTGTTTGGTTACAAGTCGGAGGCCTGTGCAGCCACCCTGTGTTAGGCAGATTTGGACATGCTGCCACCTGGTTTGGCTGTCTCATGGCATTCAAATGGTGCTGATGGTGGTGGCTGATGAAGGTCGCAGGTGGCCATGGCATCATGGGCATAGCACTGTTTTAATTTGCGGTTCCAAAACAACATAAGTTTTAGAAAGGGCCGTAGCGTGCGCGCTGAAGAAACCCTGCTCCCTCCAACGTTTAGAGTTTCGGTATCTTTTGCAATACACGTCAGTACAGAGAAGTAGAGTGCAACAGACTTATCATGATTTATCCTTGTGTAATTGTTAATGATTATTCAGTCTTAAGAGTAATTTGAATGTATTCAGTTATATATTATCAATTATTTCGGAGAAGCCCTGGTCCCTAACTGGTCATCTTGATACAGAGCTGGCCGAGGCGGCTTCCGGATACGTCGCCGGCTTCCTCTCAGAGCTGCCGGAGACTGAGGCACTTTGGGATGCCACGATGCATACACTACTGTGAAACACAATTCTGTACGCACATAGATAAATGATGATAAATGAACACATAAAAACATACAAACACACACACACGCACATATTTATTTATTTACATTTTTTCAATCAACTATTTAATCTATTTCTAGAATTTTATAGATACAAAATAGCATTCCGCCTTCGGTAGGCAAAAAGTGTCCCACGGTTTTCAGATGTAGCGGCCCAATCTCGCAAGACAGTTTTTTTTCCTGTTGGCGTGGGATCATGCTCGCAGGAAAGGAAGCTGCGTATCTCAGTGCAGCGAATGAGTGGCGAAGAAGACATTCTCGAAGTTCCGGAGGACACAGCCTGAAGAGCTCTCACTTCTCAAACTTGGAGGGGTAACAAGATGTAGGAAGTCAATTATTCTTGAAAACTGGTCAGTACCTCGCTTAAGCCTACGTTTTTACTCGCTTACGCCTACGTTTGTGAAATATGATGGCAGCACCAATAGAAAGTGACATAGAAGTCTTTGAATATGACTGCAACAGGTGTGACAGAGATGATAAGCAGGACATTTTGATTCGATCATATGAATTGCATGTCACTTTTCAGAAGATGTTTCAACGTATCAGGAATATGTCGCAATGTATCAGGAACATGTTTGAACTCACTTGAAGAAGTTGCTTCAACGTATCAGTACCGTCTGGCAAGTTACTGTAAGACGAGGTGACACATGTATCAGGAAGGTCGTGCAATTTACTTACAAGTAGGAAGATAGATGTTGCAACGTATCAGGAATGTATTGCAAGCTACTTGACGAAGATGTTGCAAAATAGCAAGAACATCATTCAAGGGACTTGAAGAAGATGTGACAACGTCATGCGTGGAACATGTCGGAAGTGTCGCGCAGAAGATGTCGCAATGTATCAGGAACGTGTTTCAAGTCATTTGAAGAAGATGCTACAACGTATCAGGAACATCTGGCAAGTTACTGTAAGACGAGGTGACACATGTACCAGGAAGGTCGTGCAATTTACTTACAAGTAGGAAGATGTTGCAACGTATCAGGAATGTATTGCAAGCTACTTGACGAAGATGTTGCAAAATACCAGGAACATCATTCAAGGGACTTGAAGAAGATGTGACAACGTCATGCATGGAACACCCCAAGTGTCCCCAAGTGTCCCCCTAAGCGTCCGCAAGTGTTAAGCTAAAGGGCTGTATCCCTTGGAGTTGGTTCCCTAGGCCTACCCCAAGTGTCCCCTAAACCCACCCCAAGTGTCCCCAAGTGTCCCCAAGTGTCCCCAAGTGTCCCCAAGTGTTAACCTAAAGGGCTGTATCCCTTGGAGTTGGTTCCCTAAGCCCACCCCAAGTGTCCCCTACTCCCACCCCAAGTGTCCCCAAGTGTCCCCTAAACCCACCCCAAGTGTCCCCAAGTGTCAACCTAAAGGTCTGTACCCCATGGAGTTAACTCTGAAGTCAACATACAAAATGTCGGCTTATAATGAGTAAAAAAGTCGGCTTAAATGAGTCTCGGACCTTGAAAACTACTTGCACAAAACCGTTCCAGATGGGAGTCACCTCTTCCCAATTTGGATTGGCAGATGCAGGACGCAACAGTGCAGGTCTTACGGGAAGCCATCGAGAGATCCACCAGCATGAACTTTGGACGGTGCTTTGGTCGCAAAAATGGAGGGCATCACGGCATCACGTTTGTCGAGGTCGTATCCTTTGGTGGCTTATTCCATCTTTGTTGGAAAGGGATTGCACTTGAACCCTTGCACGTTTGACATCATTTGACTGTTTTGCTCTCAAGATTGGTTTTGCCAAGGTCTGCCTATCGCCTGATTCACAGCAGTGTGTGCTTGAACAACCCTCATGCCAAACTGCAAGACCTTGAGATCAAGGATTTGTCGATTGTGACCATCATGAAGGACCCTAAAAGCGCTGACTTGGCAATAGACGAAGAGGCTTCTGTGTAGCTAGAGAACTTCCTCATTGATCAGGTCAAGAAATACTATTGTGCAATTCTTCGAACATGGACATTCGACGTGCGGGATCATAGCTGAGGAATGCTGAGGAAGATCAATGAAATATGTTGCAGCAAACAACGATCCCCAGCTTCCATTGCTTGTAGCATAGTGGATGCACAGCACGTGGAGAGCAGAGGGTTCCGAACGATGTCGGGGACGGTCGCCACAGGAGCGTTCGCGAGATTACACGCGTGTTGAAGATGCAAAGGTGATGATGCTCGGCAGGGCTTTGAAGAGCCTGGGGTGAAGCTCATTTCCGAGGCATTTTGAAATTGCATCATGATGAATCATTTTGACAAATTTTGATTGTTGCACATTTTTTGCCGAATTGGGCAGGCAGATGGAGGCATACAGACCTGAGCACCTGGCCACAAAGATCAACAAAGACACAGTGACCTAGCATTTTGCATAGGACGTGCCAGACTTACAGTAGCAAGTTGGCATGGTTTCTTCCGACGACTTCCCCAATTGATTCTTAACATGGGTTGAGACCACCAGCCAGTAGAGGTTTCGTATCTCCGTCCCTTCCCATTCTGGTCTGGATTCTGGTCCTCCATGGCCCTGAGGAAATGTCAGCAGTATCCAAACGGCCTCGTTTTTTATCAGGGCAGACTTCTTGTGGCCCACTACTTTGGAGAGTTACAGGCTGACGGTCTGACGGTGGCATATTGGATCATATGATATGACAATGATATGGGTTTTGACATGAGCCAGAACATACCACCATATATCACCAATGAAAAACATATTCTATACTTAATTATTATTCTATTTCATGAATTTGTATGATAGTGGGAACCATGATGATCCACCAGTTGATTATGTGACGATTTGGGATATGCACCATTTTGGATAGCCATATTTGGCTGGGCCACGCTTTGGAATCTCGTTCTTGTTTCATGATTTTCAAAAGATGGTGGCATTTGGCGCCACAGCAAAGAAGGAATCTTCACGCGGTTTCTTCAGACAGGAACAATGTTTGAAGCTGTCAGCTCACTACCAATCAGCGCGCAATAGGATCCAGGAAGTCTTGTGAACTTGCATTTGTCGTGACGTATCATTGTCCAAATTTGCCATTAGATCCATTAGCTTGTTTCACATCTTGGAAGGAAGCACTAAGACGGTCAACTTTTGGCATTGAGGTGTATGACTCTGACTTCAACCTTCTCCACACGAGCAAGCTGCCAAGTACGGGAAGCCCTGCGCAGATTTGCATTGCAGGAGGGCAGTGGTATGCAAAGGGATATTCCACTGATAAGAAAGTTGACTGCCGTGCATTGCAGGTAGTCCATGCCACTTCTCCCGGTCCAGGGCAAGCCTCGCAATGACAGACATTTGTTCCCACCGCAGATTGTGAGGAGATGGCTGCCTGGTGATTGCCCACCGCGACAGCTGTGTTGCTGTGCTGGAGCCCAAAAAGGATGGTGAGAGTGATGAGAGACGCAAAGCTGCAAGAATTGTTGGCGGAGGGAAGATTCAACAGAGATCAGCTGCAAAATGTTCAGCCCGCTGTTGATTTTTTTAAATCAATCAATAAATCAATAAATCAATAAATGAATAAATAAATAAATACTCCCTGGCAAAATAACATGGAAAAAACATGGCCCATGTTAATTCAGGGGTTTTCTGGTGCGGGATGGTCCAGGTTAACCTCAAAAATCACGATTTGGCAATTTCAGAGATTAACATGGAACTTTTCACTTTTTACGCGGTATTTACACGGTTTTGAGGTTTTGGCCCTTTAACATAAAACATTAACAGAGAATCTATGTTGAAACCCAAGTTTGCAATGGTCCATGTTAATCAAAGAAAAATATGCAGTATTTTGCAGGTTTTGGTGATTTGGACCATTTGACATGGAACCTTCCAGGGATGACCAATTATCTGCAAATATCTGCAACATGGTTTTCATTTTGCTTGATTTAGGCCTAGAAGCGTTGGAAAGCAACAATTTTACTGAAAAACGATCTGTCGGGAAGTTTGGTTCCTTAAGTTTTGAGTTTCCAAATTCTCCTCGCTTCGTCGGATAGAAAAGAATTTAGGTGCAAGATGTTCCATGTCAACCGCCCTTTGTCCCCCAATTCACCGTGAAAATAGCGTTTCTTCCAAATCCCCAGCGTGAATGGAAATTCCCGAAGGGGACTTGCCCTTTATGATCTTTATGAGAACGAAAACCATAACTTTTACACAAGGACGTCCTTGCTGAAAAAGAAGGCTTGGGTTTCCCCGGTTCTTCTCCCAAATTGTGGTTCCACCATTTTTTGGCACAAAACTGTGGTTCAAAGAGGGGTCCCCTTTTCTGAGACCCAGAAAAGCAATTTTTGAGTAGGAACGCCCTATTGAAATTGATCCGTTTTGAATGGATGAGTTTTGCTTGGAAAATTGGGTGCCGTAGTTGATCGCAAAAACTGTCTCCACTGTCTCCACTTTGTCGTTGTACAAAATGTTCCATGTTAAGCGTTTTGAGCTTCAGTTCCCTTGGGATCAAATTGTTTCAAAAAAGGCACATGTTGGAACATTTAAGGAGGGAACGGCCTTCCTTGGTTCAGATCTAGGCCTAAGAGTGTTGGAAATGAATCTTGGCCCTTTCAAAACTGAATGGAAAGTGCTGGGTCCCTGAAGTCTTGATTTACTGCATGGTATCCACTTTGGCAATCAAAAACGAAACGTGCGCATGATGTTCCATGTGAACCGCTTCTTTGGGCTGAACTGCACTTCCTGAAAAAAGATTCTTCACACAGGGTTGCTGCAGTTGGGCTCATTTTGCTTTATCTAGGCCTAGAAGCGTTGGAAAGCAACAATTTTTCCTGAAAAAAGATCTGTCGGGAAGTTTGGTTCCTTAAGTTTTGGGTTTCGAATTCTCCTCGCTTCGTCGGATAAAAAAAGAATTAGGTCCAAGATGTTCCATGTTAACCGCCCTTTGTCCCCCAATTCACCGTGAAAATTGCTTTTCTTCCAAAATCTCTAGTATCATAGTATCTAGGGTGAATGGAAATTCCGGAAGGGGATTTGCCCTTTATGAGACCAAAACCATAACTTTTACGCAAGGGCGTCCTTGCTGAAATAGAAGGCTTGGGTTTCCCCGGTTCTTCTCCCAAATTGTGGTTCCTCCATTTTTGGGCACAAAACTGTGGTTCAAAGGGGGGTTCCCCTTAAGATGCACCTGAAATCACTTGAACACTTCCATGGACGTTTATCCCTGTCAATAGCACAGAATGAACCCCGTCAATAGTGCAGAAAAAAATCGAGCTGGAGATCGTGCATGTTTTTGGCAGTCCAGTTGACTTTCCCAACGTGTGAACCTCAAATCTTAACATAGAAGAAAAAGGACCCCATGTGGTAGACTTTTTCTTCCATGTTAAGATAAAACCTTTGACCGCAGGTGTCATGTTAAGAAAAGTTTTTTTTTCGTATTTCGAGGCGAGGTGTATGTTATTTTGCAAGGATGTAAATACACACACACATATATATATAATATATATTTATATATATATATATAAAAATGATGATATTAAAAGGGGATTTTGAATAATATAACAGGTCGTGCTCCTTTCCCGGTTGTTCCATCTGAAATCTCAAGGCATGGAGGACGCGGAGGGGGCCCTTCAATGGCAGCCAAACTTCTCCTTGAAGTCAACGTTGGGGACCCAGGCTGAAGCTTCGAAGCGTGTTCGACTGGGGAACCTGACCTACGCATTTACATACTGTGAAATTGAATATCCAGTGCTGAAAACCCGCTCTAAGAATTTTTGGGGAAGATATTCCCCAAACAGTGTGTCCACACTAGTGGTTCTTACGGTACTTGTAGGTGTTAAGGCCGGGGTTAGATCAGGGAACGCTCTCTGATCCCTGTTTTTTTCCTGTAAATTCTCGCATAAAAGTGTCCTTTTGCTATGCCCATGTGCATTTCGACTGCGCGGGCTCCCACAAAACGGTTGTCCCGTTCGTGGGGCATGGCATTTTCCCGAAATTTCTCGCACGAAATTGTTATTGTGACCTGTCCATGCGCATTTCGACTACGCAGGCTCGCGCAAAGTGTGCGGCTAAGTTGTGGGGCGCGGCGTTTTTCTTGTAAATTCTCGCATAAGATTGCTCTTGTGACCTGTCCATATGCATTTCGACTGCGCAGGTCTCAGGCGATCTTGCAAGAGATTCATCCGTAATATTTGAAGATCTTGGCCAAGGCCTTGTAGAGGTCTTTTGAGAAGATCTTGTGAAGAGCCTGATGAATTTTGAAATTCTGCCCGAGGCCCTTGCATGATCTTGCGCAGGTCCTTATGAGAAGCTCTTGTGAAGATCTTGCTGGCATCCTCTAAGAGGTCCGTGCAGCACATTTTCTAAGATGTCCTTGCATGACCCTGTACAGGCCCTTAACCGAGGATCTTGTCGAGATCCTGGTGGGGTCCTCTCTAAGAGGTCCTTGCATGAAATCTTGCAAATGCCATGTCTTAAAGGTGCTTGTATGAAAGCTTTTGTGGGAGGCTCTTGGGAGGTTTTTGTATCAAGATCTTGTAAGATCCGCTCCGGAAGCAGCAGGTCCTTTTGTAACGACATTGCGTCCTGGCACGAAGATCTTGGTAGGGGCCTGTGCGTGATCTTGTGCAAGTCCTTCTGAGAAGCTTTTGAAGAGGCCCCGGTGAAATCCCCGAGGTGTCCTTACATGATCTCGTACAGGTGCTTGTGAGAAGATCTTGTGGAGATCCTGTTGAAATCCTCCTCAACAGGTCCTTGCATTAAGATCTTGAAGATCCTCTGCGTTGATGCTTGCCTGAACGTTCTTCTGTGATGCTCATAGGAAGTTCTTGTTTGAAGATCTTGTGCGCTCCTCTATATGGATCCATATTGCAGGTCTTGCAGCTGCAGTTGCGATCATGCCTAACCTCACTTGCTACTGTTCCATGGCTACTGTTTCTTGTCTTTGGATGTATCTGGTACATTGACTTCCTGCCCTTCACACCGTTTGGGGCCTCTTGCCGTGTAGTCCATGGCATTTCATCGCCACAATCATTGTCGATTGCCTGGTTTAATTTTTTCGGGTGCCACGGAGTGAGCCGCCGATGCCCATCGATGTCCATTGCTTCGCTAAGGATCAAATGTGCACCGCAAGGCGTCGCCGTCAGTGGAGATCTTGTGCCTCGACCAAGCGCCACAGACACCGCAAGGACTTGGGGATCAGGACCTGGTCAGGGTATCAATATTGCGGACTACTGTAGCCCCACTACCGCAAGATCTTAGTCATTTCCTATCATATCATTTCATCATTGACATGTATTGAGATATATAATCTCATCGGGTATCGGTATCGATGTAGACTGTATCTCAGTAAGTCTGCACTACGAAACGTTGCTGAAGAGTTCTGGGTTTCAGTCAGTTGGCAAGCCGAGGTTTTTGTGACGACGCGTTCCGGCTATTTGAGTACCTTCCGTCTCAGTGACTGGGCTAGTAGCACAGATCAGGAAGATGTGTGTTAGGTCATTTGGACACCTCAGCAAACATCTCGAATTTCAACGGGATATGCAAAAAAAAATAATGTTAGGATCAAGATAGATTTTTTTTTAGGATCAATAAATATTATTGGGATCAAACAAAAATATTCTTGGAGAGGAAAAGGAAGGAAGGAGGGAGGGAGGGAGGGAAGGAAGGAAGGAGGGTAGGAAGCAAGGAAAGCAGCAAATTAGAAAGTTGCAGATTCGCCACGCTGCAAAGGCCATGCGAAATAGTACGTCTTCACAAATCCCTGTGTCATTGTTGCGAATTGCTAGGTTTATGCGAAACCTTGAGACAACCGTGTTTGTATCAAAGATGTTAACCTTTGCCTGATTTGGTGAGTAGATCTGCTTTGCGCAGAACCGCGCCCAAGCTTAGAGCATACTGATGCATCTTGTGCTGAGCTGTAAAACTGTGCACAGGTTTAACACGTACTGCTACATCCTAAGTCTGCAATTCTTCTGCTGGCGTCTTGATGTTTGTGCCTTCACACATAGCACTGGACAAGTCGCAATATGCGTGCCTGTGCGCATGTTTGAAGTACACTGCTACATCTTGAGTTTGCGACCTTTTGCTGGCGCCTTGATGTTTGTGCCTTCCTACATAGGTATGGCACTGCCATGCCTACCCTCCCTCATGAGTAGATCCGCTTTGCACTGCGCAAGCAGCGTACTGCTACATCTAGAGTAGCATTGGCATCCTAGTCTTTGGGCCTTCAGGCAAAAGTAAGACACGTCCAGTAGAAGAATGCTGCTTTAAAACATACGTACATGCAGACATGCATGCAGATATACATGCACGCGTGCGTACATGCATACATCCACTAAAGACATGCATGCAGACATATACAGACATACATGCACACGTGCGTACATGCATACATCCACATGTTAATGCAGACGGACCGACATATGTGCAGTAACAGTCCGGAGGCCGACGCGATGGTATTAGCATCTGAGTTAGCGATGAGAGCAGTTGGTGCGCAATCGTGGAGACAGTGGTGCGCTCAATGTTTGCTGAGGGTATAGGTTTCTGGGGGTTATTCTTTTTGATACCAATAATCAGTTTTTTGGTCCTTTTGGATAACTTTGTGCATGCTGCATGCCAATAATATTTTTGATCAACCCAATTTCAACTCTTGAAAAGGAACAGGGTTATGTCGGCTGATAGAACTTCATCTTTTTTGAGCAGATCTGGACATTACGACGATAATAAGACAAGATGTGCTGTGGACATACGTGTTGTGCTACGGTGCCCGCCAAGAGATCATGGTGCTATGTCGTTTACTTCCCACCCCTCAAGCTGGAAGGTGATGGACAACGAGTGGATCACCGAAAAGGAGGTGCAACACCGGTGCGAAAGGAATGGGCGGAACAACAGCAAAAAAACAATTTGTGTTTTGCTAGTTGTTACTGTAATGCCAACATTTCTAGCGTAGTAATCTTGCCCCCAGGCCGGGTGTGGCGCCCGAAGGTTTATCATGTGACCAACTCTTTAGGGCCTTTAGGGTTTATTTTGGGTTTGTTTTGGGTTTGTTTAAACTTTAAAATTTAGAGTTTCATTTAGGGCTTTAAGATGCCTTTAGGGGTTTTACCGACCACTTTAGCACGGTTTAAATAAGATTTTGCGTTCAATCCGGACTTGGTTTAGATAGATTTAAGTTTTAGCGTTTAGGATTTAGGGTTTTGCGTTTTGGAAACAAATCTCGTCAGCCAACTTGAAAGTTGGCCGGCATCCAAATTAAAAAACTGGCCCTGGCGCAGTCACAACGCAGGCCGTAACCTTACATTTCCATACATTTCCTCATTATATAATTCCCGAGAGCGCCTGCGAAGGGTTCTTCGTAAAAAAGCAGCCGTTATACTAGATCTTCACACCTTCACACCTGCAGATCTAGATCTTCACACCCTCACATCTGCAGATCTACATCTTCACACCCTCACACCTGCAGATCTACATCTTCACACCCTCACATCTGCTGATCTACATCTTCACCCCTCACATCTGCAGATCTAGATCTTCACACCCTCACATCTGCAGATCTAGATCTTCACACCCTCACATCTGCTGATCTACATCTTCACACCTTTACACCTGCAGATCTAGATCTTCACACCTTCACACCTGCAGATCTAGATCTTCACACCTTCACACCTGCAGATCTAGATCTTCACACCTTCACACCTGCAGATCTAGATCTTCACACCCTCACATCTGCAGATCTAGATCTTCACACCCTCACACCTGCAGATCTAGATCTTCACATCCTGACACCTGCAGATCTAGATCTTCACACCCTCACATCTGCAGATCTACATCATCACACCCTCACACCTGCAGATCTAGATCTTCACACCCTCACACCTGCAGATCTACCTTCACATCTGCAGATCTCCTCTCGCTCTTCTTCTATTCTCTCTTAAGGCGGGGGCGGTGCCGCCGGAGCGCCACGAAACGCAACCCTTTCGCACGAAATGCACGTTGGACGTCCAAAACCTAGGTAAAATTGCGATTTTGAAGCGTCCCCGGCAACCCTTTCGCACGAAATGGACGTTGGACGTCAAAAACTGAAGAAAAATTGCGACTTTGAGGTGTCAATCGCAACCCTTACGCACGAAATGGACGTTGGACGTCCAAAACCTAGGTAAAATTGCGATTTTGATTGGTCGCACGCAACCCTTTCGCACGAAATGGACGTTGGACGTCAAAAACTGAGGAAAAATTGCAACTTTTATTTGCAACTTTTGGACGTTTGAGGAAAAATTGCGCGCGCAACCCTTTCGCACGAAATGGACGTTGGACGTCAAAAACTGAGGAAAAATTGCGACTTTTATTGGTCGCGCGCAACCCTTTCGCACGAAATGGACGTTAGACGTCAAAAACTGAGGAAAAATTGCAACTTTTATTGGTCGCGCGCAACCCTTTCGCACGAAATGGACGTCAAAAACTGAGAAAAAATTGCGACTTTCATTGGTCGCGCGCAACCCTTTCGCACGAAATGGACGTTGGACGTCAAAAACTGAGGAAAAATTGCGATGGACGCGCGTTTTGTAAAAGTGTCTGTGTTTAAAGGCGTCTGTGTGTAAAAGCGTTTGTGTGTGAAAGCGTTTCTGCGTGTGTAAAAAGCATCTGCTTGTAAAACGCATCTGCGTGTAAAAGCGTCTGCGTGTAGAAGCGTCTGTGTGTAAAACCGTCTGTGTGTAAAAGCCTTTGTGTGTAAGAGCTTTTGTGTGTAAAAGCGTCTGTGTGTAAAAGCGTCTGTGTGTAAAAGCGTTTGTGTGTGAAAGCGTGTGTGCGTGTGTAAAAAGCTTCTGCGTGTAAAAGCGTCTGTGTGTAGAAAACGCGTCTGTGTGTAAAAGCGTTTGTGTGTGAAAGCGTTTGTGTGTAAAAGCGTCTGTGTGTAAAAGCCTCTGTGTAGTAGCCTCTGTGTGTGAAAGTGTGTGTGTGTGTAAGTGTGTGTGTGTGTAAAAGCGTCTGTGTGCAAAAAGCGTCTGCGTGTAAAAGCGTCTGTGTGTAAAATTGTCTGTGTGTAAAAGGGTCTGTGTCTGTGTGTAAAAGCGTCTGTATGTAAAAGCGTCTGTGTGTAAAATCGTCTGTGTGTAAAAGCGTCTGTGTGTAAAAGCGTCTGTGTGTAAAAGCGCCTGTGTGTAAAAGCTTCTGTGTGTAAAAGCCTCTGTGTGTAAAAGCGTCTGTGTGTAAAGGAGTCTGTGTGTAAAAGCTTCTGTGTAAGAGCGTCTGTGTGTAAAAGCTTCTGTGTGTAAAAGTGTCTGTGTGTAAAAGGGTCTGTGTGTAAAAGCGTCTGTGAGTAAAAGCGTCTGTCTGTAAAATCGTCTGTGTGTAAAAGCGTCTGTGTGTAAAAGCGTCTGTGTGTAAAAGCGCCTGTGTGTAAAAGCTTCTGTGTGTAAAAGCCTCTGTGTGTAAGAGCTTCTGTGTGTAAAAGCCTCTGTGTGTAAAAGTGTTTGTGTAAAAGCGTCTGTGTGTAAAAGCGTCTGTGTGTAAAAGCGTCTGTGTGTAAAAGCTTCTGTGTGTAAAAGCGTTGTGTGTAAAGGAGTCTCTGTGTAAAGCGCCTGTGTGTAAAAGCTTCTGTGTGTAAAAGCGTCTGTGTGTAAAAGCGTCTGTGTGTAAAGAGTCTGTGCGTCTGTGTGTAAAAGAGCGCGTCTGTGTAAAAAGTGTCTGTGTGTAAAAGCTTCTGTGTGTAAAAGCGTCTGTGTGTAAAGGAGTCTGTGTGTAAAAGCTTCTGTGTGTAAAAGCGTCTTTGTGTAAAAGCGTTTGTGTGTAAAAGCGTCTGTGTGTAAAAGTCTCTGTGTAAGCGTCTGTGTGTAAAAGCCTCTGTGTGTGAAAGTGTGTGTGTGTGTACAAGAAAAGCGTGTGTGTGTGTGGGTGTAAAAGCTTCTGTGTGTAAAAGTCTCTGTGTAAGCGTCTGTGTGTAAAAGCCTCTGTGTGTGAAAGTGTGTGTGTGTGTAAAATAAAAGCGTGTGTGTGTGTGTTTGTGTGTAAAAGCTTCTGTGGGTAAAAGTGTCTGTGTGTAAAAGTGTCTGTGTGTAAAAGCGTCTGTGTGTAAAAGCGTCTGTGTGTAAAAGCCTCTGTGTGTAAAAGCGTTTGTGTGTGAAAGTGTGTGTGTGTGTAAAAGCATCTGCGTGTAAAAGCGTTTGTGTGTAAAAGCCTCTGTGTATGACACAGGTTATTTCATTTTATTATGGAAAATCCCACATAAATGGCCCAAAAAAGCTCGGTACCATGATGCCGTGCATGACACATGTTATTTCATTTTATTATGGAAAATCCCACATAAATGGCCCAAAAAGATCGGTACCATGATGCTGTAAATCACACATGTGACAAGACTTCACTAGTGAAATGTCTGCAAACGTTTGCACAAAAAAGGTCCAATACCATAATGCAGTAAATGACACGCGTTATCTCATTTTATTCTGGGAATATCCCACAGAAACTATCAAAAAAGCTCGGTACCATGATGCCGTGTATGACACATGTCATTTCATTTTAGTATGGAAAATCCCACACAAATGGCCCAAAAAAGATCGGTACCATGATGCTGTAAATGACACATGTGACAATACTTCACTAGTGAAATGTCTGCAAACGTTTGCAACAGAGCTCGATGCCATCATGTGCTTGATGTCAAAAACAGAACAGTTTGAGTTCAGGACCATAAAATGTCATATAGAGACACTCTTCAAAAGCTTCTGTGTGTAAAAGCCTCTGTGTATGAAAGTGTGTGTGTGTGTAAAAGCATCTGCGTGTAAAAGCCTCTGTGTGTAAAAGCGTCTGTGTGTAAAAGGGTCTGTGTGTAAAAGGGTCTGTGTGTAAAAGCGTTTGTGTGTAAAAGTGTCTGTGTGTAAAAGCTTCTGTGTGTAAAAGCATCTGCGTGTAAAAGCTTCTGTGTGTAAAAGCGTCTGCGTGTAAAAGTGTCTGTGTGTAAAAGCGTCTGTGTGTAAAAGTCTCTGTGTGTAAACGCGTCTGTGAAAGCGTCTGTGTGTAAAGGAGTCTGTGTGTAAAAGCTTCTGTGTAAGAGCGTCTGCGTGTAAAAGTGTCTGTGTGTAAAAGCGTCTGTGTGTAAAAGTCTCTGTGTGTAAACGCGTCTGTGAAAGTGTTTGTGTGTAAAAGCGTCTGTGTGTAATTTCACAACTTTCCCCTCCATAGCTCATATCAAATTCACCAACCATTCACCGACTATTTTTTACGACTACCATACTCAGAGCTGCTTGAAGGACGTGTTTTTCGCTCTCGGGCCAACCGTCGTCTAGTTGTTTCCCATCTTTGAGCACGGATTCGGTGCTTTGGTGTGTTATGGCTTATCAGACTTATTGAATGCACGCCCCCGGTTTTCATTGTTTAATTCAGAATCTCTTTCATCCCAAACTCCATGTTATGCCGACACTGGTTCTGCCCTGGAAGCTTTTGACAGTTGCAGTTGGCTCTCGATCACCTAGGTTCTGAATGGGATTTGTTGAATCCGCAGGGCCTGTGTGTGATTGAAGACAAGCTCTTGGCCGTAGCTGATCGTGGAGCAGAGCCCAGCTACAAACTTCAGCCCTGCATGCGACCCCCATGTTCAGATGCAACCTTTAGACCTTTCTCGTTCTTGACTTCATGAAAGGCTGGCTTTGGCTGCATGACAAGATATGACGAAGTCTTAGCTGTCTTAGCTGATGGCCATAAAAGCAAACAACACATTCGTTTGCTCCGGGCAAGGACCGAGTTCTTATCTTGGAGATCGAGAGCATGAAGTGCATCGGACAATTGCCCCCATATGAGGCAAATGCGTTGTCATGAGTCATCCGTCATCCGTTCATTGTAGATGTCATGCTTCGCGATAACATGTCAATGTCAGAATCCAATTTTTGGGGTCAGCCTCACAACAGTCCATCAGATGGAAGAGACTTCAAAAAGTCAAGGCGATCACCAGATAAATCAAACGTAGAATAGGAGTGTCTTTTCCCTTAATTGATTGTGGCACCGTGCAGTCCAGATGTCCCACAGCCAGCATGGCAGGTGTGGCCGGGCCCTGGAACTAGGGCAGCCAGATTGAAAAAGAGAGCCTTGGAGCCTGAGATGCCGGAGACGGAGATGCTACTCAAATATCCCAACGACGTGGCTCTGGATGCTGCAGGCGTGAGAATTTTGGTCTCAGTTTTTGTCCCGCTTTCTGTGGCCCAAATCCATGGTGCATGGTCTATTATTCCGGTTTCATTGCTTTTGCCAGGCTGCGCAAGATTCCATATAGTGTACCCCAATGCCAAGATTCCACATATCATCATACAGCCAATGATCCTTTCCCAGCTTACAGCAAGCTGCCACCCCCACTCGGATGGCAGGCAACTTGCTCGTCATGGACACCAAGAATGAGCGCGTGGCGGTGTTCCGGCAGGACCTTTTCAGCCTGGTTCGATTGTTGGGGAAGCGTGCTGAGATATAGTGCAGCGATAACATGTTTTCAGTTCTGCACATGCCGCAAGGCATACTGAGATAAGAGAGCTTTGATGAACAGTGCAAAAAACTTGGTGCAATGAACAAAACATAGCAACATATGTTTTCTGGTCAACTTACCCACTTGCCTCTTGACGCTTTGTGCTGCCTGGCAGCATGACAGGATGGCTCCTTTGTTGCCAGTGTGATGAAAGGAACTTTCAAGGCACGGCCCTCTGTGACAAAGGCTTCAAGCTCCAGTTCCAGGAATATGTCCATATGTACTTGCACATATATCGCATGCATACAATAACTATAACTATAATCTATGTATAATATATAGCGACGGACAATCACTTAGAACATCTTTTGTTTTTTTGAGTCCACTGTGGGCTATGTTTAAGAGCATCTGAAAGTCCCCACAGCTAGAACGTCCCAAGACATTACAACATATATGATTATAAATATCGATTGACATCGCTATATATATATATATGATATGTATGTTTATATGAGCACAATGTTAACAATCACCTGTGGAGACCCCCAACACTTAGAACATGATGTTGATGCTAAGATGTTGCCACCGCATATGCTTTTCACTGTTTACGGAGGGTTGTGAAGAGAAGTAAGTGGGGGGTGGCCGTGGGCACATCGCTCAAGTCAAAAAATTGGTGCCCTTTAGATCCTTCATGCTTCTGGCTGCGGTGTTGTTCCTATCGTGGATTGGCGCTTGGGTGAGTCAGAATCCAGGGAGTGAGGTTCAGCTTCATTGCAAGTGTACCGGCACAACTGAAACTGTTATCTGTCCCCCCGTCTGGATCTTGGTTGGGGGAATTGATCAAAGCCTGGAATCATTTGTTTTTTTGATTGGGGCCGGCCACCTTTTTTGGAAGTTGATTCATCACATTTCTGCCACCTCACCACCAAAACGCCTGAAGAGCCTGAATTTTTGGAACGAACGCCGCAGACACCTTCACAGATCGGACTGCCCAGGTTTGCAGTTGGCGAGCCAGACCAGAGAGCGTTGGCACAGCAGCAGTTGGATCTTCTGAGAAGGTGCCGAGGCCAGTGAGATGCCGCTGGTGCGAAATCAGGGTCTTTGTCCTCTACGATTTGCCTCCTCCTGCCCTTTGGCATGAAAGGTACATCATGGGTGCATGTGTGTGCCGGAGGACTCCAGATCATGACAAGTACCCGGAACAGATTGGCTTAGAGAATGAGAACTTTGCTTCATATCGTATTGGCGAAGGACAGCAGCTTCCAGCTGGCTCGACTGAACAGAACACATACAGGCTTTGACAGATACCTGATGAACCTCTGTTGGGGCAGCTTAGGCGAGATGCAGCTCACGCCGCCGCAGCAATGCAGGTGCCAGGAGCGGTACCTCCACCTGCTGTCCTTGGAGGGGTTGCGGCTGGAGTGCTGGCTCCCGCGGTTCCACGTGTGTTGAGACCCTTGGTGGAAAAAGCAAAGGAGAAGCAGTTGAGCTTGATGGATCAGAAGTCCTGCGCGGGTCAGTTGGTCTTAAGTTAGTGGCACAAGAACACCTGGCCATTCGGAAGATGAAGCAAAGTGACGTCCCTGCGTACAAGGGTGCTGAAGTCTCAGCTGATGCACGGCTGCTGGGCCTGCAGTTCCAAGGGGTCATGCGAGAAGAGCGGCGGTGGCGAGATGTTAGCAAAGAGTTGCAGAAAGAGGAATTGCCAGATTGGACCATCCCTGGGCCACGGGCTGCTGAGTGGTGCGTTCGTTTTTTGAACCGCAGAAACGGAGCACCCACCGACCACCACAGATGGCGGGTGCAGAACCATGGTCTGAAGAGTGAGGGGTTGGTGAGCATGACCATCTCATGAAGGTGCTGGACAAGCTGGGGCGGTTCGGTGGTCTTGACCTTTCGAATCTGGTTGGAGCTGAGGTGGCATTTCGCCGTCTGCAGTTGTGTATATTCCGACTGTGGTCCTGGAAAAGGAGCAGGCAAAGGTGAGAAGAAAAGCAAGGATGACCCGCTGAGCCAATCGCACGAAGCGAGCATCTTTGCTGGAGGTCACAAGGAGTATGGCGATGTGATGGTCGCGCCGGCACTGCTAGAGTATGTTGCTAAAGACTAAGAAGTGGAGTCTGAAGTAGCAGTGACGAAGCAGGTGCGTAAAGCTCGCGAAGAGCGAGCTGCGGCGTCAAAATGGGCAGAGATTTGCCCCGGGAAATGCAATGGACTTTTCCCAAGATCCCATGAAAGAGACTGGTCGATTTTGTTGTGAGGGCAATCCCGCTTACCTTCTAGAAAAGTGTACAGTTTTTCCAGATATTCTTGAACTTGGCGAACAAGGGTGGTAGGCCCGTAGGCATCGGGGCTTTATCCCATTCCCCATGTCCTCTGCCAATGACAGTCCCTGTGAGAAGCCTGGCGTCAGCGGAGCTGTGTGTCATAGGCTTCAAACTCGTTCTCGTGTTGACCAGTCGGTGCGGGACATTGTCTGGTCCACTAACACTACGTTTTTGTGGGGATGAGTCTAAGGGCAATTTTACGGCGACTGGTAGCACCACCCTAAGCCAACGAGTGTGCCTTGACCGGGTGCGTCATGCAGTATTGGATGCTGGGCCACCACCGCCTGGGGTCAGTGGACCGGGAGATTTGAACGAGATCCGATCCAAGCCGGGCTACGAAGCTGAACCAACTAGCCTGGCAGCCCTTGACCTTGAAAAGCTTTCTCTTCCTCCTTCGGGTTCTGTTGCTTCTTCGTTGTGTGTTATTTTGGGAAGTAAAGCTGAGAGTTTTGTCATGTCAAGCGGCGGCGGCTACCTTCTAAAGTTTCAGCTGAGAGCGTAGCTGCGGAACGCACAGCTTCCTCTGGCCTGAGTAGACCGTACTATGACCCGATCCTCCGAGCACAGCCACGCACGCCGCGTGTATGTTGATTTTTGCCGTCGTTTGTTTGGCTGTGGTCTTATTGAATTTCTTCGTAGTGCCACCGTGCTTGAATCACCGTCGATGGAGGCCCTGCTCTGGAAGTGGGTGGTGTGGACATTTCAGATGCCTTTTACAACATTGAACTTCCCAAAGAGCTTAGGACCTTTTTTGCTCTGGATCCCGTCAGGGCACGGGACATTGGAATCAAGTCTTGTGAAGGTCAAGCAGTGAAGGGATCTGATTTTGTTTTCCCCGGTTTCAAAGTCCACCCCATGGATTGGACCCATGCCCTGTGGGAGTGCCAGCGCTGCCACGAGATCCTGGTTGACGAACCGCCCAACATCCGAGCCAGCCTGCGGGTCACTCACCGAAGGCCGGTTGGGACACTGAGTATGTTGATACTTTTGTTTCGCCTTCTCAAAAGCCAGGGGTCGCTTTTGAGCTAGCTGGGCAAGTAGGGACAAAGCTCCGTTCAAGGGGTTTGCCTTGTAGAAGCTGGTAAGGGTATTGAGACACTTGGCTGGAAGTTTGACGTGGATGAGCCAGTCGTCAAAATCACCGCAAAGCGGCTCTGGAGATTCGCTTGGCTTGGCAAGGCAGATGGGCGACTGGTGGAGAAGATGATGGGCCATTACACGTTTGCTGGTTTGTTACAAAGGGTTTTTTGAGTATTTTTCAGGCTTGCTACACGTTTATTCGTCGAAACTATTGCGCTACAACTGATCTCTAGCCACAAGTCAAGATGGAGTGATTTTGGGCTGCGTCTATGATTTGCCTTAATTCGAAAAGATCTCGGAAGTGAGTGGAGCACCAGAGTCCATTCTGCTGATGCATCGTTTTGGGGAAGGGCATTTTCGCAACTAAGCGAAACAAGGAAGAGATTGCAAAGTATAGTGACCGGTGGCGATTTTCAGCCGACCAAGAATTACATGTTCTCAATGCCAAGCGGCTCACTGACGCGCAGGTACTGGATCCTGAGACTTTGCAGCTGCCAGAAAGCTACATGTCGGGACCCTCAGTGCTTGTGCCTGAAGTGCCTCTAGGTTTTATTGGGGAGGACTGGAGTAAAGTTGATTCATCTCCATGGGCACGGGTCGAACCTATTCCAGTGCTTGAGGGCAGAGCTTTTGTTTGGCTAGGTCAACATTTGGCGCATTCACAGAAAAATTTGGGCAAGCACCATTTGATACTCACAGATTCGATGTCAGCATGCTTGGCATTAGCAAAAGGTAGGTGAAGCACTTGAAGCATGAACCGGGTTTGCAGACAAATAGGGGCTCTGGAGTTGATGACGGGGATGGGTTTCATCTACCGGTGGATCCTGGTGAACTCAATCCTGCTGACCTTCCTTCAAAACGTGGCTTGTTTTTCTTGGACAGCTAGTTTGCAATCATTTTTGGACAAGCATGCTGGTGAGAAAGACCCCAACACACGGCGAGGCTGCGCAGCAGAAGCGTACTTTGCCGAGATTCCCCAAACAGCAGTGCGATCTTGGCCGTCATGCGAATCTGCCAGTAATGGGGGGCTCATCCAGCAACTCAAGAAAAAGGGGATCTCCGACTCAGACCCTGCAGAAAAAAGGGAACAGAGAAAGCAAAGTCGGAACCGAAGTTTGGGGACTAGACTCAAGGTACGATCCCTGGCAAGACTTTTCTGGAGCAGAAAGCCGTGTGCCAGTCCGGCTGAGGAGTTACGAGAAAACTTGGACCGAATTCACAACATGCCATGTTGTTCTTGGGGCATGATGGCCGATTGCGCAACTCTCCTGGCAGCTCCGCGGTTCTTCCGAGACGATGTGGCAAGGATACCGGTGATGGTCATGCAGAAGCTCCACCGCCCTGAAAGGCTTTCAGGAGCTCGAGCCAGCACAGGGCCGGTTGCCGATGCCTTTCCCTGTTCTGGCCCTGGTTGTCAAGGAGTTGTGGAAGCGTCACTCAGAGATGGGCTTGTGGCTCCTGGCGACACCTGCCAGGCGGGTAAGCATATCGGCTCCTAGTGCAAGATGTGGTAGCTCCGACCTGACTTTGCCAACACTACATTGCGATATTGAACAATGGGGCAGACAAAATTTGCGAAGCTGCATTGGTCCCTCGAAAGACTTCCAAGGTCGGAGAGCAAGACAAAGCAGTCTGGACACCCCTACCTCGCAGGGTTGTTCATTGATGGCCCACTCCAAGTGCAGGCATCGCTCAGCACAGCTCTTCACCTTCGATGTGATTGCAGCGGCCAGGGTGTTCAGTCACCTTCTGGACGAGCTGGATCTGACAAGACATGGCCTGACTTGTACATATTCCGCCACGGGTCAGCTTCAACAGATGTTCTTCAAGGCCTACGGGGGCTCACCGCCATCCAGAAACGGGGCAATGGGCGCTGTCTCTACAGAGCGTCCGGCGCTACAATGCCGAGCAGCAGAAGCTTGGATTTTAAAGATATTCAGCAATGGAGCCACGCATCCAGCAAAACGCCGAAGGCGTGCTTGAACCTAGAACTTCTCAGTGGATCTGACAGAATTGCCGCAGCTCTCAGACGGCAGGTAAAAAATGTAATCAGCTTTGGGGTGGACATTTCCCAGGGGGCATGCCTTGATTTGACCCGGGAAAATATTCAACAGGTGATTATTAAGTTTATTTGTAGGTTTCATGAGTTTGTTTGGCTGGGGACACCTTGCAATTCCTGGAGCCATGCTTGCCGATGGGATGGAGGAGGACCTGGGCCATTAAGAGATGACTCTAGGTTTTTGTTGGGGTTTCCTTGTCTTTCCCAAACTGATCAACGCAAAATCCATTCTGGTAATTGCTTGATGAAATTCATTGCGAAAGTTTTCCGGATTTGTTTGAGCTTGGGCATCCCTGCATGCGTTGAGAATCCACACACCTCGCGTATTTGGTTGACCCGTCCTTTTGTGCATCTCCTTCGACATCCTGATGATGTCTCCTACTGCTGCAGCTTGGCCATTGCCAAGATTCCACACCATATCGCAAACGCACCGGTTTCATGTCGTGCCATTTTGACCTGAGGCCTGCCCTGCGCCACCAGGCTTACCCTCAAGCCTTTTGCAAGCGGGCGGCTGTGCTCAACAATTTTTTTGCAGGCTGAGAGCCAGGTACTGTTTTGGGCGAAGGTCGCATCAAATCTTTTTTTGGTTTTGGAGTCGAAAGATTCAGCCGAGCTCGTTGCAGACTTGAACCTTTTAAACAGAATGGTGCCTGGCCCAAAAAGGAACGGATGGATCGGAACATTTCACTGTTTACAGAGGGTTGTGAAGAGAAGTAAGTGGGGGGTGGCCGCGGGCACATCGCTCAAGTCACCCCCCATGCATTGCAACCCGGCCCACTCAATCGATGCTCTGGAGTTGAAAGATTCAGCCGAGCTCGTTGCAGACCTGAACCTTTTAAACAGAAGGTGCCTGGCCCAAAAAGGAACGGATGGATCGGAACGTATGTTTGTGCAAAAATACGAGGCTGTTTCGTAGCTGAACTCCAAGGGGGTACTTAGCATTAGGCTGAGAAGCTTCCCCCCTAAATAATCATATTTAGACCTAAATAGGATAAACTACAGTTTTCCATTTCAAAATCCATGAATTTCCCTTTTAAAACCTACTCAAAATATTGCCAAAAATTGGAGTCCGAAGCTTTTCCCCAGCACTAAAATCAAACACATATTGTTTGAACAAGAAATTGAAAACTATTTTTCCATGTCAGAAGCGATAAAAATAATTCCTTGAAAAAATCGAATGAACATATTGCCAAGAGTCGGATTCCACCCAGTAATAAAACCACTTTTCTTGTGAAGGACGAGAGGTTGCAGCTGAAAAGTGAAGTTGAAATGAGTTTCAACTTTCAGGTTCCGTAGAGTAATTATGGTTCCCCAAGGTTCTCCAATTGGCGGGGTAAACCCCACACTTAGAACATCTATCTCCCCTTTGGGGCAATGTTCATGTCCAGGCAAAAGGTTTTAGATCCGGCAGGCGTTGAAATGAAAGAAAAAACTGTAGGATGTTCAAATTCAGTTAAGGGATTGTGCAAGCATACAAAATCAGTATCAGGTGGGGGGAAACTCACACTTCGAACATCTCTGTCACCATGAGATTATCCCAAAACCACTTCTTTCTGCAGGATGAAGGGTTGGAAGCGGAAAGTAAAGTTGAAATAAGTGTCAAGTCTCAGGTCTCGTAGAGCAGACGGGTTCACCAAGGGTCTCCAATAGGTGAAAACCCCACACTTAGAACATCCATCTCCCCTTTGGGTTCCTGAACTTTCCATGTCTAGACAAAAGGTTTTAGATCCAGCAGGAATTGAAATGAAAGAAAACGCTGCAGGATGTTGAAATTCAGTTAAGGGATTAAGCAACCGTACAAAATCAACATCAGGTGGGGGAAACTCACACTTAGAACATCTCTCTCACCATGAGATTATCCCAAACCCACTTTTTTCTTTCAGGATGAAGGGTTGCAGCTGAAAAGTGAAGTTGAAATGAGTTTCAAATTTCAGGTTCCGTAGAGTAACTATGGTTCCCCAAGGTTCTCCAATAGGTGGGGGAAACCCCGCACTTAGAACATCTATTTCCCCTGAGGGTTCCCGAAATTGTCCATGTCTAGACAAAAGGTTTTAGAGTCAGCAGCAGTTGAAATGAAAGAAAAAACTAAGGGATTGTGCAAGTCTAGAAATTCAGCATCAGGTGGGGGGAAACCCCAACTTAGAACATTTCTCCCACCATGAGGTTATCCCAAGGCCAATCTTTTCTCAAGGATGAAGGGTTGGAAGCGGAAAGTAAAATTGAAATAAGTTTTAAGCCTCAGGTCTCGTAGAGTAGTAAGATTTGTGCCCCTCCTCACGACCAATTCCGTTCTGTCGAAAACAATCCACAGGTCAAAATATAATGCCAAACCCAATGCAAGAGCAGCTTCGTGGGCGAAATGATTGAGCGTATTCAGCTGTAACAGGTCCCAGGCCCTACATGCAGGCCAAACCGTGTGAAAATGAATGGAATATTGTGACGGGGGATCCTGTCATTGGGCACTTGCCTCAGTCCTAAGTACAACCCTTGACACGAGAACCACATGTGCAGATGTTGAATTGCTGCACATTATTTGGCCTAAGATAGTGCCCCACGCAAATAGACTTGTTCGATAATAGGATGCCACTACTGTAATGGTTCATAATCATTTTCCTATTTAAATTGCTATACCGACCGCATTTTAAGATAGACCCACATCAAGAACAAAAACGATTAAGAAACCTTTGACATTCACCTCCCGCACGGCATCATGTTTGATATCGTTTGAGTGATTCTTCGATCATGGTTCCGGGTGGATGAAGATGGTGATGTTTCTCTGACGTCTTAGGGCATGAGGCACGCAGAGCCATTCGCTTGCACCAAATGACGGGCGGGAACTCCTCCCCCAGGCATATGGGAGCACCTTCTCCTACGTGGCTTGCAACCATGAGACTGGAGCGATTGCTATTTCAAACAATGACAAGCATGAGAAACTTGGCCTCGAGGTTAGAACATGTTAGAGCTTGCAGATTTGCTTTCAAGTTGAATGAAACTTTTTGAAGGTCTGTGAAGATCTTTGAAGGTCTTGAAGTGTCCAATATGTGTGATGAAATATAATTTAATATATATAAAATTACTTGCCCAACATATAATATCTTGTTTCATCTTGTCACATCCGGTTGTCGGAGCGCCGGATATCGTTTGAGCGTGTTAGAGCCAATTGGGGTGGACATGGCCCTTGGGGGAAATTCCATATAGTTACCACGGTTTGCTCTTTCTGCTATATGTTTTTTTTTTGGGGGCCTCTTTCTGCTGGCCTCTCTTGGCGCTGTGGTTTTGTTCTCTACTCTTTGTCGTTTGCGGCAGGGTTTTTTCTCCTTCCAAGAATGTTTTTCCCTGCCTAGTCAAGACTCTCGTTGAATTTGTCTACCACGGTTTGTGATTAGTCTATATGTCTATATTAGTCTAGATCAGTCTATATATTATATCAGTCACTATCAGTCAATATCAGTCTATATCAGCCTATCATGACTTATCATGATTTATCATGATTTATCATGACTTATCATGACTTATCATGACTTATCATGACTTATCATGACTTATCATGACTTATCATGACTTATCATGACATATCATGACTTATCATGACATATCATGACTTATCATGACTTATCATGACTTATCATGACATATATATATATATATATATCATCAGTTGCCCGGTTTGTCTATTAGTCTATAATGTTTGAGCATGGCAGTATCATGATAGTCATGTGTCAAGACAGCATCAAATGGCGTCCGGCCTTGGGGACATGGCCAGACGCATCTTGCTGTGATCTTCACTGATCTTCACTCCGTTGGACCGTCATAGCCGTCATAGCCAATAGGAACCATGGGTCATGCTTTGCACGCTTTGCTCAGGATAGCCATCGTGACTCCGCCATAGCCTTGACTCCATAGCGTGCGAGTCACATTCCTTGACATTTCTTGCCTTGTGTGGGGATGACTTTCGATGAGTGACGTGGTCGACTTTTTGCATCACATAAACATGTTTGCCCCTGTGACGCAGTTGCGCACTTTCATCTCATTCCCATCAGAAGTGACTTTGAAATGAGGGGAAGTGGCAAACCATACCCATCGGGACCCGTTTCCACACAAGGTTCCACAGCTGCGTTAAGAACCAACACTATCCAACACTCCTTTCCAGCGTGTACAGTGCTGAGAGCCTGAGAGCTTGTTCTGAGAGTGATGGTAAAAAAGCTGCTGTGAGGCTCCCAACCCTGGCAATTTCGGGCGTGTTTGGACTGCCAACGAACCCTTCACCACTAGAAACATCATTCCAGGAACTGAAAGCTGAAAGTTATTAATTTTTACGGGATCGTCTGGATCAACATCCATCGGTACAAAGGGATTGTCAACACCATGGTGAAGAATTCTTCTAAGAATAGGAGGACCATGTCTTTTGGCCAGTGTATGATAATGCGAGTCATTCGCTCGTTTGGAACGCCTACTCAGGCTAATCTTCACGTACCGATAGGAGAATCCCTTGTCTCGGTGCTTTCACCAATAATCGCAGACCGTTTTTTGATACAATGAGTGAGTCGTTCCATTTTCGAACTGTGCCTAGCTGCCCCACACTCACCTGCTTTATATTGCACGAGGTCCTCATTGCTGCCTGCCAACAGGTGGGGAAAATTGTGGGCCTCCTATGCAGGAATCAGTCCTCTTTAGCTCCCTTAGCCTTCTCTTCTCACCTCAGTTGGGCATTGTGCTGATGTTGAACCTGGAGTTGGGGGGCCCTCTACTTCTTGTTGGCACTCCAGCAGCCACTTTCCTGTCCTTGAAGTGCGCACCATCCTGATCAAAGGCCACACCAGGGACGTAACTAAAGGACAGGCCCGTATGCAAGTGCAGGTTCTCACAACGTTATAGTATGTTATAGTCGTGTAATTTTCACCAGTTTCACCTTTGCCTGCAATCTTTCGCAATCTTTCGCAATCTTTCGCCATCCCATAGCCATATCCAAAGCATTCTAAAGCCGTGCCAGGTGAAAATGACAGTTGCAGAAGCAACGACCAGTGCTGCATTGGTGTTTCAGGCTGTTGGAACCTTGGTCTCAAGGGGGACTGGGAGACCTGAACAGCTTTGTCAAAAGGCACCAGCAAAACACTGAGGTTCAGCTTGCTCATCAAGCAGCTCCGGCCATCAGAACAGCCACAGGTGAACGCCTCAGAATGCTGGTGGTCACTCAATCATGCATACATGCGACAGCCCAGCACAGCACTAAAAGTTGGAGGTTGCAGTCCAGTCTCCCATCCCGATTATTGAGACTTTGGATCCATGATTGTTTTGTTTCTTTCGCTTGTGCTTGGAAAGTGTAGGAGACAAATTCACAAATTCAGCCTAGCATGACCATGAACGCTGCGCGGGCCCAAAAGTTGAATTCACAAACGCTCATGTCAGAAGACCGGCCCCGGCGCGGGGACTGCAACGGTCACCTCGACCAACGAGGCAATTGACGCAAATTGACGCCTGGGACGCCCTGAGGGCGTCCCGCTGAGGCAATGAATTTAGAGTCGAAGCCAAATACATGGTACAGTTGCATGCTGACACCACGGACGGAAGTTCCAAGTGAACTCCCAAGTGAACAAAAGCTTCCTTCGGAGACTCGGCCAGGATTTTTTTTTTGGGCAGCTGGGTTGGCTATTGTTGGGGCTCGCTTTGGATCCAAGTGAACTTGAGAAGCACGAAAGGGATTGGAAGGCAATGCTCCTGTCATTTGATTTTATATGCTTTTATATTTGATGTAATTACACCCGGAAGCAGGTGATAAAAAGCAGGTGATAACTCCAATGAGAAAATCAATCAAGCAGTTTGAGTGAAAAGCAAACAACATCAGACATGCATCCATGGTGTATTCCTGCGCCAGTCTCAAGCAATGTGAGGGATGGGACAAGTACAGAAAAGTGATGCAGATGCACGACACCTGATAGATCCTGACAGCAATTCGAAATCAGTCTTTCTGAATGTTCTAAGGAGGAACTTCCATCTGCAGAGGACAGGTTCTGTCAGACTTGTTGTAGGCCTCAAGTCAGTTGGTGAACCATGGTGAACCCAAATCTCCTGCGGCTCTACTCAAATCCTTGAAAAGAGCATGAACCACTGATTCCTAATGCTTTTTTAAGACAAGTTTCATTACCAAGCTTCCCCCTTTGTTTCCAACTCCGAGCTATTCAAGCTTTCATTGCAAACTGCCAGCCTTCACTCGCACGATCGTAAACACATCACAGCCACAGGGCTCGTGGCCTTGGGACTCCCGTCATGACAAGACTCTGAGACTCTGAGACCAATCCAGGAGATCCTGCGACATTTGGCTCCCAGATGGCTCGCGAGCACTTATGCGACCAAGAAGCTTTCATGTGAGATGGTTGAGCCCCAGCAGCAAGTTCTGTCGAAGGCTAGTCGATCGTCAGTGGAACACTCAACTGATGCCATCTGGAAGCTATACATGTTCAATCTTGCTTCACATGCATGACATACTGTAGTGACATTCGCACATATGACTCCCGCACAATGACATCATTCAATATTTATAATACATGTTGAATATTGTGGAATCATATTGATACATTGACAGTCCCATGCGTCTGCGTTCACATCAACATTGTGCAGACAATGCAGACATGCTCGACGTATCTGGGCATCCTATCGGACCCATCGGTTCACGAGGAGACTGCCGCCGACCTGGCGACGCTGCAGCGCGAGGACTTGCGCGAACTCGGCTTCAGCATGGTCGAGGCAGCCAAGGTCATCACTTGGGCCCAGGTGCGGCACAACGACCCATTCAACAGGGATGTGGTGTTTTGAAAAATGGAGGACTTCGGAAAACAGATATCCCAAAGTTTCCCAAGATTGCAGGTGATTCTCAGATATCCATTGATACCCCGAAAAAGTGTAGAATTTATGGGGAAGACGATGATAACCCATGTTAAACTCATGATATACCATGAGATTTGGGGGGAGCTGGCTTTCAGACCCCAGACACAGGAACGACCGCACCAGGTCATAAAACGGCCAGACTGTCCCGCTCCCGCGGAAGAAGGGCAACCCAACTTGGTGCGCTTATCCTCCGATGTGCCGGTGAGCCCATGGCCGGAAATGTCGCGATGCCGAGAGGCTGGAGGGTAAATCATGGCCTGCAGAGCACGAGTCACTGTGCTCTGCATTTCTGCATGTTTTAGAAATGATCCAACCAAATCACAACAAACCTCCGCAAATCCAATATGGGTGGATCATGGGTTTGGTTTTGTTTAAACTTGAAGGAACATCGTGGAGCGCCATAGTCATGGGATGATGCTGTCTCAGGGACACGCTTAACAGGCCTAAACATGATGATGTTTGCTGTTCTGGCCGATGCTGGCTCTCGAAAGGGACCCATGGTGATCAGTGGCGATCAGTGTTCATCCATGTGCAGTGCCATGCTTAGCATGCCCAAACTATCCCAAACTTCTCGCATCTCGGTGGCTGTTGAGTGGTTTCAAAAGAGCCACACCAGTGCCAGGTAAAAACTGCCAAGTCGAGCCCTTCAACAAGCCCTTGGGCAGAATCCAAGGCAGGAGAGAAGGGTACGACATGGTACGACTGACTAGTCACGCCGTAGTCTGGGCCGTTGCCACAATTCTTAGATGCCCATAGGATGCCAGCCGCAGCTGTCTCAGTGTTTTGCTTCAGGCCGAAGAGCTCCGACTTGACGAGATTGAAGGCATGGAGCTGGTGCTTTCTGAATGAATCCCAGAATAATCCCAGTATATCCCATGTTTCCATATGTTTCCCCACCGGCCCCTGAAATGTTCCAACAGATTCTGGTCCTCGACATGTTTGACGTGTTTCACGAATAGGATATTCATTTATATTCCATAGATGGATACTGAAATGCTACAGTCACCCGAGCATGCCAAAGAAAGCACCACAAGCGAACCTGTCTAGATCTGCAACCTGCGGTCTGGAATGGAATGAGTCGCAGGCATTTGCTCTCACACTGGCACCATGGCCTTTGTTTCGCTCATGCCATTCTAGCCTGGTGTCCGATGTAAGCTTGTGGAATTTGTTGGAGTGCACTGAGTGGATTGGCTTTGTGGGTAACCTGCCGCAGGACAAGTGGACTTTTGGGTAAGCTGCTTTGCCAGCGGCATGACCTGCACTCCTGCGCTATCAACCTCCGATGCCCTGCCACAGGAAGATGCTTCTTGACGGATTAAGACAAGCTATGGAGCTTTAAGATCTTTACGGATGCGTCTGATAGTCTTAGAGTGTAAACGAGCAAGTCTAGTCAAAACTGTTTATCTCAATGTTTTTTCTTACAGATTTGCAGACACTCGTACATATTCGTACCCTCTTTGCCGTTGAAGGCTAGTACTTTTTTTGGTAGAGCACCAAGTGGATAAAGTTTTCCTGGCATCAACCTTCCAGACACATCCCCCGGTGAATGATGGAACTGCAAGGTTCGTGAGAATATCTTGGAAGCCTTCTTCGATTGCACGCCTGTGCCTGGGCTGGCGCTTTCAATCTTGTTCGGCATTGGACAGGGCATGACAGGGCATTGTCATCAAGTATGCAATCATCAGCTGTCCTGCTGGACCACATTTGAAGTGTCAAAGTGTTGTTTATGATGCAGGTACAGATGAATTACACACACACATATATATATATATATACATACATATGCACACTGCTTACATATACTTGCCGGATCTTGCTGGCATTGATAGAGTGGTGAGGTGTGGTGAGTGGATTGTTCGGGTGGCACTGGCCAGGCCGCTTCAGGTCTTCCAAACATCCTAGGATATACTGGATCATTCTTGGACCTATATTTTCTTGGCTCGAGTTTGACATTCTTAACACGACATTGGGGGCTGTTCCCGAGCTGTGAAAGATGTGAATGATGAACGGAAGCAGATCCAGGGATGCCCAGTAAAAAGAAGGGCACGGCCACTGAAGCTGCACCCAGCGCCGAACCGCCAGGATGGACTCGGTATTTTGATCCAGGTACTGCCCAGACCTACCTCTACTGCGATGAAACTGGCGAATGGTTCTTTGAGACGCCGGCAGCGCCTGCGGCAGCGCCTGCGGCAGCGCCTGCGGCAGCGCCTGCGGCAACGCCTGTGGCAGCGCCGGCGGTGCCTGAGCCAGACAGGAATCCCATCGATGCCCAGCCGGAGCTGCCGATTTTTGGAGTTTCAACGGCACGGCCTTCAGCACCTCCAGTGCCAACGGCTCCAACCGTTTCAGGTTCTGGTGATGCTGGTCGTGATGCAGTGCAGGACTTGGCGAAGGTTGATCCCATCGTGCAGGATTTGCTTCGAGATGAACTGAAGCTGAAGAAAAAACTTCGTGAAATCGAAGCTCTAGAAGTTGCATCGCGGGAGAAGCAATTGGAGGCGACGCAGCTGATAAAGCTGTCCAAGAAGGAGGCCATCCTGTCAGATTTGCAACTCGTGCGGGTTCACATTGCTGAAGCGCTCGAAGAATTCAAATCGCGCCGTCCAAGCGAAGCTTCTGATGTGCGACGTACAGCTGCAGCACCAAAGACCAAAGCCAAGCAATCGCAACCTGTCCAGCCAGGGGTGAACCCCTTGCCTCAAAGGGGAAAGGCACCTATGCCAGTAAACCCGCGCATAGCTGACATGAAACTTGGCAATTCTGCCTCGCGGCATCCCACATTGGCAGGATATGCAGGCTCCGGGGCTCAAGTGTCATCCGCTGAAGGCCTGACTCAAAGCTCTGGTATCGCTGGCACCCAAAGGACTGCGAAGTCCACATCTGCATCATCTGGACCAAAAGCTCAAAGTCCTCAAGTTCCATTTGTTCCCCGTCAAAATCTGGAAGCTGCCATTCCAGCTGTTGATGAGGATGGCTTTGTGGCGGTGCGAAAGGGCGCGAAGCCAAAGAAGAAATCCAGCGGTGGCAACGTTTCAAGTGCTCCAGATGCTCCAGTGGCTCCGGAAGACGATGAATTTTGGTAGGTGCCTGCCAAAAAGAGCCTTTGAGAGAATGCGTCAATGCAAAAGATGAGTGCCTCCTTGCCGGTTGGAGTTGGGCCACCAGATGGAAAACAAAGATGAAGAAACAGGCAGGATGGAAGTCAGCACCGCTGCTTCGTGTATCCATTGATCCATTTTGATGCAGTAGCCTGTCCCGATTCTTTCGAATTAAGCTGATTAGGCTGGATTTGGCTGAATAGGATTTGAGCATGTCCAGAATTTCCTATAAGCCTTGCACCATCTTGCACCAGTCTGCCAGTCACTCTTCCGGCAGTCTCCCAGTGCCCTGTGTCTTCCGTGCCGAGGAGCGCATTAGGGAGGTCTTCATCAGCATGGATACGGACAGCGACGGACATGTGACTGTGGAGGAGTTGCGCGTGGGGCTGGAACGCTGCGGCATAACAGGCCTCTTTGGTGAGAGCATGCGCACAGCGCATGACAGTTGCAATATAATATAAGGTAACAATTTTAGAAATACTGAATGAATATATATATATATATAATATAAATAAAATAACATAGTATATATATAATATATGATATAAAAAATGTAATATATAACATAATGCAATATAATATATACTATATATTTCTTTATAAATTATAAATGAATGGTACATGTATGTAATGATTAATAAAGTAATCATGATGAATATATGCACCTACTATCCAGTTGGCATGAAAAATAAAGGGTACTATAATTTGCTATGCATTACTGGAGACTTCCGTCCAAAGTTCCATGACAATTACTGTAACGGGGACTGGTGCCATTCTTGAGCAGAGGCGAGAAATCAATTTGAATTTGGAGTGAACTCTTATAGTTTATATAAACTTACATATGATAATGATTGATAATGCATTGATGCATGTTCTAGAATCTGTTGGTTTCGCAAGACATGAATGGATACACACACACACATTCTACGATTTATATATGCTGTTAATCTAGAATGATAACCCCTACACAGTGATGTAGGGCCTGCATGAGCACTGACATCATATATTTCGTACATTGGCATGTAGAAGCATCACGCAGCAGAGAAGATGATCAAGACTACACCGTGTTGGATCGCTTCGCAGGTTTTGACAACGAGACCTTGGCCAAGGTTTTTGAGCACGTCACAGGTACTGGCAGGAGACAGTGCAATCAACTTCCTGATATTTCTTGACGTCATTCATTGCTTGGATTTGGATGATTTGGCACGCAACGCGCCTACATAGACACATTGGGAAAATTTGGGAAAAGCACATGCCGCTGCCACTATTGTAGTCCCACGGTCCCACTTTGTCATGTCACGGAACACCTTCCAATTCCACACCAGGAAGCTTCACTTGCAAGCCTTTGAGACCATTTTGTGCCGCTTGCGCCTTGCAAGTCTGCTAATGAGACCTTGGAGAGCCAAGAGTTTGAGCGTCATGGACTTCGACTCAAGTAGCTTGGATCTCTTGGGTCTTTGTTGAGTCTGAATGTTCAGGTAGATAGGTACAGGCACAGGATTGTATTGGAATTGAAACATGTCACAACAGAGCCACAGCCGACGTTGTGCCAGCAACTTTTGGCATACGTTTGGCCTTTGTTTGTGGAACTTTCTTGTGCTGTTCTCTGATTACATACAGCAATGCTACATTTAAAGGCTCAAAGACACCATGACTTGTTGTAGAGTTTGCATGCCTTGATGAGTTTCTCCTTGAGCCATCACGACTGTTCATTCCTATTTGCTTCTCAGGCAGGGTCTCAGACTTCGAAGTCACATCGGTCTCCTGTCGAGATGTCCAAGTGGTGATGGTGATAACAGGTGTGAGTTAGGGTCAGGCCGCTAAGATGTAGCTTTGTTGCTGTTGACAAGTTAAGTTGTTTGTACACTGAGCGACAGCTGCTGTCTATAGAGCGATTTTGCATTGTATGACTGTGACATCATTCTCCACATGTGTTTGTGCAGAGGCTGGAAGACAGAATGATGCACAATACAAGACCATGTACATCCATGTACATAGCTCTGCTACCTTCACTCGCCGGTCTTCCAAGGACAACATGTGCCAATTCTTCTTCGGGCACCGTCTTTGCACATCGGAACGCCACTCCCTGATCGGTGCCAGTCCCAAGTGCGCCGCCAACATCGTGTCTCTATCCAGTGTCTTTGGTGCAAAGGACCTGGTGAGGTGGGTGCACATGGCGAGCTTCGACATCCATTTGTTTCTTGGCCAAAGCCAAAGAAGATAAAGATGATAAAGAAGTCGAAGAAGTCAACCTTTGGAGCTTGCAGCATGTTGCCCATGTTGCTGCCTCATCACACTCTGGGAGGTAAAATTCATTGTAGTCCTCACTTTAAGTGCCAGATTTCCGTATTCTGGGCACCTTGCTAGACCTTGCTAGACCTTGCTAGACAATGCCAAGCCTTTTTGGCTGCTTGCGGCATTCAATGAGACAAGTTCAGCATGGCAATCGCAGATATTCGCAGATGCACTTGGGATGTAATCCAAAATTCCTTGCAGGGGACCCCTGTACACATACGTCTCATTTTGAGACTTATTCCCGTGTCTCACTGAGGCTGTTTGCCCTCACGGTAAAGTACACCTTACATCCGTTGAGTGTCGAGGACGTGATCGAGCAGTGTCAGACAAAGATAGATCGTCTTGGCGGTCACTACTTTTTGACCATTGAGCCCATTGGCAATCTTGCTGTGACTTTTGACGTTTTGACCGTTACCATTCAAGATAGCCTTCATATGCCTTCATACCCTTCCAAGTGTTCTCTAGTCTTCCTAGCTCCGGGCCATGTTTATCAAACTGTTTGAAGTGGTGAGATGGTCTTTCTGTGAGGCTTTTGACGCTGGTAGATGGCGATACCAGCAAAGGGCTGCACCCTGTGCGCGTCCGTGGGCAACACGTGGCGGCCTTTTGTTCTGGACCCCCGCAACTGGACACCCTGATCACAGTGGCTCAGGTGGGGCAACGGTGGACAAGCTAGATCATGGAAGGTAAAATATGAAACATAGGGAGAACCTGAGCATGTTCAGCTCATTTCAGCTTTCAATTTATTTCAGCTGTTTTATTTTTTTTTATTTTTTAGGCCGCCAGAACCCCAGCTTGGGTTTCTGTCGCCAGGCGGATCGGAAATTTACCGAAGAATGGCCTGGAGGAGCGCCACAGGCTGGAAGATGCCGCAGTCAAAGACCTTTATTTTGTCATATTTGTTCAAGACCTTTCGGATGCTTTGAGCAACGAAGTGTCAGCCTGTCCACAGACTTGTACATTCATTGAAATCTCAGAGTTGAAAGCTGATATTGACAGAAGGCATTCTGGTGAGATTAACCCATTCATTTTTTGATATTGTATGAATTATATGCATATAGAATATGCATTTATATTCATACATATATACATATATATATCACACACATATATATATAATTATATACACACACATATATATATAGATTCTATTCCACATGCATATGCACGACATAAAAGGATAAAGGATGGATACAGTAGATGAGAACAAATACAATATAGATACAGTTTAATGAGCCCCTAAAATGCTGAAGGTCCGCCAGAAAGCGGGCAACGTTTCCTGTCTGCAGGTGGAAGTGGCCGGCAGTTGGGTGCCGCGAATGCAGCAACGACTGCGAGCAGCTCGATCCAGGCACTGCATCCAATCTGTAGCATGCCCAGAGGTATTGATGGAGTCAACTTTCACCAACTTTCTCATGTTTTATCATGTTTTCAATGAGACTGCAAGATACTGCAGTCATCTGCAGGCTTGATTCAAGGTTGCAAGATCATTTTGACATGTGACAGTTTTGCCGGGGGGAAGACATGGAAAGACCAGACAAGTTTGAAGCCTCTTAATAGAGAACGAACCCAGCTGGTGATTGGGGTCTGGCCAAATGAAGCCAAATTAAAGGCGGCAAAGATATGCATTTTCCGCGTAAATGTTATCAATGGCATACGATGTAGCACAGTAATTACGTACAGTGAATCCATGGCCCGGGGCTTCCCTGCCATCAATACACATGTGACAGACAAAGATGGAGGAAAAGCGGCGCTGACTTTCAAGATGGTTCGATATTTTGCGTGCGTTAACCACAGAGAAAGCATAGAAAGCATACACAAATACCATAACCTAGCATACAATAGCAAGCGATAACAAACAATAATCTTGAGAGGGAGAGAGAGAGAGAGAGAGTAATAAACAATCACAAACAATAATAAACAATACCAAACAACAATAAAAGGTAGAAGAAGCAGACGCAAACCTACTCGCAGTGCATTGAAGCAAGTGCCATTCAGCAAGATGTGGAGATATGTGACGAATTGTGAAGTGCCAAGTCAAGTTTTCGTTTCCAGCGAGAGGTTGCGGGAGCGCCGTGCCGATTCATTGCTATACGCTTTGGTGGATCTGTGCGCAGATGAGCTGGTGGCGGTGACCCGAGCCTTCTTCGCACGGCTCACCTGGTTGGAGGAGGACAAAGCGGAATGCGCTTCAATGAGACACCACATAAATGCACAACATGTGTTTTTGTGATTTACAGTATGTAATTTTATATCTATTGTATATATATATATATATGCATCGCATACAATGCGATACATTTTTTCTAATAGTTCATACTGCTTTCTGAGACGTAATCACGGTTTTTGGGTCCCCGAAATTGGTGGTGCCAAAGGACTGTTTTACCCTTTGATTTCCTTTAAACTATTGATATTCGTTGATCCACTTTGATATCTTTGATGGGTTTTCTGGAACGGAAGACTCACGTATGAGACGTGGGTAGCGCGTTCCCAACAAGCACATTTCGGAAGAAGCGCACTTTCGCGCTATTTAGCTATTGTGATGCCACAATACCATACAATACCTTTTTGGATGTTGCTGCCTGTCGCTGTGTGTTGGAATTGTGACCGTGAAAAGTAGCATGTCCTTCAAAAATCACTGCGCCACTTGAAAGAGCGTGCAAACAAACTAAGATGCTGTCTTGTTGCTGTATGTATCGAGTACTAGTACGGAGCTTAGAAAAAAAAACAAAAGTATTAGCACTTACCATTTGATGATTGATTGCCCTCCATTCAGACCAGAGGAGCATATCAAAAGGTGGTGAATAGAGCTGTAAGAACACCGGACTGGACCACGTCGTGCTGCACGCTGATGATGCTGATGATCAGAATAAGTTTTGATGGATCAGGAAAACTAGGAGAGCAGTGTCATGTAGCATGCGCTCTATCTCAAGCATTATCTAGCCATCTGCGTCACGTCTGACAGGACCTACGCATCCGGGGCAATCGCAGCCTTTTGGATTTGGGTGAAGTCTCCCTAGCACAGCTTCAACTGGCTATCGTTGCGCGCCGTTTGCGGAGTCTGCAGCGGGTGGTGCGCCGGGCGAGTGAATATCAAGAGTCTTGGCCGGTCGTGGCAGTCTTGGTCGTTCGAGCCAGGCAGATCAGGCAGTCACCACGCCTGTTGTCACAGTTGCTTAATCAAAGTCCAATCCTTTATGATAAATTATGGCTATGATACAGCGGCTGTGATGAAGATTAATTCAACATGATTACATAATTCAACAATTACCACGTATATCCCTCAGCCTCGTCACGGGATGCAGTCAGTGGCCAAACCTTGGCCCAAGGAATTACATACGACAGGGTCGGCAGACTATTGGAGGGATTGTGCCTGGGCACAGGATACATTCCGAATGGCAGTCCATTGGCCCTTCTCACATGTGTCTCCAGCGCAGTTGCCACATGAGATTTATCCATACTTCCCCTGGTCGAGCAAGATGTGGTAACATGATGTAACATCATGTTCATGTGATGGCAATGCGATGGTAACATGATGGTAACATGGTCATGTGATGTCATGCTGGTGCCCAACAGCAACAGCACGAGGTGCAGAGCACCTGGAGGAAGCCTATGAGGAGCCAGATTCTGGCACTTGAAAGCCACTACCTGCTTCATTATGTGGAGTTTATTACAAGATGCAAAGCTTCCTGTCATGCAGAACACTTAAAGTTACATTACATTTTAAGATTGTTTAGGCCACCAGCTGATTTTCTTAATTATCTCAATGTCTCTTGGGACACATAGTTGTCAATGAATAACATAAATAATTTGATAATATTAAATACATATATACCTACCATCTACCATGATGCAAAGTGCAAAACCATTTGCAGAGCAAATTGTTTAGTTCCGTGTAATTTGGCAATGTATTTGTATATCTAGCATGTGTTTGTACAGCCCAGTCCTTAGTGGCGGCTCCGTTTGTTTGGGCCAACAGCTCGCCCTCAGCCTTAGCTGAACCTTCGGGATGGCCCTATCAACAATAGTATGAATGTAAATATAAGTAAACACACGCGCACACACACATGTATAATATACAATGTACACACACAGACACGCACACATATATATATATATAAACATATGGCTATATGCCCTACATGCACATATATCAATGTTGTACATCGTAGTCTTGACATCCATCACTTCCCCTGATAGCAGTGATCCTGCACAGGACACGCTGCAGATGAAGGAGCGCTGTGATGCCCTGAAGTCCGCTCACGAGGCAGTGATTGAGCGAGGACAGGCAGAGGAGCTTCAGATGCAGCACGATGAGCAAGCAGCACAGGCAGGAGCCATCAGAGGAAGAGAACATAATCAGATAATATCAGATATAATCAGATAATACCAGATAATCATATATACTATATACAATGATGCACTTATACGTTGTGTATATATGTGTAAATTATATTTACACACACACACGTGTATATATATATAATTATATATTATCATACGTACATACAAGTTATGAACAAATACGCCGCCACACTGGAAATTAACCAGACATTGACGTTTGCTACTTCGGAAAGCTGTCATCAGACAAACTGATGCTCTGGGGAACTCTCCGAACCGCCAGGCGAAGAAGATGAATATCATGCTTTTTTTCCTTACGGTTGGCTCCACCATCTTCACGCCAGTGACCTTTATGTCCTCAGCAGCTTGCCTTATTCTTATTGGAGGTCTCACATCCCACGAAGTTCTTCCAGAATCGGGTCCAATTGGCCACATGAGATTCAGTTCATCTCAGGTGTATGGCATGAACTTCGAGAACACGGCAGGGACGCCGACAATCCCATTCCTATTAGAGGAAGAAGGCTATACATACTTTTGGCAACTTGGTCAGGTCATGGCAGCTCGGTTTTTTCATGTTCTGTTTGTAATCTGTTCATAGCTGTTGCTTTACAGTCTTCCTCGATCCATACGTTCTCCAAGGTGGGTAGGTCACTTAGGTCACTCATGGTCAGCCCATGGTAGTCCCATTTGGACCCCGCGACAGGTATGGCGTGCTGGTCTATTTTACGCTTGCCATCAGCTTTGTGGTATTTGTTTACCACCGCTTCAATCAAACCACGAAGCGCACGAAGCGAAATGGAAATGACAGATGCTTGCCATGTGGCTGTTGCAATATCTAGTTTGCGAAGGTTTCAGGGATGGACATGCCAGATGATGCCAGATTTACAATGGAAACACTTGCAATACATCATGTCCTTTTGTTCCAGCTGCTTTGGCTTGTTTGTTGACATTTGTTCACCAAACATCAAGGGAGAAACAACATCAAAAAACATCTACAAGCCATATATAGGGCATATTATGGCATTTTATGGCATATTATATATAGATGATATAAACGATGAGCGAGGAATTTTCTTGAGAACCATCGACCACATCCACTGGAGCCGATCGCAAAACCCACCTTGAGCACCCGCCTCAGCGGTGGCCTCGCAAAAGCGAGTGAATCGCCTTCGGCCCAACAGGCTGGCGAAGTGGTCACACGCAGCACCCGTATTTTTTCCATCATGGAGGTGTGATTACCAGCTGACTGGACCCCGAGCCGAAACGTGATAAGATTTGACAAAGCATGATGAGACAGGTGGAACATGGTGGAACCGAACTTGGAAGTCATGCAACCTGTTTTCACCACTGAAAGGAATTGATATGATTTTGTTGACTTTTTGTGGTCATAGCACTAATGATTGGAATGTCACTGAAAATCTGCACGGCTCTAGACGAGTACCAAAGGGGGCTAGCCCTGGTTGGTGGATGCTCGGTTCTTCACCCTGGGGAAGCTGCTACTGTCATGGGCAGCTAACTCGGAAGACCTTGCGCAGCGGCACGCAATGTGTCAGAAAAGACATCGCCGCGGTCCAGGTTGAATAGATGGGTAGCCAGTAGCCATGGAAGCTGGCAAGTCGACAAGTAGGTGTTTCGCTGCAGGGGAATCTAGAAACTGTTGACACAGCTGTTCAGCATTTTTGACACATGACTGTAGCAGACATTGCTAGTACGTAGTGATTGGTTCTCAAGACTTTACCATACATGATATTGTTGTATACTATTAAACGCCGTTGAAAGTTGAAACGATAGCAATAAGTTATGTGTTGCTCTCAGCGGCCTCACGGGCACGCTCAGATGGAATCACAAATCATGTGGTGCACAGTGCACAGCTGCTGTGCCTGGGCCTGCGGCAGGTGATGGCGGAAGTGATGGCAGTGGTTTCTACAGCTTCTCCTCAACAAAGGCAAAATCGCAGAAAACTATGGAGCATCCAACCCTTGTTTTGCATTGAATGTCATTGAATTATATTGAATTCATCACATGCAAATGCGTTGCAGAACCTCCAATTGCAACAAGTCAGAATTGTAGACGCCTCCATTCGCTGCAAGTATGATGCTTACAAGATAACTCATCACTTGTCCGTTGTTGCTTCATCGATTTTCCATGGGCGTACCCAAGATAGCATAAGATCCCCAAAATCTTCGAACGCGGCTTTCTGCCTTGCGGCCGGGGAATGGGAAAGGCGGTCATCACCACTACTGTTCAGAAGCCTCTTCCTGGCCCTGAAAGGGAGGTGCTGACAGCTCCTGATTTGGGCGGGCAGGATTTGGCATTTTCTTTAGAGAAGAGTGCAAACACACCGGGTGGCCTCTGTTCACAGAATACTTATTGTTTATCTTGATGCAGTCGGAATTTTGAATATTTTTTTTTTGGGGGCGCAGGTTTCCTATAGGTCCCGGTCCCATCACACCCAGCTGCACAGCTGCATACTGATTGCAGGTTATGCCCATTGATGAGCACCGCGACGAAATCGTACGGACCATCCGTGAGCCTTGCACCTTAGATGTCAGTGATGTCGTCTCCAGGATGCGAGAGGGAAAATTGTGCTGGCTGAAGCCATGAAATGCCATGAATCAGATTAAAATACATATATATATATATATAATATATTCAAATCATTGTACCACCCTTTAGAGATATATTTTCCAAATTGTTCCAAGCAATGCAGCGTGTCCAGCCATTTGAGA